AAAAAAAAAAAAAAAAAAAAAAAAAAAAAAAAAAAAAAAAAAAAAAAAAACCTACCTACCTGTTTCTGTCTATTACCATTTCAAATCTTCCACCTGTTAAACTTTTAAAACGTTTAACTTTATTTGACCACTATTTTGAGATGGCAATGAACACCTGTGGTTTCTGCAAAAAGTCTGACATTTTTACGCTCTTCCCAACTATGCATCTTAAAATGAAAAGCATTAGGAGGCTTCATATTTTTTAGACAGCCCCACCCTAATATCTCTACTAAGAATTTATCATCCATTAAAAACTCAAATTTCGATTTTTCAGCCCAACCTGTCAAAATCACATAAAAAAATGTTGTTCTACACGGTAAAATATCTTTTCTCGACAATGATCACATTAACACAACATGAGCATTAACATCATACAGGAGCTGCTCAAGGTAAAATTTGCAACAGGAACTCATTTTTTTAAAATTTTGTACGTTGTCACCAAACCTCCTTGGTGGAGATGAGATGTAAATTGAAGCGACTTTTTCAGAAAGGAACCAACACATATTTGCTAAAAAATTGAGTTAGGAATCTTTTTGGGTTCCGCTAGTTGTATATTTTCTCCAGCTTAAAACTCCAAGTCGAAAAAAAAGAAAAAAGAGAGAGAGAAAAAAAAAAAATTAGTCTGTTAAAAGAGGGGTAAACGTTTATTTTCTACATTGAGTCTCATGGAGAAATAGAACTTCAAACTCCTTTTTCTCAGTTTCAACTTTATGCAGGTTGGCTCCTTTTGGATAAACTCGGTCTAATTGAAAAAAGAGAACTTATATGGATACTCACGACAGGGACAGAGGTATTTGAGGTGGATGGCTTGGCATCTTCTAATGTATTGTGTCGTCTGCGTTCTTCCATGTAGTACTTCTTACGTTCTGCTTTTGGAGCTCCTATCAATGGAATAAGGACCTTTTCCTCCTTGATTTTTTCTTGAATTATGGCATTGATTGAGACAGGATTCTAAAATTTGACCAATAAAAAGAATTTTAAAACAAATTTTGACAGAGAAAAATTAAAAAGACCATTTTTTTTTTTTTTTATTTACTTATAAAAATGAGTTTGCCTGCTTTGGTACCTCTGCACAAAATGAAAAATGGCAGTCATCATGTATTCAGTTCCTCAGATGAACATAAACAACAAAAACTTTTTCTTAATGGATATGGATATTCTCTTATGTTTCACATCAGGATTGAGAAAAGGAGGTATTTTCTTACCATTACTTAATTTTCTAAATGTTTGAGAAACTAAGTCCTATGTCTATGCTATTATGGATTTTGAGCAAAGAAGTTAAACTTTAAGAGTCTCATTTGATGCAAATACAGGGTGTCTACATTAATCAGATAGTGAACATATGACAATTTGGCTTATGTGTGGAAACTTTATAAAAGATGTTTTTACGTAAATAATTATGTATAATGATTCAAAACTTATGCATCCCTCTTGCGAATGTAAAAATTTAGCTCAAAGGATGGAAAATAATCTGAGAGAAAATCCAGAATTGCAATTAATGAACTTCCAGAAAATACTCTCCAATTTTTCGAAATTTACTGTTGGGAATGAGTTTGCAGCATTAATTAGTATGTGTGCAAATCAGGTACTAATCAACTTTTAATAAAATTACAATACATTCCTCTTATCATCAATTTGGGCATATGTTGAACTTAGCTCTTGAAGATTCTATGAGCCCTTTTAAAAATATCGGCTCCACAAATTGGCAAAAAACAGAGCTGACTGGGTTAAAGTGTAAACATTACCTACTCGATCATTGAAGTTCCTAATCATGCCACAATCTCTTCTCACTACAAAGAGCCTTTCACTTATTATGGGCAGTAAAAAATCCTTTGAGGAATCAGTTCTAACCAGTCTATTTCACATTTTTTCCCTATTTGCCATCTATCTAGTACTCACTTATAATGATTTGCACCACTGAAACAATGGATTTAGTATTCTTTTTATCATTTATTTATTTATTTTTTTTCTGTGCTCTATCCCACTCAAGCAAAGTCACACCTGATTTTTAAGAGTGAACATCACAAAAATAATTTAAAGGAGAGTTTTGTTCAGAATGATAAGGAGAGTAGCATATCAATGGTAAAAAAGCGAAGCAACATATCTCTATTGAAAGAGAAGTGAACCTCCACTTCAGGCATACCTGAGGCAGATTCCAGTCTTCATCACATTCTACATCCGGAATATCACTAAGAGGAATTACAGTGTTATTCTCAAAAGCAGGATTCCTCTCTACTTGGTACCTCATAAGATCACCTTTGATTCGATCTTCACATTCTTCCATGTGATACTGGAACAATTAATAATGATTACTTAAGTATACATTCTTTGGAGTCTTTCTGTATTCATGGGGTACAATACAGGTTTGTCTATTAGTATCTTGGTAAGTAGTCAATATAACTAGGTACTGCGGATACAATTTTGTTTCAGTGAATCTTAAGTTTGACCAGGGGTGCACAACATTTCTGACCATGACCACCATCTCAATGAAATGAAGGAATCTATAGGAGAATGGGAAAGAAGGGTGGAATCCCATCAAATTTCATTGATCTTTTTCAATTATCACAGCGTTTTAGCAAGGTTCAATTTGTTAAGGAAAAAACGATTTAGTTTATTTCTTTCTTTCTTCTGGCCTGTCTTGCAAGAAACTGATTTTGAATTGAGGGACTTGGAGGACAAGGCTCGTAAGTAAGTGCAGTTTTTGAAAAAAATGAGATAGGTATTAATGATTTCAAGTGAAACTAGTCTTAATTCATGTTCTGTGAAAAATTTGCTCGAATGTTCAAGTTTTTTAGCATCAAAAAGTCAGTTTGAACTTACTTTCCGCCATAAAGATCCATGTAATTTCGAAACTTCAAACACATATTTCTCGAAATAGCAAAAACTGCACATATACGCCTTACCTTCCAAACTCCCCAATTTTGGTTGAAAATGGGGAGAAGCTTGAATCTCCCTGCACTCTTTAGTTTGACAACAGTAGGATGAAGATACACTGAAGGAAAATTACACCGAGAAAACAAGCTCTTAATGATGGGATGAAGCGCTTGTGTCTGATGAGAGAAAAAAAAGGAGTGTTACAGATGAAAAATGAAGAGGCATTCAAGAAAAAATGGAGTAATCTGCCATTTTGAATAAAACTTATCTTGAGATGTACTTTTAAACGACTGCTGGACTTATTCTTTTGCCTATATTTTTAAGTTTTCAGTTTATTTTGGACAGGAGTCATACAATTTTCCAAAATTTAAATGCACATTTCTTGACATCACAAAAGAGTGTTCTAGCTCCTAGCACTGTGGAGAGAGCCTGGCTGCCCTGTAGGAACAGCATTCTGGGTCCAGAAATGTGGTACTGGGCCTTGAAGTTTGGTGAAAACTTACCTAAGTAAAACAAGTTGAGCAAGGTTTCCGCTATACCCATTTACTATACTCATTTTTACCAAGGCCAAATACTCATTTAGGTGACACTGCCAATTAAACCAAAGTTGATCCAATAATACTCACTTCCCACTCCACATCCGGGACAATATGAGCAGAGTTGTAGAGACAAGCTTTCATTGCTAGCTCTGGGTGTTCATTTTCGTATCGAAGACGGCAAGTCCGGATGTGATTAAGCATTTTGAAACGACGGAACCTGTGCGATTGATCATATGGGCAAGTGAGCAGCTGCTCTGAATTCAACATTGATACAATTGGAGTAGACATTTTGGTTGGAAGGATCTGTACTCCTGAAAGCAATTTTACAATTGAGTCAAGGTTATTATTATTATTTTAAAACTTAAAATGCAGTGACAAACAGTACTTAACCAGTACTTACTTACACTTTGATGGTGACAATTCAAAACAACATACTTATCTCCATTGCTGTGTTTCAAAATCTCTGCTCCTCTTTTATTTTTGCGAGGAAGAATAAGTCATTTTTATGACTTAAAATGTCTACAAGTTATTTCGCTAACATAGAAGGAAAACCAAGGAAGTTTTCAAGAAATTACGTCGACATGCTTCTCATAGAAAAAATCAAATATGACTGGAAGTTTGTCACGTCCCAAACGTAGATATCTGGTTAGGCACTTGGGCCTGTTTTTCAGCAAGTACATAGGACATTACTGTGACGGGATTTTGTAATTTACTCCCTGAATTCTTATATTAGGGAATTACTGATGGCCCCCCCCCCCTCTCCAAATGGACATCTTGGAAGGCAACTAGGATCCAAATGCAGGTCAGTAAATATTAAAAATATATTAAACCGTTAAGTCTGAAAAAGAACAATAAATTATGTTCAGTGCATACCTACTTAATACGGCTGTTTGGTTACAACAATAATGCTTCGTGAGAGGTAACTTTTTGGCAAATGTAAGGAGCTGAAATCATGTATTGTAGATATCTAGATATAATTTAAAAGGCTATGGTTTTCTGAACATATAAATTAGGAATGGCCAACTGATAAAATGAATTCTCATCTCTAAAATTGGTCAAAGCAGGAACTTTCTCTTTGGGCCATGACATCAAAACAAACCATGATAGATTGTTCAGAGACAGCTAAGTAGCTTGGTGCATGCATCTTGGAAAGTTTCAAAATATAAGTGCTACTGTCAGGGCTGTCTTGCGAATACTAGGAAACCTCCTCATTGGTGCCCTCCTTACACTTAGGACCCTTTAGAGGGTACTCTACATAGAGCACAGAGCTGTGCCCCAGAAATTCTTTTTTAAAGAAACCTCCAGACGGCCCATTTCCATGCTCTTTGAGTGAAGCAAATACGTAAACAATGAATTGTTCATTTTCCAAGTACTTATTGACTCCTCAGAGGTCAAAATAGATTCTTGCATGAGACCTCTTTGAAAAGTTCAAATGAGGTCCTGAGAGGTTTGGTGATATTTCTTGGAAAAGAGCAGAATGAAATCGCTACATAGAAAAGTGAATAAAAGAATAGCTCTGATCCCCTCCAGACCAATTCCGTCTCTGTACGCATCCTCAATGCACAAAATTGGTTCTAATAAAACCCCAAAATTTAGGGGCGCTACAATGGCCAAATAACTTTTATTCTTGATGGTGTACACATTAACAGGTATGTAATTTGGAGGAGACTCAACTTACCACAGACAAATGATGAGAAAGTAACACAAATCTCTGAACCACGAATTCACTGGCGCGAAGAAAAAGGGGGAAGCAAGCAAATAGGATGGCACAAACAGAACTATTATGAAAATAATCACAGCCAATGTAATCTTTCAAATTATTTTTGATACATGCACTTTTAAAAATCAGGTGTCACTTTGCTTGAGTAGGGTAGAGCACAGGCACAGAGAAAATATCTTGGATGATGATAACAAGGATCTAGCAGTAGAATAGATCTTTAGATGATGGCAGGGACAAGTTCTAGAAAGTTCTTGTGGTCCCTGCTCCCTGAACCCTGATAAGAGTCAAATATAAATCTTGAGAGTGTTACAGTTACAGACCAGGATAACGTGAAGAAATATAAACAAACAAGCATGGGCCAGCGACGAGTTGCGAAGATCTTGCGCGAGGTTGCAGCACTAATCTCATGCGTGGCTATTACCCGCCAAATTCAAATCAATAATAAACCTCGGCCGTTCTTCCCTCTCCTCATGTCAACTTTCCACATCTTGTCAGCCAGATGCAAGGAATTCCGGATTCATATTTTAATAAGTTGATTGCGAAACTGCGAAAACGCATATCTCGATTTGCGACTTTAAAGACTTCCTGTCACAATTTTTTTCTTGAATGTAAAAAAACACACCGTCATTTCTTGCGTCTCTTCGAGATACATGTTTTTGCACTCTCACTAGTTAATTTGTCAATTAGTGCCGAGTAGAAAGGTATAAATTTTAGACACAAGAGAGCACAATAGATATTGGACAATGAATTCATTGCCACCTAACACCGATGAAGTTGCAAACAGGAGGTGAAAGTCTAGATAAATTTCCTATGTTGCAACATGGCTGATACTCAGTTGATTGTGACAAAAAGTATGTTCAGATAATTGAAAGCAGTCTCCATTACGTAATGCAAACGCATGAATATGTTGTTAGAGGAATAGTCTCTAATATCAGACACTTATGGAGATCTAAATGGATCATCTAATGAGGAATATTTTAAGAGTTTTATTCATTTTTAGTGATAAAAAAGAGAATCAGATTTTTAGATGCAGGAAGAGGTAAAAAAGTAAAGTCATCTTGCAAGCCAATTGATCATTGGAAAGAACTCCTTACTTTGTCGGCAAGGTGAGACAGGACATACCTACTTAGCCCTATTTCTACCATAATGATGGCTACTCAAAGTGCGAAACCATGTACCCCCGTTCAGGGGCGGACTGGCAGTCGAAAAGTTAGGAGGCGACCTAAATGTGGGGGCCCCTCCTGTCGTTCGGGGGCCCCTCTAAGAAGGTCCGGGGGCCCTCCCTCGGAAAACTTTGAAAATGTCACACTTTTTAAACGCAATTTTAAGCATTCTCGGAGTTAAATTATACGGTACTTGAACTTCAAAATAATCCATTCTCAGGATTCTTCGGGGGCCCCTTCATTACATAAGCTTTAGGCAACCTTTCGTGTCTCTTAGAGACAAATTGTCAAGGATTTTGGGGCCTTTTAGTGACTGAAAAGGATAGGAAAATTACTACACTACGGGGAAAAAAACGAGAACTCGAAAAAAATTCGCCGCGGGGGCCCCTTCTGGACCTCCGCTGCAAATTGTTAGGAGGCGATCGCCTCCCCGCCCCCATGGCCAGTCCGCCCCTGCCCCCGTTGGCGACATTGCAGGCTTCTTGTCATTTTTCTTTTTTTAAGAAAATAATGAACTTACTTAATTCTTGGAAAACTTCCTTGATTTTTTCCTCAGCTAGCAAAATATTCTGTATTCATTTCAAGCTATGAACTTGGCTTGGTCATCTTCAGAAAAATAAAATAGGGGCACACTGCATTGGAGATACGAGGTTTCGCACTTTGGCCTTCGATGTGCAGTTCATTGATTTTCCACTTCTGGATGCGCAGAGACAAGTTCCAGAAATAGCTTGTGAAGGTGTTAACAAACGGTCCATTCATGTAGAACTTAATAAGGTATTCTGTGCTATGTCATTCAATGATTCAGTGCACACATAATTTGACTTCTAACAATTGCAATAGAATTTGAAAGCCCAACTTTTTCTTTTCCAAATTTAAGGGAGTTTTAGAGTTTTAGTAAGAGAATTTTTAAAATATTAAAGAATAATAGAAATTACAGGACTTAATAATCATCCTTTGAAGAAACTGTCAAATGAGAGGCTTGGAGCTTAAGTGCAGTAAATTTTGAAAAAAATTGAGTTTGCAAAATCCTTGAAGTACTTTGTAAGTGCCGTGAGTCAATATATTAAGCTCAGAAAATATATACATTTTTTTAGACGAGGTCAGAGGAAGATACTGTAAGAAGGAAAACTGTTTACTCTTATATTTTGCTGCTTGGGAGGTGAATGATCACAAAAATGTACATATTTTCAATGAGTTAACTACGTAGCCTACAATGCTGCAACTGCTCCTCTTCATTCTGGTCATATATTTTTATAATTTTTATGAGGAAATCTCATCATGACGGCTAAGGTAAACAAGTGTGTTCGTACCCCAGATTGCAGTGTTGTAACTCCCTACTTCGGTTTTGTTTCTTTGAAGGAAACTTAACAAACAATTTCTGCAGACATTTTTTTGTGAATTTTACTGTCATTCTACAAAAAAATCACTCAAAATAGCAGGGAAACATTCTGTTTAGTTTTCCTTGAGGAAAACAAAACTTTATCAGAAATGTTTAAACTTTGCCATTGAGATACTCAGTTTCCCCACTTAGCCATCTATGCATACGACAACAATTACAGAAATAGAAAAAATGAATGGATGTTTTAATGAATATTGAATGTATTAATATTATGATCATAAAAAATAGAATACAGAAAAAATTGCTAAATACATCTACAAATCATTCACAAGAATAATAAATTTACCACACACCACATAAATAAAATTTATAAGGAAGGATAACTATGGCGTACACGAAAATCGAAACTAGACACACCCAATACTCAAAGGTCACAAATACAGCTCAAATTCTCGGTAAATTCAAAAAACATTCTATCAGGATATGAAACAGTGAACTTCTAAATTTTTTATCTGCTGGGTTAAAAAATTAAAATTTCATTTAGAGTTGAAAGTTGGATAAGATGGTCTCCATCTTAGGTCAGTAAGGAATCAATGCTACATAATTGGAGATAAACTGATAAAGATAAGCTGAGGATCAACCTTCAGCACTTGATAAATTTATTGATTTCACACTTGACTATAAAGTACATAATTACAAAAAACACTAAGTTAAATGATTCAACTTAGTTTAAAGTAGCACTTGAATTAGGAATTGATCAACCTGCGCAGCTATGCAGCTACACAGCTACGCAGCTACACAGCTACGCAGAGGGATTTAACTTGCGCCCACGGCCTTTATTCGGGATGGGAATACTGATGAATCCATCTTCATCAATGCCACCAAATTTGAGGGGATCAATATTTAAGTTTGCCATGTTTTGGGACACACCATTAATGTTAGGAGTGGGCGCAGGATTAACAGCTTTGCTTGTACCTGGAAGGCGGCAGCCAACTTTAGGCTCAGGTTTAGGAGCTGAGACAACATTGTCACCAGGAGCTCGGCCGCGGCCTTTGGGAAAGGCCTGTGGGGGAGCATTGACGGCAGTTTTCGACTTTTCAGTCTGTTTCGCTTTTGGGCTTGGAGGGGCTTGCTGAGTGGAAGAAGATGCAGTCGATGGAAAATCAGAAAGAACGGATGTGGTTCTCGGTTTTCGTAAGGGCTGATTATTATCCTGAAACAGAAGTATTAATAGAAATAATGATGAGTTAGGCACAAATGTAAAATAGAATATAAGTGAGAATTCTGATCGTTGCGGCCAAAGAATTTGATGCTTGTCAAGAGAAAATTGCTATAATTTTTAAGTTTATTTATTCTTTGATGAAAGCACTGAGGTTTTTTCCATTGACTTTGGATTCTATTGGGAAAAAATAGTTTTTTTGGCAGAGTAAAGCCAAAGTCAGTGTTTGAAACACATACAGTCTTAGCAGCCATCTGGCCTGCAATTTGTTTTCTTAGGGGCTATCTCAGATTTCTTAGGGGCCAAATTGAAAAATTGATAACACGACACGACAAGACACCCTCTAGAATGCGCCAAAAAAATCCCCAAAATGAGTTTAACAACAATTTTTTTAGCGACCAAGGCTTGACTGCTAGTTTTATTCCTTGGCAGTCAAAGGCGATTGCTTGCCGGCAGATTGCTGTTCGGCCAGCGTGTGTTTCAAACACTGACCCAAGTTCAGATTTGTAATTCATGATGTTTGGATTATCAAGCTGACAATTAATTTTCCATTTCTTTGATACTTTAAGGCTGAACATCAATAAATTATTGTTGTCAGTGTAAAATTAATGATGTAAATCTAATTCTGGCAAAAATCTAGACTAAAAGCTTAAATTTGCAAAATTGGTCCCACTGTTTAGAGAATATTCAACAACCATTTAAGCACAATAACGTTGTCCACGTCCAAGATTTTGGACTAAAAACAAAGTTATGATGGTCAGAAAAGTCGTATTTTGTTCGGAGGCAACACTTGCAACATGCTGTGAAAACAAGCAACAACCAAATTTTATTCAAAGTTGTTTTGTGTTGTTTGTAGGGGTGGGGCAATTTCGCGCACCAAATTTCGGGAACCCCCACAGTAACATTGTTCCACAACAACTGCAACGTGCTCAAAGCAAGTCGTTTTTATGTTGTTCAAAAAAGCAACACTGTTTTCCAACCTAAAACTAGAAGTTGCTCTCTCATTGGTTGTTCAGAATCAAGTAAAAAAAACGAGAAAAAAACGGAATCATTTTGTTGTTTCGAACAAAATACGACTAAATTTGCAGTTTAAAAAAAAAATAACTTGTTCTGAAATAAGGCTATCGACATTGCCGAGTTTGGATTTGTCTTTTTTGGGGCTTAACCTATTTTTTAGCCCAACCTGGCGAAATAACTACAGAAAAAATTTCCTCTGTACAGTAATATATCTCCACTCGACAATGATCACATTGCCACAACAAGAGCTATGACATGGAACAAGAATCAACCCTGGACAGTGACGAAGCATGAATGATTGATTATCGATATTTCCCCATTTGAGGCTATGGTAAAGAGTTGATTATTATTGAGGAGTTCCTTGCAAAAAAACCTATTAATCCATCCTTCTCCATACGTTTAAATGGCAGATCAATCGATACATTGCAAAGCATGCCATGCCACTGATCCAAGGAGGAGTCCGCGACAGAGGTCATTTCTAAATATTTTCTACAATTTCTGGCTGAGGTTCGAAACCATCCACAATCCATTAGCTTCCCTATGCACCTAAGTGTTTTTATGGATGGGCTAGAAATTGGAGTTCCTAATTGAAAAATGAAGTCCACTTGGTGATACTTACAATAGGAGCAGAGGCAAACGAGGTGGATGGCTTATTTACATCATCGAATACATTATGGCGTTTCCGCTCCTCCATGTAGTGAGCTTTGCGCTCGGATTTTGTAGCTCCTTGCCTCGGAATGATGACTTTGCGTTCCTTCAAGCTGGCTTGAATATTGGCATTGACTGACCCTACAGTCTGAAATTTAAACAGAAAAGAGTTATCAAACAAAATTTCATGAAAATGAATGACTCATGGACAATTGAATTCTGTTTGAAACAGATGGGTCAGCCTTCTTCTATACATCTGCACAGGCTGTAAAATGGCTGTCATCATTTAGTAATACAGTTTTTCAGGCAAATGTTAACAACACAAAATGTTTTCCACCAGCAAATAATTACGTTTCTTGCTTGTTCATGTTAGAGAACCTAAGTCTTAAGACTACTAGACCATTAAAATTATGGGTGTACAAACTTCCCAACCCGACTGTACTGGTTGCTCAAAATGAGGGAGCTCCCATGAGAACAGGAAAAAACAGTGCAACTGTGTCAGATTTACGCTCTTGTAGGGGTGGAAAATATTAATTGGGGGAGAGGATGTTGTTAGTCCGTTTTCAGGGGGCACTGATCATGAATTTTTAATTTTAGTTAGTGCTAGAGTAAACATGAAACCTTCTGCATCATAAGTTACACGCAAAGTTATAATGTGCTGCGGGACCCATCTGAAATGAATGGACCTTTGCAAAGATATGCACACTAAAATAAGCACATAATAATGCACATATGTTCCAAGAAAATTCTGTAGTGTTTCAGAATTAAATCGACTTTAGCAGAAATTTTATAGATTTCAGTTTCTTTGGCCCATTGGCCAACCAAAAATTTAAATTTATTTCTAAATATGAAATGTACGAATATGAAATCTACCCGTTCTTCTTGGCCTGACGGAGAGATTTTTATTTTGTAATTGGGATTTTGACTGTTGATTTATATAAAGGAGTAAAAAATTAATAAATAGAATATTTGAAAGGGCCTCTTTTTCTAGACAAAGCTCGGCTCTGAAAAAAATATTTTTAGATGAATTTGAACTTAAAACTAAAAAAAAACATACAGAATTCAGGAAGGCCCTTCTTATCAGGTCTGTCTCCTCTGTGACATTCATTCATTACTTACTATCAACAACATATGAATTATTTGAAAAATTAATTTGATTTTTCTTTCTACTTATTTCCCGGGTAAGAGGATAGGGGTGGTCTCTACTTCTCTGCAGGAAAACCAGGTCTTGATTTCCCACAGAATAGTGTGAATCCAGTATTCTTCTACCAGCCATATTTTACTAAAAGTTTTCAAGTCACGTTTTTAGAGTAATTTTTTCTTGTCTATTCTTGTATTCGTCCCTGGCAGACTCCAGCAAAGTGTCACCTACTTTTAGTTATTGCCCAGAGATAAATACCTAGAAGATAATCTTAAAGGGCCCTGAAGAAATTTCTTTCTGAATGATGACTTAAATTACGTTAAACTCAACCGAAAGAAGAGTTCTAATACAGGTTTGTAATTTCTTTTTGAGGAAATAATGCAAACAGTGAGGCCAGCCTCTTCCTTGGCAACAATAGTGTTAATAGGAGGCATACCGTAGGTAGGTTCCAGTCATCATCACATTCAACATGAGGGATGTCACTGACAGGTATCTGGTTTGTGTTTTCGACAGCAGGCTCTGGATCCGTTTCAATTTGATACCTTACTCTGTCACCCTTGATCCTATCATCACATTCCTCCATGTGATACTGAAACAATCAATAATTAAACATTCTTTAGTCTCTTGGTAATACAAAATTTCACTGTCTATAATTGACCCAACAGTGGAAGATGATTTTTTGATAAGACCGCTATGTTGTCTATTATGTGCATAAAAAAAAAAAAAGGCAATGCTATTGAAAATCTACTCTCTGGGAGGCGAAACTTTTCACAAAAAGCTAACACCATGCATTAATACATTATAAAAACAGAGCGTTCGTTGTGGCCTGTTGGAGTACTTCAATGACTAAGGCTGACAAAAGGGTACCTCCATTAGTAACATTGCTAATTTCCGTTCATGTTTTGTTTTTTACAGGAAAACTGCTCGACCTTTCTGTTTGAAATTTTCAATTTTGCTGGGTGAGTAGAGAGTACACAACAAAATTTAAGGTAAGAACAGGGATACAGGATCTTCCAAGCTTCTAAATTTTCATGCCCCTGCTTTCCATCTTCCCACATCCTCCTCATCTACTTTCCACAATATTTTCTACAAAATTACAAAATGAAAACTTTTTACTTTTTTGATCCTTTGACTTTTGACCCTTGACAATTTTTTCTTCATTCTATATTTTTATTTATTTATTTCTTTTGCATGTGATCAGCCATTTTCTTTGACTTAGATTTTAAATGTTGTTTAGTTACTTCAGATTTCTTTTGATAATGAATTGCAATTTCTATCATGATCTAAGATGTCTTTCCTCATGATCTTTTTAACTTCAAATGCTTGGAATATTTCCCCCCCTTTATTTAAATACCTATTAAAAAATATATGTACATAGGTTGTCCCAAAAGTACTGCACGTTTTTTTCTTTTGGACAAATGGTAGTAGATATCAAAATGCAGTTTGTGTAGTCTTAAAGATCGAGCAATTATCAATAAAACAAGACAAATCCGAGCTCTCTAAGTTAAAAAATGACCAAGTTACAGTGTTTTGAGAATGACTTGTAGAGGTGACCCCTCCAGGATTTATAGCTTCTTTTCTGGAAAAAAAAAACAAAGAATTAAAGATTCAAATGGTTTTATTGGATCAATTTTACAGAATTTTACCAAGATTACTAGCATTTACTCTTCTTCACTGGACGACTGGACACTAGTTTCCTTCTCAAAATACCTTCCATCACTTGCCACACAGCGCCACAACTGTTCTTCCCACTTCTTCAAACATGTTTTTACGAATTTTTCTTGCCTGATGTTCTTTAAGAAAGTTTCAACAGCTCTTTTTATCTCGTTGATGGAGTTAAACTTCCTGCCTCTTAAGCCCTTATTCAACATGGGGAATAAACAAAAATCGCAGGATGCGCGGTCCGGGCTGATACCATGTTGCCAACTTCATTCGATTGCGACGATTTCTCTGTAGAATTTTTGATTAATCAAATCGTTGTTTTTTTCCATAAAAGAAGCTAAAAATCCTGGAGGGGTCACCTCTACAAGTCATTTTCAAAACACTGTAACTTGGTCATTTTTTGACTTAGAGAGCTCAAATTTGTCTTATTTTATCGATAATTGCTCGGTCTTTAAGACTACACAAACCGCATTTTGATATCTGCTACCATTTGTCCAAAAAAAAAAAAAATCAAATCTTTGTTTTTTCCCCAGAAAAGAAGCTAAAAATCCTGGAGGGGTCACCTCTACAAGTCATTCTCAAAACACTGTAACTTAGTCATTTTTTTACTTAGAGAGCTTGGATTTGTCTTGTTTTATTGATAATTGCTCGATCTTTAAGACTACATAAACCGCATTTTGATATCTGCTACCGTTCGTCCAAAAAAAAAAAAAAAAAAAAAAAAAAAAGGGACAACCTATGTATTTATAATATTTTTAAAAAAAAAAAAAAAAAAAAAAAAAAAAAACGTGCAGTACTTTTGGGACAATCTTATGTAAAAATATAAAACAAGCATTTACTTGCTGCTGACATTTACTTAGTCAGGAGAAAAATTCAATCGCTAGAGCATTTTCAAAAAAATCAAGTACTTTCAAAACCTGGGGAGTTCTCTTAAAGATCAACATTATTTTAAGCACTTTTCAAGGCTGTACAACCCCTGTAAGACCGTCAATTATACAAGAATGGATGACACAATACTCACTTCCCACTCCATTTCCGGGACAACATGATTGAAATTGTAGATGCAGGTTTTCATTTCTTGCTCTGGGTTGTTCTTCTCATAGTTCCTCCGGCATTTATTGATATGCAGACACATTTTGAAACGACGGATCCTGTGAGCAGGTTCGTAAGGGCAGGTGAGCAGCTGCTCCATATTCAGGTGTGATACAATTGGTGTACACATTTTGCTTGGAACTTCTGAAAGTAATTTTAAATCGTAATTGGCATTATTATTTAAATAATTAAAACTAACTACAAACTTAACATGCAGTGGATTAACGCAATAATAAACCTACTATACAGCTTTGCCGCTGATTATGGCTGGTGACATTTTGTAATTTGATCTCTGATATATTTGACAATGTAGCAGGTATGTAATGATATTGTAATGACTTTGCAGAAAATATTGAGACATCATTTTGTAATAAATTTCTGGCTGGTTATAGAAATAATTTAAATGCCATTGGTATTTCTGTGTGGCTCAATCGATGCGCTAGAAATATTAATTTCTTGTTACAAGATGAAATCCATTTGTCAGTCCTACTGTTCCAAAAAAAAGTGTCAATAAGAATATGAGAGGAATGGGTTTCTTAATTTAGAAATAGAGCACACTTTATGTCAAGTGTTAAGCAATCCGGTTACAAGCATTATCTATTCTAAAATGTATCATTTCAGAAAAACGCAAAAACTAGTGTTGATCCAGGGACATATTTACCACATAAGCGCACCAAGTCTGCATAAACTTAAGTGTCTACACCCGAAAGAGTACGTTTCTTGCTGGATTTTGATTGTTTTTATCATTGTTTCAATTGTGAAAAATTGCTGCTATCTTATGTTGTGACGTTAAGGATAAAAACTAGGAATGTTTCATAGACAGCAAGAGTATAACTGCTCACTGCTCATGGGTTGAAACATTGGCTCTAATGAGAATTCAGGGTCTTATGTTAGGTATATGACCCATCCTTGAGTTGAGGTGCGTTGTCGGAGTAAACGTTCAGTTTGCGTTGGCTGCTCAATGTTAACAGATATCATGTGTCTATTGACTTACTAGTTGTGAAACACGTTGTCGGTTGTCTCTGTTGACTAAAAACTGTTGTGCTTTGAGTGCACAATTACATTTAGAGGTTAGTTCAACGCTCTTAACTACCTCTTAAGACCGATGACTTGTTGACTTCCGTTTGGTAAACAGTCCAGGACATCGGGCGATCCGAGCGTAGCCAACAACGCTGAGCGTTAGGAATCGGGTAATTCCGTTACCCAACAGTCCCAAACAGTTTACTTCAAAAACGCAGCTCTACATTGAATTCTATTGACGCTATCAGTGCCACGTCACAGTCGGTATCGATTGTTTCGAACTGGATCCAAACAATCAAACATAACCTCATCTTGACACCTCCCTCCCAGAATTGCACTGTCAAAAGTCAAGAAACTGGAGTGGCATAGGAGTAGCCTAAATCATGGTCGCCCTCGTGGGTATTTTCACCTTTCTGAACCTGCTTCATCCCGTCAACTTAAAAATACAGGAACGTTCCGTGATTAAAACACTGTCTCTAACACAACTTTTTCTTCAAACTGGGCGAATTATCTCTGAAATTCTTTCGTTACATGTTGAATAGTAAGGTTATGTTTGATTGTTTGGATCCAGTTCGATACAATCGATACCGACTGTAACGTGGCACTAATAGCGTCTATTAGCTATTGTTTACCAAACTGGTCGCATACTAAACCTCATCGTCTAACCTAGAAATCGTCTCTGGCAAGACATTCTTTTCATCTCAACTTTCAATAATGAGTTATAGCGCCATAGAGTATGGGTATTTAAAGGTATGTCAAACCTTTACAATGCTGTTACCTAGAATTGCAGTGCGAAAAACTCAGCCTCCATTTCTGAAATGGGTCAAATTCTCAGGGATTATCTCTGAAACTGAGATGACAGTGCAAACTGTGAGGGCTTGCAGTCAAGGGCATATGGCAAGGTAAATACTTCTCAGGGAGTATCACAGAGTATGGACATAATCTTGTCTCAGACGAATTTTGTCTGAAAATTGATATGTATGCAAGGAGGCAAATTTAAGGGGTTCTTTTACCTTAAATTTCATTTGCGCATATGGTAGGCATGGATGTAATGATTAGATAATGATGAGCCCAGAGGCATTGTGAATGTGAATATTAACAAAAGTGATGAGTTCTGAAAGAAAAGTAGTTGGTCCATTCGGCTGGACAAATTAGTACCTTGACTTATTTGAGATGAAACTTACCTTAAGTGTATAATGTCTGTCTTGATTAATGAAAACGATTGGTAGGCTTCTGAGTTCTCACAGTTCCAGGGACCAGTTCTATAGGACCCTGGACTCCCGTAAGAGTCAATGTAAAAATTCGTGAGCAGGTACTAGTGCTGCATTCTCGCGTAGGATCCTCGCAACTCACTGCTGTTATCAGTTGTTGGACTTCATTAAAATCCGTAGGATCGCGTATAACTGCAAAAAATCGAATTTTTCACTGTATTACTACATGTGGCGGGCCCTTCCTTGCCGAAAGGGGTCGAAAAACGCCAAAAATATACTTATTTTTCAAGAATTCAGCCGCCTTATGTGTTATTTTTCAATCTCCGGCTTAACCTCACTTTTGGAGCGGGCGATGGATGAGTCGAGGTTCGGGGGGGAGGATCCTCTGAGTTGACTAGGATCCTACGCGAGAATGCGCTGCAATCACCCGCTCACAACAGAACGGCGTCCTATAGAACTCGTCCCTGACAGTTCCCACTGAAGATGGTGATAAAACTGTTAAAAGAAACAAAGACACAAAAAAGATTGACGTAAATAACCAAACCAAACCCGGAAACGGAAACCGTTCTGCGAATTTTCTAGAACGAAAATAAACGTTGAAAATCATGGTACTTTTTTTTCGGGGACTCAGCAGAAACAACAGCCATCAAATTCATGATTTCGCAAAATGTTGACTGGTGCAAATTAGTTGCTCCATGCTCCTACACGACTAGTCACACGACCAGCGACCTGGCACGACCATGATAAAATTGCCATGATGCTTTGTTTATAATACCATAATACCGTGCAATAGTCTCGTGTTTGTCACCCCTCTAATCTTTACAATTGACAAAGTTCTTTACAATTTGACAGACTCGTGACTCGTTGCCGCAACTGTGACAATAATAGGTAACAAATTTTGTTTTTCATAATTTATTAATCCTTGTCCTATTCCCTCTTCGCAGGGTTTGCAGTCGTAGAACAGATGTTCTTACTAAATCAAAAGATGCTCGGTTCGCTGTTATCTGTACCTAAGCCAATTGCGTGTATGTATTAACAGTCAAATTCTGAAACAACGAGTCATGATCACACAATGTTGAATTAATTCCTCTTTTAGTATATTGCCGAAAGTTTAGTATATGCTGAACCGACAGGAGCCAACTTTATTGCATGAAATTTTCACAGGGTTGTTCAGGGAAGCCAAATCAGGATCTATATGCTAATGAGTTTTTCATTAGCAATTATGTGAGGTTGCTGCGAAGTAAACGTCACTGAAGAAGCTATGCAGTCTCTGCGTTTTGCCATCAATGTATTATACATCAGACCATTTAAGACTGCATCAATGAAATTGCAGTATCTGCCCTGCCTGATTCCTCTTACCAAGTCAGTTCTACTGTGGAAGTGCTCAGTTGCCGCTGCAAGTGTAACTTTTATTTTACATTGTGAGAGTTAGCTCACTGTAATTTGAGACAAACATTGATCTTTAGTTGATTAGTGTCTTAATTTAATAATTTTGTTTGACTTTTCTCTCAACAAACTAGGCATGTGCTTAGTGTCCTTTTATGGCTAACAGTGATAGCAGTTACTGCCACTAACAAACCATAGCTAAAAGTAATAGTGATTCTTGACAGTTCAAACTATAAAGACATCACTCTTCAAATGGTTAGAAAATTACAATTGATAGTTGTGATTATACAATTTATCATAGATATACCCGAGGACATGGTTGTACTTATGAACACCAGTTCCTGACGGTTTAGAATAATTATCACAGTTATAAGTTACAATAATGCAGCAATTTATCACACTACAGCCTTTCTGCTAATCAAGCAACGGTTCAAAACATAGCTTCACTGCTACTTTTCCAGAACTACTATCCTTTGCCACCTCTGTAGGATTACTTCCTGCTGCAATCGCAATTTCTCAGGGCCCAACCAGCCTAATTAAATAACTATGTGTAACCTTACCCATAATTTTTATCATATATTGAACAGGAGTTTTAGTTCATCATCTTTCACACTTTCAATGATAAAATTTTGTAGGAAATTGCAGAAAAAATGCAAAATAACAGATTTGTGATGTGCTCCTGAATAACTGTTACAGCCAGATTTAAAATTCTACTTGCACTGAAAAAAGTGGTTGACCAAAATTGAACTGAACCATCATCAATCATCATTACCAGAAGCCCTTCAGCAAGTGTCATTGTCGAAGTAAGTATTTGAGCTTTGTCAGCATGTTTTCTTTGGCCTAATCTTGACAATTTTTTTCGTATAACGTAAGGGAAAAAAGGATCAGTTGCAAGAATTAAAGTAGTTTGTTGGACTACTAGGAAAAAACTGAAGTAAAAAATGTGGTTCTATCAGTACCTACCTAGGCTGATTATTTTGACCCAACAGACGAACATTTGAAGGACTTGGAGGACAAGTGAGATACGTGTAGTTCTCGCTATTTCAAGAGGAAAGTGTTTAAAGTTTCAAAATCATATGGACCCTCAAGACGTCAAAAAAGGTTCAAATTCATTTTTTGATGCTTATAAATTGAATTCTGGTAGTGAACTTTCACAGAATATTTCTAAGACTAGTCTTAGTTGAAATCCTTAGTTAATATCTCAACTATTTCAAAAACTGCATCTATCCACTCGTCCTCCAAGCTAGTAATTCGTTCACCTGGTAAAATGATCGACTCCAAGTCTTCTATTTAAATACCATGCTCTCATTCAAAACCATGATTCTTGCCTATGGTATCCCCTCCTTCCCCTCCAAGTTGTAATCCATACAAAGTGTTTAATTCTGTGATCTCTACCATCAATAATGCCATCATTTAGCTTTTATTCAATTCACTTGACATGACCATGGAGGAATTCTAGGTCACACAGCATCTCGCTTAGATTTTGATGGAAGTGTGGCAAAAAGTTTCTTCATATTAAGCTATTGGACGTTTTAGCCACTTTCGGGCATGGACCACCTGGAAGACCCATAAAATTTTTTCTATCAGGTGGCAAAGAGGGTTATACTTAGTTGCTTTCTGAAGTGGCAAAATAGCACTCCGTTTGTAACAGTTCTAAAGTAGGTGAGGTAGTGGCATGAAGCACTAGCTGAGAGGCCTGTTTCAAATCCTTGCATTTACCCAGTCATAATTTTCAATCGTTTCCATGATGTTACGCTTGATTTATTTTACTTTCTACTAATTTACTATGTAATAATACTTTTATGGATTTATAAGAAACCATCATTGTTTATTATAGCAAGTACCATTGGCCTAGTATTTCTGCTGTCAAGAGAAAAAAAGAAAAGGAAAAAGTTGCTTGCCCAAGAAACGCAGTAGAACAGTAGTGTATCCTCATTAATTAGCATCAATCATCCTCATTCATTGTGTCCCCATGGTTTATAACCTTTTATGGCACATTTTTATGCACTTCATGAAGATTTTATTAGACATGGATAAGGAAATGCAAGTATAGCATGCATAACAAGGTGTATTTGAACCAAGTCTCATTAACATTTGAAGCAGATTTAGAATCTTCGATCAAAATCACAAAATTTTTGCTGATTTTAAAGTAGCAAAAATGCACTAGAACTTGAGGCATGTTTATGTATGAAGAAAATCTCAAGCCTTTTATGTTTACATTAAAACAACCAGTGAAAGGTGTTATTAAGGGTTTGAGTAAGGCCTCGAGTTGAATCAGCACGGTTGCCAGGTCGGAGTGCTGTAGCAGTGCTATTTCTACAAAGCAGCACATGTGACTGTTTCACAGTATGCCATCCGTCCATCCGGCTTAAGTATGCGTGGTCTTTTTCAATAACAGAATTGTTGGAGGTGGTTTTTTTCTCTGTGACTGATTTCACTTCTCGTGCTGCAGGTTTCCATCGGCGAGGGATAATGAAGGATCAAAGAGATGATATCTACTTGGACATGGAGAGCAAGAAAATGCTAGCCTCAAATCTGGCTGCGAGTCTGAATATACCTCCAGACATAACGATCACAGCTGTCTCAGTTCCTGCCAAACCCTTGACTCCACCTCCTGCTCCCAAACATGCCAACCGAAACAGCATTCATTCAAACTCCAAAAATCCCACCGTCCCGATGAATCTAATGGTCAGTAGTCCACAAATTATCAACAATCAAAGTCCGCTTAATTTGAACGCTGCAAGCAACCTTGAAAGTAATCCAATGAACATGAGTCTTGGGAGTCCGAATTACCAACCTACCAATCCCAGTTGCATTAACAGTCAGAACATTGATAATCAAAATGCTCCGAAAGGCCTACCTCCGGCGCCTGGCAATTCAAAGTATTCACAGTTACTTGACGTGATTGAAGAAATCGGGAAAGACGTTCGACCAACATATTCAGGGAGTAAAAGCTCTGCTGAAAGGTTGCGGAGGAGCATCGGCCTCGCCCGAATTTTGATTCGGCAGTGCATCATGGAAACTGAACCAAACATCAAACAGTAAATTGAAGTTTTTAATGAACTTTTATGAAAAAGAGGTTACAGTAGTTTGACAAATTGAAAAGAGGAGAGGGAAAAATACTTCAGTGGAATCTATCTAATTAAAAAAGCAAAGTATCACCCAATAATTTATAAATAAACTTGATGTTGTTGGATTTAGTGCTCAAACTGATCAACCCTTTTAAATTTTTCATATAACTTTGGATGATCTTAAAAAACTATTTTTTCTCAATATTTTAATTAAGTGGGGCAATCGCACATTTTATTGTGAAATCAGGTCTTTTGCCTTAAAAGCGGACATCTGCCCTCGATACAATAGTGCTTGATTGCAGGGAACAGTCAGCATTCTGGAACTTTCTGCTTTCCTGGTAGAACCCGTTTCAGATAACTTGTTCTTTTTTGCTGTGTGCCAGGAATAGAGAATTCCTTATTCCGAGTATGCAGGGAAAAAGGGCAATTTATCTGTAATGGTCTCTATCAACTTTTCAACTCCTCTAAGGCAGTAAAAAAAGTGAATAATCTATTTGGACTTACTTAGAATCAAAAATTTCTGATCGATACAGTGCCAGGACTCTAAAAATATTTATCAAATCTTCTAAAATCCACAAAAAGATTTTACTACTTCCAGTGATCCATTGAAGCTCCCAATCCTCAATTCTTAAATTTTAAGTCTAACTGGAAGAAAAACCAAGTATCTACGAAATGAATTGCTCAATATTTTTCATGCTTATTGCTCAAGTATTTGCTCATATTGCCATCAATTCTTCCTTCCTTGATTAATTATTGAAAATGTTAATGAAATATATTTTCGACTTTGTCGGTTCCTCTCCAATGAAGGTTACTTGAAACAAAATCATCCTCAGCCACAAGTAACATTTCAATCTGCATCTGTACCATTGCTACTGCATTTTGCATTTTTTAAATCTCCACAGTTAGGCGCAGCCAGTCTTGATTACTGCTTCAGTTATCTCTTTGATTTGTAAAATTCTTGCTACAATTCCGGCAAATGGCTGTGACTTAAACACTTATTCTGGGACAGTCCAGTGAACAATCTAACATAACAAAGTCCATTTTTAGGGGACTAAATTTAATGAGCTCAGTGCAACCAACACTGTTTTATTTGAGCAAAATTATTAGGCAGGTAGATTATTAGTAGGTCAGTTAGATTTCTGTTTGGATGCAATTTATCATAGAACCTCTTACATTTTTAAGTGACCAAGCAAGAGAGATTCCTCTCCTCTGCACCTGTTGGAGGGCCCAAAGAATTATTACATTGAGGGTCCACTCCGTATCGTAAGTCTCCTAAAATGGTTTTGAGTCAGCACTCTCCTTTTAAGTGTTCTGTAGTTTCTGCAAGTAATTTGTGTACGATAGTAGTTGTGCCTGATGGTATCTAACTGAAACTTCTATTCATTGGTTATCTTCAACAGCATTTTAATGGTGAGAGCACCAAACCATGTTACTCACAGTTTGTGACGTCGTAACTTTCCTGTCTCATTTTATTCTTTTAAAAATAGTTTGATCATTACTTTTATACAAAATTTTGTTAGATTTTTCTTCGTTCTCTCTAAAATATCCTGTGATAATTTAGGGCAAAAATATTGAGAAGCATTCTTTTGGAAAATAAAAAATGAGTGCAAATTTTCATACATTGATGTACAGATCTATTGTTTTGCAGTTTCATCAATGTTTGCGACTTTTAACTGTTCATCATGACCTTAATGTTCCCCCTTATGCTAAGGGCCCAGCAAAGAAGATTTAAATTGTGCAATGAGTTTTTTGTAAATGAAAAATCAAGCTATTATCTAGATGAATGAAATCAATCATTTCTTAAATGATTTAATTAAAAGAAAATTCAAAAAGAGATATATTGTTAGTTGTGGTACAGCTGGTAACTGAAATGCAAATTTTTTGTATCAGAAAATCATATGGATGACATGAATTTTGTAAGAATTAAGATAATTTTATAGCTGTATGGCGAAAGTAGTTTTAATTTCTTGTTTTGTTTTTTTGCTGATATAAGCTTTTGAAAGTTTCGAGAAAAGAAAACCTCGGCGTGTTTGAAGGAATCCAGCGCTAGCTAAATTTTGTTACTTTGCTCTATGATATTCCTTTGTGACCTAAGCATCACAAGTTGTGAAAATTTCACTTTTTGTGTGCCAATTTTGAAAAACGCTGAACTGAAAAGTAAATTTGCCAGCATTGCTAGTACAAATATTGTAACTTTAAATTGATAATCAAAGAGACTTTTCTTTTTGCTAGGAAAGGAAATTGTTTCAATCCTGCTAACCTCAAATTTTGCAACAAGATGTCTAATTTCGAATACTTTTTGTGCAAACCCACATCACAAAATAATGAAATTTTGCTGTTCTGAACTCCTTAACAATCCATACAATTTCTTCTCAACAGATGCGATTAATTTAATATGTGGTATCGTCTGAATTAGATTAGATCTTTGTGAGTTATCAAATCTGAGAGACAGGCTGCTTCCCTCTTTCCTACTTTCTGAATGTGCCAGAAATTAAAACTGATCATCAACTTCGAATATTTGTATGCATCATGAAGAAGATCATTCTGTTCATTTCGTGGGTGTTTTCTTTGACCCTGCTTAGCAGAACCAAGAAAGTCACCTATGACTTCAGCAGAAAATAGAGATTTTTAGATGTCACTGGTGGATCTCAGTAGTGAGATTAGTCACATGTTATTGTCATCTTTGATCTACAGTAATTAGGCACTGCTGATTGCACTACCACCTGTTTATTTTGCAAGCTAAGTGCTAAAATCCAAACCTGTGCCCCTTCACTTATGGCCAAATAATGGTGCAACTACAATGTGAAAATAATGAGCAAATACAAAAATCTGAGGCGATGGGAGATGATTAAATATCTCTCCTCCCAACTTTGCTCTGCTCTTGGCATGACTTTAATTTTCTAAATCCTCACGTAGAAGTGATAGAGAGGGACCAGGCTAATGTCCATGACCTCAGACTGGTCAAATGTACCACTATAGTTGTAGCATACATGCTTCTTCAAAGTCTGTGGCATGGTGTTTACTCCACTATTATGTAGTCATTTTTCCAGTGGTGAACATCCTTAAAATATTTTTTGAACAGAGCTCTAAAATATATAAATCATACACGTATTTATAATGCACAGAATCTAGTATAATAATATGACATTTTTAAATTTAGATACTCGATAATTGATTTCGATCTATAAGTACACGTCCATAAGTGCTCATTTACACTTATCCGTCCCGGTGTACTAGTTATTGTACAAATCTAGTCCTAGTTAATCATGAGTACTTTAACATCTACCTATTTACCATGCCTATTTTGCACAAATTTGCTTCTCGTGGATGTAGCTGTTACACATTTTAAGCTGTTTTTCATGCAATGCACTAGTTGTTTGGGTAAGAAATGTAAGTTTAGGTGCTTAGTGCCACAAAATGCCTTTTATTTATTTTTATTCAGTTTTCTTGATTTGCGAAATTATTACTGACACTTTTTCCTTTTTCCTCCCAACCTATTCGCTTCAATTTGTCATGAGTTTTGAGTTTTGCATTGAAATATTAAGATCCCGTTAAAAACTAAAGGAACATTGATGAGTAAGAAGAATTTTTGAAAATAATAAATGTTGATGGTTACATGTGAAGGAAAAATTTAAAAAAAAAACAAAACCGGTAGACAACTTGTATGAATGCTTAGTTAACCATGAAAAAAAATGTTAAGACAAAGTTATGTCGATCAGCTATATTCCATGTTCCTTACATCAGGGTTGTCACAATCAAAGATAACTTGGAAGTGTCAGGAAATTTTGTGTACTACTTTCTGTGGCAATCCTGTTTAAGTGTTCTGATCTATACCACTCAACTGTATTTAATCCTATGTCATCTCAAAAGTATTTGGCATAAATTAATTTTCATTCTTACGTTTATCTTCTAAAAAGCAATTTTAGGACATTTTATTCTCAGTAAGTTATATTTATGTGTCCAAAGTACACTTTGAATTTAGTTTCCATTGATATCGTTTTGAAAAAAATCGGTTCTAATTCTCTCAATTTAGCTTAGGTCTAAATTAACTACATAATAACTGAATTTCAATCTAATAAGTTTCTGTATCCTTAAGTGCAAAATTCGATTGTATCATAAATATATGATTACGTAACATGTATCATGTAATATACCATATGTATTAAGTAAAAATATTATTCATTGCAATATGATACCATAAGTAAATAAATAAAAACAAGCAAACAGACAGACCTATGTTGCCCCTGGGTGTTCATGTTGGTCATGTCCATGTTCAGGGTGTGCTATTTTACAGACTAAGAGAGCAAATAAATGCATTATTCCATTTTTTAATCTTATTATGAAGTGAAAGGTACAAACATTATTTGTATATTCAAAACAGCTGAGGCATAGAAGAGGGTATTTTGAAAGAAACCATGGCTCAACAGCTGATATGTATATGTGCAATGAGTGGCCAATACCAGGTTGCCAAGAAAAGGTTGTGGATTGGGTTTCTACTAGTAGGCGTTTAAGAGGGCAACCAGTTGAAAGGTGGCTTAACTGCATCCCAAATTAAATGGGAAGATACTAGCTCTTAGAAAACCTCTACTTTCACAGATTTCTGTGGCATTTAAAGTACATCGTTAATGGGACTATCACATATATTCATGCATAAATCAAATGGCCCCCCCCCCCCCACAAAAAATGTAGAAATATCTAGGGTATTTGCAAGAAAATTGTAATTCTATTCACCATGAGAGAGTTAATGTTAAGTTTTTATGTTGAAATTTGTTTGAATTAAATCAAAGTCTATTCAGCGTTTTATGATGTTTATCTGCGCCTCACGTACCTAAAATATTGTTGCTCTTTGTATGTGATTTAGGAATTAAGTACATGTAGTAATTGTTTCTACCTCAAATTTCAGGTCATTTGTATTTGTATTCTTAATGTTCAGTGTATACTTGTTTAGATTTAATCAGTGTTAAGTTAGGTAAGGAAATGATTTGAACGTTACTGTGCAAAATTTTATGTAATTAATTAATCTTTTACGTAATTTACAACCCATCCCTCTTGTGATATTACTGTTGACATTTTCTACTAGAGTACCTATGATTACACCTCTTTCTTTTTTGTAGTAATTTATTTTTTTTATTGTATCTTTTTAATCCCCCCCCCCTTTTCAACAAAGAGTTCTCGCTCTGTTTGCTTTGAATAACTTACTTATTTGTGCAGAAAGTATTTCTGAAAGCCATTTTTCACACAGTTTTTTTTTCCTCATGTAAAAGCATCACTTGCAGCCAAGTTATTTATTTCCCACAGTAAATTCTGTTAAGTTTTATTTCTTATAAATAATAAAGTTTCCTTTTGTAATTCAGTAATTTTTCTATTTTTCTTTAAAATCACCCTAATACCTAAAAATGCCTGTGTCTAAAGCTAGAAAGCAAATATTCCAATCTATATACAATTTTTTTTCTTTTTTCAAAGTTTAGCAATGTTCCTTTTTCCCCTTTTCTTTTTAATTTATCCTACGGAAGCAGACTGAAAATCACATTCAATGAATTTGGCCAAAAAGTTTCAGGCACTTTTAAATCTGGTAACGTTGACCTTTTGTCAAAAGTTTGTCTGACGATTTTTAGTGCTCAAAAATTGTTCTTGAAAATTGATCTGAGGACTGAAGTTTCGATGAACCAAGCATAGGCTCTAAAAATTTAAAATACATTGAACGAACGTGCAATACTGTGCGCTAAACATAAGAATCTCATTTCAAAGCAAAAAATTTGTCTCCACATGAATTTTTTTTCATCAGTATTTTTGTCTCCATACTGAATGCATGAACTGTATGTCTTGATGCAACTGCTTAATCATTTCAGATGGAAGCCCTGAAATTAGAAACCAGCATGGACACCATACTGTTCGCTGATTCAGTGGAGTGGTGCCCTATACTGCAATTCCAGAACATCCTGGTCTGCGGTACGTATCAACAGAGAGATCAAGGTGACACAGCAGAAGCAGATGGTGGAGCAAGTTGCAGAGAACGTGTCGGGTGTATCTATGTTCTTGAAATAAAAACAAACCTTACTGTAAAAGTGGATCAAAGTCTCATCACTGCAGGAATTTTGGACATGAAGTGGTGTGATCGTTTACTCAATGGGCATCCTGCTTTGGGAGTCGCTACTGCAGCGGGAGAACTGGATATCTATCAGCTGATACCAGGTTTGTTACCGAAAGGAACCTTCTTTTCAAGAAGGAAATTTTTGGGCAAATTTTTAGAACAAAAGTCGTGAATTTTCCTCTACTAGGTACTGACTTGAAAAAGTCGTCAAGGTCCTGAGTAAAAAATGTAAAAAAATAGCTAAAATGTGAAAATTGGAAAACCCTTGAAAATTTTGTACGAAATCAAAGTGTCTTTTTTTATGCTGAAAATCAGTATAAAACAAAATGACTCGGCATCTTCATTTTGTAAATATTTCTCCATAGGCAATTCTCAGATGATTTATTTTAACTGATGTCAGGTCTAACTCCCAAGTGTACACATTTTTGGTAAGGTTTCCAGTTTGACCGCTGGTGGAAATGTGACGTTAAGTCACAAAACAACTATTTTGACTAGTTGTTTGCTTTACCTCCCAGAACAAGAAGGCAATCCCTGCACCTTGCTGTAAATTTGATCCCCGCCCCTAGCATCCTAGGAAGGAAAAGAAGAGGTCAAAATTAGTCCAACTTGTCGGTAATTGCTTGCGAAGAGAAACCTTACTTTGTTAAAGAAAAAGGTGTGAATCTTATATCAGCAATATATTTTAAAACTATCTGTTGGAATTTTTATCTTTCCTTGATTTTTCGAAAGGTAAAGAATACCAACTTCCTTCCGGGCAGAAAAAGAGTCAAGTAAAGTTCCTGCAGTTAATAAGTAGACGATTTTAATTTTTTAATTTTCCTCCTAGTTTTCAGTTTTTTAGCCTCTTTTCACTTTTTAAAGCGCTGCAAAGTATATTCCTGAAAACTTACAATGGGTACCTATTTAATTTTTAGCGTCCTATCTTCATCACTGTTTTGTAAAAAATTGACCAAGAAAAGAAGGAAAAATTACGAAATAATTAAAAATTCTTTGACTCGTTTCTTTTATCCTCTTTTTATTTATGTATAATTTAAGGACCAAATCTGTTTTTATTTTTCTCATTTTGATTACGTGAAACAATCAGCAATAATTTCCCCACGAGATTGATTCCTTTTATATCTCTTTTGTTTTATCAGGAAAAACTTGTGAGCTGAAGTTGTTCGCAAGAGCAAAGCTTGAAAAAGAATCAGAGAAGGAAATTTTAGGCCTTTCACTAGATTGGAATAAAGATCCTAGTGTGTATCAAATTGTCATCAGTGATTCGCATGGAGGTTTAACCGTTTTTACCCTAGATTCTAACGGATTAAGTCAAGATAACCACTGGAACGCTCATGGTCATGAGGCCTGGATAACCTGTTTTGACAGGTGTGATTCCTCTCGCATTTATTCAGGTATGTATAAATGTGAGTAAAAAATAGAGTTATGAGATGCAATTGTTTGTAATTTATCAAAATAGGCAGGCACATCATGCCAATTTTAATCTGCACGCAACTCATGTTGTAAATGCGATATTACCATAAGATAGGTATGACTTTCACCAGAAAAAGGAATCCAGTGCATAGAGGCGAATTCGGCAGGAGAGGAATGTTTTTCAAAGATAGGATGACCAAATAAGAGTTCAAGTTTTTCAACAACGCTCACTTCCTGGTCTTCTCACGAATAAAGTGCAAGTTAATTCTGAAAGTTGAATTCAGTGTAACGCAAGGGTGGCTAAAGATTAAAAAATTGATTTTTTTTTCTATATCTCTAGAATATTTAAAGATATAAACCTATGGTTTGAATGATTCGTCCTAATGGTTTGTCGAACTAGAACAATTTTTTTGAGGATAACATTTAATATTCAGCATTTCAGTTAGCCAATGCTCCTCTGTCAAAAACAAAGTAATTCTTCCAAATTGCAGACGGCATATCGATTCCCTTGGGAAGCAAAAAAGCTCCAGTGCAAAAAGGCATTTCATAGTATTGATGGTTTCCCCCAAGACTAATCCACACAGGTCAGTCATTCCCGAGGACGAGTTTTGGTTCTCTACTGCGCAGTGACGTAGTATTGAGTGCCTGCAATGTATTTCTTATGGGAGCACCCATTGTGACGTAGCATTGAGTGCTGCGAGTTAGGGCCGGGCGGGGGAGTGGATTTAAAAAAAGCTGCGCAATGACTGACCTGTGTGGATTGATCTTGGTTTCCCCAGAAAAAATTATCTAAACCATAGTTCATATTTAAAATGCTATCACTTCAATGGAGAATTTGCAGGTGTTTGAAATTCGATGAATTTCGTGTTTAAGTGGAAACTACTGAGTGAACTGATCACGAGGATACCCTTAGTTCATGAATTAAACAATTATTGAAGAAGATATGACGACATGATCTAATCTTCTAAAATATATGTGTTTAAATGGGAAATGAGGTTACGAGGTGGTGTATTTTCTCATTTTTAAATCTATTCTTTTACTATTTCCCATATCTGAAAAAAAAATTATAAAAAATACTGTGAAATCAGCTCTTTAAGCACTTTCAGATGAAGCAATAAATTTACATGCAAATTCTCCACTGCATGCAGTATGCTTTTCTTGACTTGGACCAAGAACTTTGGTGCAATTTTGTGAAAATAACAGTCGTAAAAAATTTTCTCCAGAGAAGCACAGCCCCTACTACCCTGAGAAAAGAGTGGAGGAAACTTCAGAATTGTACGAGGGAACCTTTTCCTCCTCTCCCAACAATTAAAATGCCCAATTTTCTGTACTTTTTCCTTAACTAGGTCAAAATTAGACACTAGCCCCAGGCACTGACCACAACGTTTCAACTTTCACTACAAGAAAATACAAATTAAAGAAAGCACAAAAAATCAAATTTAGTTTGTCTCGTCTTCCAAGCCTGACTTGTTTTTTAATTTTTTCTTTTTAATATTTCAGGTGGTGACGATTGTTTGTTTAAAATCTTTGATGTAAGGTGCACAGATTACAAGGCTCAGCTTACTTGTAAAACTCATGGAGCAGGTGTCACGTCATTGCATTGTAACCCCATCAGCAATCAATATCTTGCCTCTGGCAGGTAAATTTCAGTTTCTTTAAGGAACATTCTGATCGGTATTTTTTAAATTTTAATTTTTCAGCAAAAAGTTGCTGAATTAACAACCAGATGTTGAAATTCAATTCAATAACTCTGAAATGATGATTTGAATGCTCTGGCTGTTCAGTCAACATTACTAGGATATTGTGCTTATAGTCAGAGCATTCATGTCGACAGTACAGAGTCATCGTGCAGAATTTTAACATCCTTAGTGTCAATTCAGTAAATTTTTTCTCCCGTGTTCCAAGGATGAGCATCATTGACGCTCGTCTAAATAACTTTGCCATAGAGGGAGAATAACTTTTAAAATCCTCTCTCCACTTCCATGAAGAATTGAAGAGTTTGAATTTTAACAATTTCTCATCCCATTCCCATACACTCTCCTGATATGGTTTAACAATTTGCATAAGTAGTTTCCAAACGCAATTAATTAAAGACAAAGGTGCAGAACGAGTAATTCAGAATTTTTGTTTTTGTTACTAACTAGTGAGGGAATTTTGAGGCTGAGACTGCAACTAACTTTTGCTCTGAAAAACTTTCTTCACCCCTGCTGCATGTCCTCATGACAATTTTAGCACAAAAACCGCTCGAAATTTCAAATCAAACCAGTCATATTTATTGAAAATGGAGTTAAAGAATGAAGTTTTAAGAACAATTTTTTTAAATTTTTTGTCTACCATATCTAAAACTCAGAATTGTTCGTTTAAAATACAACTCAATGCTCTCCATGGCCATAAAAATGAACTGAATTACTGGTAACTCATTTTTCAAGATATTTGAGTTCTTTGTCCATCGATAAATTCATATTAGGGAATTTACTGGAGCATGGTTTCACACACATTTTCTTCCTTTTCTGATACAAGGCACCTTTAATTTCGTTAAAGTAATCAGCATATGGAAACATTCTTTCATCAGAAAGAATTCTAAAATTAGTGTAGTACTGGATTTGACTGAAGAAGACTTTCGTGTTTTGTGAGCGGAAAGTGTGAGTTGATGCACATGAAATAAAACTATTTTCTTATGAATTAATTGAATTTGGAAAGTTCCTCTTTCACATATATTACTGATAAGGGATAAGAAATTATTGCAGCACTTACCAAACCTTGTACCGTGGCTAGTGGTCCAGTCAGTTTGCATCATTGTTTTTCCTCGATTTGAATCCACTGATAATATTGATATTAGGTGAGGCAAGCTGCCTCGCCAAGAATCGATTGCTTTATAAACATTTAAATGGATGGAAATTGGTGTTGCTTATTTTCAAGAATCGTCTTTTGCTTTGTTAAGAAATGCTATGAGATCAATGCCGCCATGACTAGAGAACTGCTCTTAAGTGAATCTGGATTTCAATAATTTGTTTCAGCTATGATGAACTACTTCGAGTTTGGGATGTGCGGAAGATGAAACATCCGATAAATTCCATCAATCTAGGCGGCGGCATTTGGAGAATCAAGTGGGATCCTGAGAGAGGTGTCAATTTAGCAACAGCTTGTATGTACAATAATTTTCATCTTGTCGCAGATCATGGCGACAAATTGGAAGTGGTTACATCTTTCAGAGAAAACAGCAGCATAGCGTATGGTATAGATTTCTGCTATTATGGCAAAGAGGAAATGAAAAGAAAATTTAATTTTGATACTAATTTCCGGTATTATCTTCTTGCAATGTGTTCTTTCTATGACCATAAAATGTTCATAGCCTCTGTTAATGTAGACAAAATTGGAAGCCCTGAAAGCTGAGTTCAAGCTTTACCTGCATTTGTTAAACGTATGTCAATCCCTAAAGTTGCAATATCCGTACCTGAGATTGCGACATTGTAGGTCTCATGTTAGATTTTTGTAGGTGGAAACTAACCTTCAGTTTCTAGGTATTAACATTTTCTGTTAATCTTTTCACGCATTCTGAAAAAATCATACAAAATTAAACGAAACATTTTGATTAGCTTTCTGGAAAAAAAGAAAATACTATTGGAAAGTTTTAAATCTTGGAATTGAGTAATGCATTTTACAACTTCAGTCATTGATAGGACACACCAGAGTCTCCATAGGGATACACTAGGGTACCTCCTTGAGTGCGCCATAAATTGGATCAGAGCAGAGGGGTAGAGAGTAGCTCTCGACTGTTTTTTGCGCTTACTGAGATGAAAATTTGAACGCATTCAGAAGTTTTGCCATGTGGCGGGTAGTATTTTGATGAGCAATATGCATAAATATGTCTGGTTGACAATAAAAATTCATTTGTTGGTTTTTTTTTAAAAATGTATTGCTCAGAAGGATAATTCAAATATTTTCAAAACAGATAACATATTTTCATTCCACTCTTTTTTCTATCATTACTACTTATCGAATTTTGTTTTTTAGCACCTAAAAATGAGGAGGTTCAATCACCGTTTTTTTTCTTCTATTTTTTGGCAAACTGGAAGTATCTATTTTTTCTAGAAGAGCATATTCGTGCTTGTTCTCTGCGAGAGATTCTCAGTCATTTTTCTTTTGGGAGTAAACTTTAAAAAATTAATCGATGAATGCTTACTTGGTTTTCGTTTTGCGTTTAGAGGTAGTGTATTAGTTGGCTTATGGACAATAAATTTTCAAAGACGATAAAAGGAAGGGTTACTCTCATCAGAAGAAGCTAGAATCTCTGATACTTAGTTCCCATTGTGAAGGGATGTTTTGAAGTTTTGGATTGGGAATTTCTTATGCCTTGTTGAAAAAGTTCAACTATTTTTCTAAAAAGTTAATAAAAATAAAGAATTGGTTTTTTTTTTAAACGGATTGAATCATTTTGTCCTGCGACCAGATTAAAGTTTGGAGACGTAAAGAATACCTGAGAGGATTATGGGATTCAAAAATGATGAAATAAGTATACCTACTTCTTCTAAGTTTCATCACTTCTTAACTTCTGAACACTATTTGAAAAAGAGGTGTTCACTGAGAATTTCATCTCAAAAACTTGGAAAGATAAGTTGGAGTGATTTATCTCATTAGTTGACCAAAAATTAGAGACAGCAGGTACTTATGTAGTTCAGAAACTGGAGGAAAGAAATGGCGATACAATAAAATGAGTATGAGTTTCTAATGAATGATTTTTCTCCTTTCTGGGAACAGTTAATTATAAAACTAACAAACTCATACAAAATACAAATATTCAACAGAGAGGAGGAAGAGGAAAAAGAAAATGAAACAAGAAAAAGACAGAGCAAAAAACAGTAACTTTGCCTCTACTAAAAACCTAAGATGAACAGTATCCATAAGTTAATAGGTATCATACTTGAAATGACTAGAAAAAATTGGGACTTCATGACTCCAACCCATTCTTGGGCATAGAAGAGAAATTATGGGAAAAAGTTGAAGCAAATGTTGAATACCTATACTTTATTTTCAGGCTTCAACATTAGAAAATACTAACAGTGCTGTATGGTTAAAAATAGATATTTTTTGAGATTCGAAACTAACTTACAATTTTCACAGATGAAAATTCGCACACGTCTAAATTGAAATGCAGGAAAATATTACTTGCCAGACAAATACTCATAAAAGCAAAGGTAATTTAAGAATGATGATAATACATGTACTGTCATTTCCATGCAAACAGTCAACCTTGCATTAATTGAGAAATGATAAATACAGTTTTTACTATGCCTTATTCTTACCATTTGGAGTCAGGAAATAAAAGAAATTACTTCATTGTTTGCATTTTTATTGGCCAACTAAGTTCACAGTGGAACTTTCATCTACTTGGTGGTAATGAAGGTAAATATTTATTCTTCTCTTATTTGGATGAGAATTACCTACATCATGTATGACATACTGTGACACTGGGACACTGGGTGCCGCTAATAGGTATTCTACTGATATTGCAACGATACTGGAAAAATTCATAACTCAGGGTGTTATCTTGCAAGCTATAGGTAAGAATTAGTCATATTTCGATCCTTTGAGATTCTTTCATCATTCAGAAATAAAAAACTAAATTCAGCTTGAACAGATAATTTATATCTCATCGTCATCTCACTCATCACACAACGCTTCGCATCCTCATCTTGATGAGAGCAGGCAAAGATTTGAAACGCGCGCTACGCGCTACCGATTCGGTGGTACCCGCCTGGCGTCACAAAACTTCAAGATGGCGACATAAATCAAACTGGGCCAATAATAATTATAATAGGACTGTGGTAGTTACAAAGGAATACCTAAATGATCATTCATTTTTTCAAACCCTTATCATTTAAAGAAATTAATTTGAAGTACGTATTCGGAGACTTTACTCCTTACTGGGAGAACATCATCCAATGCCTAGCATGAGCATTGGAAACGTCATTCGTGAACTCAAAATTCTCGAACGACCATCAAGTCTTCATTTTCGTGACCTGATTTGGACGAATTGTACATTAGGTGCGTTGTTAAATTACTTTTGCTGCCTAACAAAAAGGACCGAATCTCAGCAGGATTGACGTCATCACAACGACGACGTCAGCTCAATTTAGACGCATCAAGAGATTAAGTTTTATTGAAATTTAAGATTTTTAATACTTAAAAATCTTATTAACACCCACATTATTACGAAATTGACGCAATAAACGATTATAGGCAATTGCAAGTCAGTCTGGTGACGAGCATGTGGCGAAGAAGTGCGAAAAAATGGCGGTTATGGATGTAAACAATAACATAACAACAACCCAGCAAACTCGGCAGCTGTCTCCAGCAGCTAAAAACCTCGCTGAGCTGTTGGGCAGTTTGCTGAGTAGCCATCTTGGAAAACGGGTAAATCAACCAGAATTTACCAACGCTTTTGTTGAGCTCAACGCTCAGCGGGTAATTTTCGTTGGACAGTTGAGGACTTTAACAACGCATCTATTGACACCACGCTCATATTCATACGCCATTGGTAGATGCATTTCAATGTGAAATGATGTATGCACCATGTCTAGGGTGCGTGAAATTATTGTCAGTTTTCGGTGACCAAGTGCTTAGTTTTTTGTGAAATGGATCAAGTGAAACCCAGTACATCGAGGCTTTTCAACACTACAATCATAGATCCCAAAAAGGATGAAATTGACGAGGTAAATGCGTGTATTTCATTTCATCTATAAGTTGACAGAGGCAGCCATAATAAAGTAGTTCCCGGAGGTGTTTCGCCTCTAATCCGCAACGGGGCGCTATCAAGTTTGAGAGGTTAATTTGAAATGTGGATTCTCCCCACTGTTTACCCTTTCTTATTGCTTACCTTTCCCTCATTTGTTTCACTAAAAACTTATTTTTATAAGTACGGAAGTGTACTCTGATTAGCTCACCAGTTTTATTTCATCACTCTAATAAAATAGAGAAATTTTCAACGGTGATACTGGTAGACTAAATTGAGCGCTTCAAGGGAGGTCCCTCTCTTGCTTTCTTTACAACGATAATAAATGCACTACGCAGCTTTGGTGGATATTGCCTAGAAGATCATGACTCCCAATAGCTGTGAGTTCTCAAAACAGCCCTACTCTAATGGAGGAGAACAGTTTTTTTACTAATCTGCCTATGAAGTTATGCACTTCATCCTTTTAAGGTTAAACTCTCCATTGAGTAGGACACATCCCCAACTATTGCTGCATTAACACCACTAAATAATTTTTCATGGGCTAAGGTAGCAGAAGAAAACTTACTCTCAATTTTACCCTAAAGTACTTCGATGGATGCAAATCAGAACATAGGAAAAGTAAATGCCAGCAATTGTGGTCCCACATGTACACGCCATACGTTTTGAAATGCAAGATACTCACCTTTAATGTCAAATGCATTCCTATATTTTTCAATGTAAAGGAGATGAAAGTTTCATATTAAGTGCTTTAGATCTATATGGAGGACAGGGCAATGGTGGTCTTTATTTTTTATCTGTACCTATCATACTGAATTATGAACTTTTTTTTTCTCTCTATTTTACACTGGTATCACTCCTTCATTAAATACCTACTCTTAGGGCTGCAAAAGCTGCCTTATCACCCAAGTAAGATCCAAAGGCCATCAAGTAAAACCATTTCACCGCTATTATTTAAGAGTACCAGGGACAATTGGCACTTGCCCATGAAATTTTCTGAATTTCTGAGGATATTCCCTTTATTAATTATTTTTGTCTTCTTTGTTTTCAGAAATGCGAAAGATGCTATCAACAACTTCAGGGCATTGTCAACAATCTCTCTGAAAAAGAAGCGCAAAATTCCCTGATTTCTGCTATTTGCAAAGACAAAGCACATGAAGAAATTGTATCACTCGGGCTATTGGTGATAATTTTATCAGAGCCCCAGAATGCGGCGAAGGTACTTAATTTTTTTTTTTTTTTTTTTTTTTTTTTTTTTTTTTTTCCCGGTTCAAATGAAGAATGATATCTTTTGTATTAACTTTTTTAGTCAAGATATTCCTCTTGAATACTCTTGTTTAAAGATGCATCTCCTTCATCTTCTGTCCCTCTGATAAATCCTCTCTAGTGGGAAGGTGGTTCAAAAGGAACAACATGGTTAGTAAGTTAACCCAACAAGCATTTTGGTAGGATTCAGAAAGTTTTCAGGATGGAGTCCACTAAGCAAGCAATTGAAAAATACAAAAGCGAAGAAGTATGTTATGTTTTCTTGCTTTGCAATATATTGATAAAATTTAGGTTCTCAAACTCAAGTGAACCTTCGGTTTTCTGCAATTTTGACACTAGACAAGTCGAAATTATTGCATTATTCCTGATACTTTGACTGAAAATGATGTGATTTATCATTAATGAGAGATAGATTATTGACATTTTACCGTACGTAATGACTTGTTTGTCTCATTTTGCCAGTCACCAAGACATTTTTTTTTTTTTCCAGGGGTACAGAGATCTCACGTTGGTCTCAAGAGATGGTCTAGCATTAGTTCTTTCCCACGTTTCCCAAATCATTGAACGATGGAGTCGTCTTCAGGATAGAGTCAGAGCTCAGTTGCTCTGGTTAATCAGAGAGCTTGTTCGAAATGCTGTGCCTGGCACTGACACTTTATGTTGGAATATATTACGTCATGCCGCAAGCGGTGATATCTCTCCCAGGAATCTCTTCCTTGTAGAACACCTTCTAGACATATTTCAAGAAAACAGGTGAGTTGTGAGTAATTAAATAAATGTATACTCGCTCTTTCCAGCCAACAGCATGAAAGTTTGTTAATTGGTGAGACTTTATATTCTAGTTAGTAGTTAGTGAGACTTGATAAGTTTATTACAGTTCTTCAATGGAACTTTATTTCTTTAATGACCTGCTTGGTCACTTAGTTGTTTCTCTTCTAGGAACAATTGTATTTTAACTTTTTTTATGATATGTTGACCATCATATGTTTGAATTGATATGCATTGAAGCAGAACACTTCGTCCTGCATAATATGAGCAGAGAGGACTACGCACATATTACCGAGAAATTAAGTGCTGGCTAAATTTCAATATTATCTGATATGATGTTCTACACAACCTCCTAAGCAGTATTAACTTTTCAAATTGGAACATTTTATTTGTCAATCTCAAGTAAAGCGGGCTGAATAGTGAATTTCTCAGAATTTTTTAATGCACCATCTAGTGGAAATTTTGCAACATGTGATCGATGATTGAAAAGAGCTTTTTTTTCTTCACTGGTGAGGAAGATAAGACATTAGACAGATGGAAAAAATCGAATTCCTTATAATGATAGCCACATGCAGTGCAGAGTTTACACATACATAGATAGTAACAGTCCCACATTGCCATTAGATAATGAGTTCAAGAAAATTTCTCCATATCTTTTTCAAGTTTGGATACCCATAAATAAGTGAGTTTATTATTTCCCATAGTTTTTTTTTTCTTTATTACACCTTGTCTGTTTATGCTTATTGAAAGTATTGTAAGTGATCCTTTTGCTTATTTCCTTTTCAGACCATGGCTAGAAAAATACCCACTGCTCCTTGCATCAGTCGTGTATTCTTACCTTAGGTTTATTGAAGATCATTTCAATCCTGGTCTCACTACGTTAAGGCAAAAAGAAATAAGTTTTATTGTACCATTACTCCGTGATAAGTTCAATGAGTGTTTAGTTATTGGCCGAGATCTAGTCAGACTGTTGCAGAGTGTCGCCAAAATTCCTGAGTTTGAACTGCTGTGGAAAGATATCCTACATAATCCCAAAAGTTTAAGTCCCAATTTCACTGGTAAGTCGTTATCTTTCATTTTAACCTATTCAGGTGCCCTCATTCTCCAGTGCCAAGAATATCTGAAAAACTAAAAGGTTCAAATAAAGATAATCACATTCAAAGTCTATTGCACTATTTGCATTAAAATTATGATAAAAGTAAAAAATGATCACATTTTTGTCATCTTCATTCTTCTTTAGTCCTTGTGATCAAACATGAATTCTTGAAGAATTTTCTTTAAGACTGCAAAAGTTGAACTACTACTTGACTAATTTTCCTGAAATATTTTTTTTATCTCCTTTTTGTTAAGGTTGACTTATTGTCTTTTCTTCTAAAAGATCCATTCTGTTGAAAATAAACTCTAGACTTTTTCCAGCTTTTTGGCTCTGAGAGAAGAGAGAACAAAGGTATAACCCGAGGGAGAAAGTTATTGATGATAATAAAATAGTAAAATTTGCAACAGGGCATGTTGGTCCATTTCAGACCTTGTCTAGTGTGCCATTGTGTAAGAACAAATCAAACTCTCTAAAAATTCTGACCAGGTATATGCTGATGAACAAAATTTTTTTATTACAAATTGTAGGTATTCAAAATTAAAGTAACTACTGCAAGAATATGTATTGTATCCATCTACATGATTTTAGATTATATTCAATTAAGTTAATTAAGAATCAAAAGTAACGTTAGACAATACAATTATCCTCAAGAACAGGGATTATAAATTTGATTTATAGTCTTTTTAAGAATTTAAAATTAAATTTACCAGTAAAATTACAACATTCTTCCTTTCACACCTCTTTCAAACTCTCATTCATATGTGCAATTTAGGTAGTAATGTTTCATTTCTTTCCTTTAGGAGTACTTCAGCTGCTTCAAACGAGAACCTCAAGACGATTCTTACAATCAAGGCTAACGCCTGAAATGGAGCGAAAACTATGTTTTCTTTCTGGATCGGTGAGGTTTGGCAATCATAAGAGGTACCAGGACTGGTATCAGAGACAGGTAAGTAAGAAATCAATGATCTGAGTTGTTACTTGTGGCTTATCACTTAAGTAGTGGCAAATGTAAAATATTTTAAAAAAGTACAACAGTGTGTCAGCTGAGCATGTTACAATGAGGCTCTAAATTGAATGGATTTGACTGATTAGGATAAAAGTTGTATGTTCTTTTTTAGTTTCATCTAATTTTTTGGTCAGGTTGAACAGTTTTTGCCTTCCAAATTTTTACAGGTTCTTGTAAAAAAACCGGTTCTCGTAAAAAAGCCAGTTATCAAAGTCCATCAACTAATTGCAAATCTCGTAAAATTGGGTACCTATGACAAATTAGATGAAATTTTCCAAATTGTTAAAGTGCGCTCTTAATTTCTAAAGAGGTCAAAGGCTTGCCCAGTTTGTCTCTATATGTGATTGAAGATGAAAAATCGGTGATCCTCAATTTTTTCCATCTCTGCCAATATACCTTTGACAGACCAATGGCAGGTAATTCATTCTCTTCAAAACTCAAGTCCATAAACCTAAAGGACTAGACAGCAATGCTGTGTAACATATGATCTACGTTTGTAAGGATTGATGAAATTTATCCCTTGATTTTAATATTTTTGCAATTTTTTCAACAGTATTTAGCCACCCCCGAATCGCAAACACTTAGATGCGATCTGATCAGGTTTATCGTCGGAGTGATCCACCCTACGAATGAATTATTGTGCTCAGATATTATTCCTCGCTGGGCAATCATAGGTTGGCTTTTAACCACATGCACATCTACTGTGGCTGCCGCAAACGCTAAGCTGGCTTTGTTTTACGACTGGTTTTTCTTTGATAGTGAAAAAGACAACATAATGAATATCGGTGAGTGTAAGACTTTGTTTGTTAATCGTCATAACTAAGAATGCAAAAACCTGCAAAAACTTAGTTTCCTTCTTTTAACTCTTCTTCACATCTTTTGAGTAGGGTTGCAACGGTCAGAGAATATTTGAAAACCCAGGAAATGTCAGGGAATTTTAAAAAATCAGGGATAACCTGGAAATTTCAAGGGAAATGAAAAAGGTGTTGAGGAAAAATTGTAAAGTCACCTTCATTCGCCTCCTAGAGTAGGTGTGATGTTCCAAATAACAGATTTTGTGTGGAAACATTTTTAAATTTTGTCTCTCCAATCATCTGGCATATTTATGTCAGGAAATTTTACCAAAGCAAGTTAGAGAAATCAGGAAAATGTCAGGAAATTTGATTTTCAAAATTGTGTGGCAATCCTGAACGGGATTCTATAAAATGTTTGCAAAAATAATCTTTTAGCTCAGTCACGTTTTTTAGATTTTGACTCATTTTTATTTTATCAAACCTTTTCAAATTTCCATCCCTTTCAGTGCCTACTTCGCAAATTTTGTTTCATCATTTTTATAAATATTCGATGAACCCCAAAATAGTCTCCTTCCAAGCTACTGCAAATATTCCACTCAAGAGTTATACATAACACATAAATTAAAATAAAAGTCTCACTCATTTTGAGCACAAAATTTAACACTTTCACCTCTCTTTTTTTGTGAGTAAATATTCTCAGCCGCTCTAATGACTTTTTTTAGGTTCAACCCAATTCTTGATAGGCTACAAATAAAATTTTAATAAGCAAAGCATACAATATGCAGTGATGACGTGGACAGAATGAGTTGCTAATAATAGATTTTTCTTACCTCTTGATCTTGCCTTTTTCTCCTGATTATGTAGTCACTTATATTGTCTGATTATTTTTGTTTTCTCTTTCTTTAGAACCTGCCATTTTAGTCATGCATCACTCAATGAAATACCACCCCCCTGTCACTGCATCCTTATTGGACTTTTTATGTCGAGTAAGTTTCATACTTCGGTCTTACTATTTTTCTTGACAAAGAAATTTTTAGAAATAAGTCCCCACTAATATTCCTGTAAATCTGACCTTTATTGGTGAATTTTCTTGCGCAAAATTTGTTTCAAAGTTCTCCCTTATGACATCATAATTTTGATTTTTTTGCCTGGGAGGTTTCTTTTCCCGGTGGACAGACACATTTAATCAAATTTATTGTTAATGGTATTTTACTGAGTATGTGAAGGTATGTAAACATTGTAATGTATAGTATATATTTCTATTTTATCTTTCAGATCATTCCTCATTTCTATCCACCGCTGATGGAAAAAGTGAAAAACGGTGTTTACTCATCCTTACGGCAGATTCTGGAGAAAAGAGTTCTTCCCTCTTTATGTCCAATATTTGATAGTGATAAATTAGACAAGGAGTTGAGGGCAAGCGTGCGTGAACATTTTCTTGAATTTTGTTTTCCACCACCAGTAGAAGGTATGTTCATGGCTAATTATACCCTAGAATTTGCAGTTTGAAACTGTTTCTGTGCTATAACTGAAAAAACTTCATTCTGGATCAATTTTATCAATTTATATTTCCAAGTATTTCTTTCTTTATTTTCATGTATTTGTATTTTCTTTATTTGTATGTTGTAATGCAAAGTGACAAATGCAGTTGGTAATCACTTTTACCAGTCTGTTTATGTCAAATTTGTCACAGAACTCATTGCCTTTTTTACTTTCAGGCAGCAAAATTGAATGTATTAAAGAAACTGTAGAATCTACTGTGATACCAGGTACCCCTTTCCGAATCAACTCAGATTCTGAACCCACTTTCAGCGATGAAGAAGATGCTGCCATTCATGACGAAGAGGAATCCATATTCTGTAAGTAGCCTTTATTTATTCTGGTCTCCTGTGTCAACCTAAGTTGTGTCATCTTATTTTTGTACACATTAAAATCCGTCATCTCAAATCCAAGTATTCAGGGATGCTGAAAGTTCTGAACCTTCCCATTTAAAGAGCCCCCTTTTCCCCAGAAATCTCAAAAGGTTGAATTTTTTATGGCTCTGTTTTTATAAATTGCTGCAACTTTGTGAATTGGATGTGACTTTAACCACAATTTTGCACAGGAAGAAAAAAAATTTGCCTGCTCGTTGCCTACGAGAATGGATAGGTTTTCAGTTTTTTTTTTTTTTTTTTTAAAAAAAAACTGGAAACTTAACACTGGCACCTATAGCAGCCTTAACAGTGGCATCAATTTTTTAAATTTATTTTCTAAAATTACTCTGTAGTAAATTGAGCTTGCACAAATTTCCTCAGATTTTTTTATCCCTAAATGGCATAGAAAACTCATTTCGAAAATGTCTTAAATGGGTGTTGTTTAAAACGATAGTCTAATGAGGCTTTGTTGACGTAGTCAGCCAGGCAACTGCGTTTGCTAATCGGCAGAGCTCAGCCTCAGGAATTGCCTTGCTGTGTCAACTCAACTTTCAACTTTTGATTGGTTTAATTTTGGGTAGCTTAGAGTTTTTAATGAATTTTTCGGTTTTTTTCACAATTACCTGATTTATTTATTTTTTCTTCCTGGTTGTTTTGTGCTTCTCTTCCTTCAGGCTATGTACATTTCGGAATATACCTATTCCATCTTCAGGCCACTTCACCATTTTACTAGCACTATAGTGCGCGTTCTATATTCGATAAACTTAGAATGTTCAAACACTTAAAAGTTAAAAAACCGGAAAATAAAAATTAAAAATTACGCATAGACTAAAAAGACTGCCCGAGGCGCGACCGATCACTGATTACTTGATTCTTCCTCCTCGGCTCTTGTCCACGGGGCTAAGGAACGTCGCATTATCAGAGGTGTGTGTAACTTTTAAGTGTTTTAACATTCTAAGTTTATCGAATATAGAACGCGCACTATAGTGCTAGTAAAATGGTGAAGTGGCCTGAAGATGGAATAGGTATATTCCGAAATGTACATAGCCTGAAGGAAGAGAAGCACAAAACAACCAGGAAGAAAAAATAAATAAATCAGGTAATACTCATTAATCAACCTGGTAAAATGAAAAATTCACAAAGTTTTTTTCACAATATTTTAAGTTGGTAAATTTATAGTACAACCCTGCAAAAATTCCTTGCCCATGCCTCATTGTAATTTTGAATCTGCTTCTTAAAGAAGAACAGAAAATAAGACAGAGTTCCTCTTAACTTCACGAATGAAAATGAGCCGGACCATTTCAATTAGCCGGCCGCAATGTTGATCATTGACTGTTACTCCTCCAATATTGAATCCTCTAATGATTTTCTTCTAGTTGGAAGTATTTTTATTTTTTTATTATTTGTCTTTATGTCGCTGATTTTGTCCTCTTTTTTCCAGCTAAGAAGAGGTTAAAAAGCGAATCTTCACCTAGTCGATCAGATTCTCAACTAGACATTGCTGCATCACTAGAAGGCAATTTAAGAATAGCAGTTGAAAATTTACATCTTGAAAGTGATAATGATAAAAAGTAGGTACTTCATCTTGCTGTGCATTATTTAGCTTTTTTTTAGCTTCCTTAAAATAACGGCTGTGCGAATATGGTTTTTTTTATGTCGAATCAAATTGAATAGAATATTTTGAAAAAGTTTCGAATCAAATCGAATGTTTTTAGTTTTTACCTATTTTTGACCAAAACCAACCTTTGTGTTGGTGGAAGTAAAAATTGAATAAAATTTTTTTTTCTTTCTAACATTCAAATTTTGAATAAAGATATTAATATTATAGAGCAAAAGATTAAGAATAAATAAATTCATTTAATTATCAAATGGTTTTGCATAAATTTTGATTTGCTGGGGAAAGAAAGGAAGAGAGAGAAAATTGTTTCCTTTAATTAAGGACGAGCATTTGATTGAACTGTCTAAGAACTGTAAAACTGCTGCTTACTGTCCGAAAATCCATTTTATTCATTTTTACTTCATCTCAATGCTGATCTCGCAAAGACAGTCTAGCAACATTGTAAAGGCTATCGTGCCGCGCGAGGCGGAGGAGGGTAGGTTATGGAGGCTAGTACATTCAACCATTTGTACGCCATGTTGATGACGTAGTAGGTGGAACTCAAGTGGCGTGAATTTTGAATTAACTCTTCTAGTGCGAGTGCTGTGCGCTGTATGAGGCAATGAAACGTTGGCCTTGGTTTACCTAACCTCAAAACGTGTAGTTTGAACTGCGCGCCAGATCGAGTTCTTAGTAGTAGGTACGTCATCAAAATGGCTGAATGTAAGAATATTTGGTCTTTTTTTCTAGATATTCGAATTTTTGTCAATGTGGTCGAATAATTTGACTGTTCGAGGTTACTATGTTCGAGTTCAAATCGAATATCGGAAAAATTATTTGAACTCAAATATTCGCACAGCCCTACTTAAAATCAATCAACAGAACAAATGATATTATATATGTTATCTTAAACTGAAATGAACAACCAAAACATAAATGAAATACCTGTATTATCATAAGGATGACAGCATTTTGCCAGATACAATGAAACAAAGTTATTTTACTGAATAATCACAACATAGCAAAGTTTTCAGGCTTGTAGCAAGTTTCTGACAGTCTGGAAATTTGCAAAGTTGGGAAGTTTATATGAAATCTCAAGGAATTTTTAGGAAAAGTCAGTTCTCATCATTAAGTTCTCATTACCAGGAAAGTGAATCAGTTGATTTAGAAATTTTGAATGTCATGCAACCTACTAAAATCAAGGAATAAAATATCTGAGAAAAGTTTTGTAAAATCTACGCATCCAGTTTTTGAATCAGTATAGTCTACAAATTAAGTTGAACTTTGATTTTTAAATTTCTGGGATTCATAGATGTATTATGCCAAATTAGAGAATAGTTGATTCGATTCTTCTAACTTTGGTGAAAATATAAAACACCGATCAAACAGAATGTTCTTCAAGAAAAGAAAAAAACGGAAATAAAAAATGATCACCTCCTTTTCTTAGTGTTAAACAAATCCACATTTTAGTTAACCGCAGAAATATTGCCTCTCAAGAAAACCATAGCTGACAAACGAAGCAGCTTAATTGTTAATGAAGTGCTATAAATTTTATCACCTTTAATTTTTCTTTTTCATTGGTTTCAAGGTGTGAAGCAATGGAAAAATTGATCCAAGTATTACTGCAAGATGAGGATGCAGAGAATGAAACTTTGACGGCCCTCAGCACTTGTTTGTGCACCATTTTAGATGAACAGTTTGACAGGCCGACTTTACCTGAAAAATTGTCCAAAGAGTAAGACTTTTTCAAAACACAGCTTTGTTCTGTTTTTACTTTCACTCAATAAGAAGGATAAAAAATCATTGCACTGCTTTTTTAGGAGTTAATGTGAAATCGGTATTCTCTCACATTCATCAATATTTCAAGAGAGCTAAAAATTTTGAATTTTGGAAAGCTCATCGTGCTCAAATAGTCATACTGAACAACATATCTAATAATATCCAAATTTAGCCGGCGTCAAATTTCTTGGTATTCCATGTGTAGTCCTTCAATTGATTTGCAAATTCCGTTGTTCTTAAGAAAACTTTTTACCTCTTTCTAAATTAGGCAAATGAATTTCTATCTCTTTTTTTTTCCTCTACGGTTCTTATAAATTCATTGGAACTTTTTCAAAACTCTATAGTGATTGATTTTAAGTTTGTTGAACAGTCATCAACCATGACCTAAATCGACAATGCAACTGCAAAAATGCGCGTATTGTTCAAGTTGTTTTAAAATCTCAGTTCTTATCTTATTTTTTTCAATGGAAACCAAACCAACATCATAGCTTGAGATTTTCACCGAGTATTCTTCACGCAGCTGGAATTTTCAAGAAATAACTTAGATAAGAGTAGTTTTTTGTGTAGAAAATAAAGTAGGACAGGAAGTTGGCAACGTCACAAACCGACATGCGTTTTTTTAAGTTCATGTGTCACTCATGACTCATATCTTTACCAGCTAGCTGATCATTGAAATTGATAGACAAAATCCTAGACTAAGAAGACCTAGGGAAAATGGAGCAATCCTATCAACAGAAACGGTTGGTTGCAATGGAAGAAGGAGGTAAGTAATAGACTCAATAACAGCAACTCACAAGGAACTCTATAGTTAGTCCTTCAATTTCCCCCTTTTCTGTAACAACCACCCATTTCAATCAATGGGATCGCTTCATTTACTTTAGGTCTGCTTTGTCCATAGCTTTGTCCATGAATTCCAATAATCAACCTACAGGTGATTTGTGACTTTCAAGAGTTTAATCAATGGCAAACTATTTGTGGACTATTAAAAATTTAAATAGTCAAAGGACTACAAACAATATCTGACTCCGATCTGCGATTATCGACTCCTTCATTCTTTCCAGGTGTGTTGAAAATGATAGAAATTTTCTTCGGAAAAACTCAATTACGTTAATAAACTAATTATGTTTTAATTTGTATTGTTTTCTTCTTGCAGGAGTATAGAAGATAGCCTAGAAAGACCTATTTTTGTGATGTATCGCAGCTTAACACAGTATTCTGATGAGGATTCTCGAAGGCAGCCTTTGCTGACCGTGCTTAGTGAAATGTATAATAGCCAACCAAAAATAGGATATCTTCTTTTGTATTATCTCCAGGCTACTGCGCCACCTGATCAATTAGAGAGCAAATCCAGTGGGTAAGTGCCTTCATCCTGTAAATTTGCGAAACCCTGAAATTACCTTTGTTACACACTCAACACTGATCAAATGAAGCACAAATTATACCAATGATGTCATTTGTGCTCTCGAAATTTAACTGATGTTAATCATAAATACTTATATCTTCTCAAGTAGTGAAGTCAGGTGAATCATACTTGACCTAAAATTTTGTAGAACAATTATTTGGCGGAAGATCTTAGTTCATACCTTGTCTAGTGTCTCATTTGGTTTTAATTCACTTGGAAACCATCACGACTTCATTTCTGTCCTGATTTTGACTGATTTTGCCAGTTGCAGATAAACCAACTTTCAACAAATCTGTGTTAAATGAAGTATTTGTTAAGTAGTAACTAATTTTGAATCCAAGGTAATTTCTATAAACTCTCAATATAAAGAAATACAGCTTTAATGAAGTCTCAAAATTGACTGTTTGCTTTTCATGAAATATTCAGCAACTGAGGTTAGTAATAGGTACTAAAACTAACGAGATTCTACATCATGAAAGTACCTAAATGAATGAAAAGAAATAGAAGTTTTCCTCGTGAGTTCGCAAGAAATACGTCAGAGCATATTAATTGACAACAACAGTTGTCTTACCTTCCTATCTAAAACTGTTCTCTAAAAAAAAAAAACCCCTGTTGTATTAATCAATGTTTTTAAATTTCTTTTTTGATGTTGTAGATCTAAAAGAGCCAGTGTATATAAACAATTCTGTGAAATATTAGATAAGGAATTAGAATCATGTCTCATCGGTGATTTGACGGTAAGAATAAGTTTCTCATGTGTTTTTGCATTATCATGTTCCGCTCGATCTGTAAGTAAGCCAATCTCTCTCCTAAACAAGCACATGTCCCAAGGTTAAAACAAGTCTCAATGGACCGATAAAATATCATATTTAGGTTGATCTTAAGTATCCTTTTTGTTGTCGAACCCATCAGGATAAGGAAGAAATATGGTTGATTGATAGAGGGAACAAGACTCAATTACGTACTCACAGTATTAAATTAAAGCACATCACGTAATCAAGAAGATGATTCTTTTCCTAAAACATCGCGTTTCTCCATCCTCGATGTGAAAGAATTAAAAAATTTCAATATGATAGAAAATTTCACTCGAAAGTAGCATCCTCTATATTGTAAAAAATTGGACTGCCCTAAGATCAATTGAACCACATTTTGCAACTCAGAACTAAAACTTCTGGCTCAGTTTAAAAACAACGTTTACACCATTAGTTTCTCTTTAGACATATGTGTTTTTATAGCTGAGCCAGAAATTTTAGTTCCTCATTGCAAAATGCAGTCCAATTACACACCAGTGCGCACAATAGATCCAGGTGATCCCATAATCAATAGTTTAGTGTAGGTCTGAGAAAAAACTAAATAAGAAAGTAACTGGTGTCTAAATGAATTTCAATACCCCAGTATGCTGTAGAAGAGGCACAAGAATGGCAGACAGGAGCTCTGCTGATAAAATGATGGATGTGAACCCATGAATTTATTTGTACAGAAATCATAATTCATCATCTCAATGTTCCATTTTACTGACAAAAACTGATGAGAAAGACTCACAAAAGTTAGAATCTCTTGGTCAAAAACAAAGGTATTTTTGTTCAACCCAAGGTAAATTTCCCTAGCATTTGAAGAAGCAGCGGTACATTTTAGGTTTTGAATAATTTTCAATAATATCGAGCGTGCTCTAAATTCTATGTCTTGGTAAATTGTGTCTATCTTGATTTTAGACATGGACAACAGTTAAGCTCTCCTGCTCAAAGGAGCTGTAATGGTTTGTTGTGAAATGTGTGAAATACATATTTAGTGTGTGACAACAATTCTTATCCAGAGTACAAGTGCCGAAGTGCATTTCTACAGTTTATGAGATTTGCATCAATTCTTGCCTGCGGTTTACGTTTTTTTTTTTTTTTTACACTTAAGTGCAGTGTCATTGACTAAGAAATTCAAAACTAACCTCTCGTTGAATGGTATGCATAGATGGTATTACACAACCTCATCAAGGCAGTGAACTATCATGCGTGTGAAGATATCATTGGCGAATCGAAGAGCAATTATTCTATTTCTCCATTTCTCCTATTATTATTGTGATTATTCCTGATTATTATTTTTACTCCTTAGTTTTTTCAAGTGCATTCTTTTATGTTTTTCAGCACTGTCAAGATTATGAACCGAGTTTATTATGTTGGCTTGCCCCGAGCATATATTGGCAGTTCAATAGTATAGCATTGAACAACAAAGAACTAGTTCACCTTATTGTATCATGCTGTGATTCTAGGCAACTGCAAGAGCTTGTCTGCCTAATAATTCAAGGTATCATACAAGTTTTCTCTTACAGAATTGGACTAAATTTTACAATTAGGAACTACAATTTTAGGCCATCTGTAAAAAAAAAACACTCCTGTGCACAGGGAAACTAATGTTACATAGGTCGGTTCTAACCTGAGCCAGATATTGTTGATATGAATTGCAAAATGAGGCCCATTTAAAAGTTGATTTGATGACACCCTGTCTATTACCCTTCCCAGCTCAGATGTCAAACGTAAATTGCTGTTGCACCAAGCAAAAATAAGGTATCAAGTATCCTCTTGTTTCGATAACTTTGGGCCATACTCAAAGTCGTTTTTTTATCAGCTCCTTTCCTTGGGAAGCTTCATCTGGTCCACATTTTGATAAAAGGAAGTTTAAGGCGATCATCAATATTGCACCATTAAAAGGACCTTTTTAACAAATCTCCAGTGAAACTCAACAGTGTGATTTTCAAAATAGACTCTTGCAAGAGATTAGTATGATTTGCCACCTGAAGAAATAAAAAAATGTAGGAGAAAATATTCTATGATTTTGGCGAACTTCAAGGTAAAATATCCAAAACCTGCGAAATTTTTTCTTTTTTATTCAGTCTCAAGTGCTTTACTTAATTAAAACTGATGGCCCAGGAAAACCTAAATATTTGGCATGATTTACTACATCAAGCGTAATATCTTAAATGTCATTTATGCTAATTTTTCATTCATGCATTTTCCTTTGCAGGTCGACTTGTTTTGTTCCGAGGGGATGCGGTCATACCCATACTAAATGCTTCTTTGAATTGGGAAACATTTGAGCAGTTTTGCTTCTGGCAGTTAGTCTTAGCTCATAATAATGTTTCTCTTACGAATATTCTTTCTGTCCTCCCTCGGCTGGATTACAAAAATCATTCAGAAGCTTTGACATCAATAATGCTGCTTTTAAAACGTGAAAAGTAAGTAAAATGAAACCAAGAATCACATCTTCTTGTCTATTTTAACTCTCCAACACTATCAACGTTTTTAATGCACATAGCAGTTCTAATGTTTGTAGCACTGCTTTTTATTTGCTGAGAACCAAGATTGCCAAGAGAGAAATGTAAGACAGCCTTATTAAAATAAGTATAAAATTTCCTGAAGTGTTGTCAATTTCTCTAATGTATGATTAACCGTTCAAAAGCATTTTTACCAAAAAAAAAATGCTTTTAAATGATAACAATCATACTCAAAAAGATTGTTCCTTCCCAAGAAATATTAATAATCCATTGGTAAATCTAAATTCCGTGGGAGTCCTGCTCTCCACATAACTTGATGCATTTCAAGCCTAATGTAAAAATAGTGATACGCCATTGCATCAGAGGAGCGATGCAATGTGTAAAAGACCCTTTTAGTATTCCTTTTTAAGTACAGTAAGACCTCGAATTATCGGATCGCGATTTAACGGATCGATCCTCCGGTCCCTTCAGCAGGACCGACTAGCACGATTTAGTGGATTTCGCGATTTAACGGATTTGGCCCCCAGTCCTGTGAAACCTGATAAATTGAGGCCTTACTGTATGTGAACTCTATTGATCTCCCCTTTTTTCAGGCCTACCTCAGAACTAGTTCGACAGGTCCTGAGTCGGGAAACACGACCCTTGACCGATCTATTTACCGTCACTATGTTACAACACTGGTCCCGTGATTATGAAACGCTGGGGGATATCATCGGGAACCTGCTCTCTTCTAGGTGTCCAGCCGTGTCACCAAACAAACGAAAGCGAGGACAGCAAGGTTTGTTTCTATTGACTCTCTACAAAATAATAAGCCTTACACCGTGTTTTAAAAACATGGGTAAAGATACATTTCGACTTTTGAGTCCTGTTTGTTCCTTAACCACCTTTGAGGTGTCCTCCACTCATTTTCCGCACATCCCTGACGTGTGCTGAGTTAGAAATATCAGGCAAAGCTCTGTGGTGCACATTTTTAGAATTACACTTGTGGAAGGTAATATTTCAGACCATCGCACTCTCAAATTTTTTAAGCTGTCTGACAAAAAAAGCGTGTTTTCTCAAAAATAACCGTGCCTCTGCTGAACAAATATGCATTCCTACAAAGTTGACCAGGGATGGCAGGGAAATGATGCACTACAGCAGTAAAATTACTATCTCCTCTCGTTTTCCACTGATGTTTTTTCAAATAAAACGTATTTCAATGTGGAATCGTTGCTTGTTTACTACAGATAACATGAGTGAGATTAAATTCTTTCTGTTTGAAGTAGGAAGAAATTTGACGGGAGTTGTAGAAACCCGTGCTTGCTTCTGATTGATGCCAGATGACATCATTTGGTTGGGCGCAAAACCGGAGCGTTTTAAATTTGCGGAAAAGTTGTGCCTTTTGAACCGAGTATTTCTCAGTTTCTGAGTTATTTTTTCGCGTCTTTCCTGTGGGCATCATTTACCCACAGAAAAATGTATATGCACGTCAAAATTCGTTTTTAGTTTAGTGACCCATTTTGCAAATTTTTTGTCACAGCTGAGTACAATCTAAAGGTACTTGCTTTTATCTCAAAAAAAAGTACTGCCTGGTTGACAGATTTAACCCACATGAAACCAACCACATCAGACGTTGCCTAATTTTCTCTGAATTTTATTATTTAAACAAAGTTCTGAGCAACACTTTATTAAACTTAAAATTTGTGATTACATTCTTTATAATCTACGATGAAGTCACGCAAAGTTTTCAAGGCTAAGTAGGAAGAAAAGTAAGTTAGTTTGTATTAAGTAAGTAAGATTAAGCAGTTTAGTTCTTTGTTGGAAAACAAGAAAGAAAAAAAAGAAAAAAAAAACATGAGAAAAATTAGGCAGTGTGAAATGCAGTTAGGCTGACTTTGATTAAATCCGTTTGGTTGTGAATCATTTACAGACGTATTTTGTTCGAAACAACAAATTGTTTCTGTTTTTTTCTTGTTTCTTTTACGCAATTCTGAACCACCAATGAGAAAGCAAATTCGAATTTTAGGTAAGAAAACAGCGTTTTCTTGGGCAACAACATAAAAACGACTTGCTCTGAGCACGTTGCAGTCGTTGCGCAGCAATATTGCTTTAGTGGCTCCCAAGTTTTGAGCATGAAAATAAGCTCCGCCCCCACGACACAATACAATTTCGAACAAAATGCGTTTGTTGCATGTTTTCACAACATGTTGCGAGTGTTGTCTCCGAACAAAATACGACCTATTTTTCTTTTTTTGTTCTTTTCTTTAATATATTTCTTGTTCCTTAGCACATTATTTTGCATGTTTTGTTTTATTTTCAAAGGATTTTTGTGGATGGACTATCAACCCCCTCTCTGGTCTTCTAATTTCTTTCCCAGTCGCACCCATTACCCCCCTTTCATTAATCCCCTCGATAGTCTTCCCTCTCCTTTTCTTGATTCTGGTAATCCTCTAATCCTTTTTCTTATATCTTTATTCTATTTTTTCTTGAAAACTCAATGTTTTTTCCAACTTATCATTTAAATTTTTACAGTCCTAGTTCCTGGGTATTTTTAAAATTATTTTTTGTCAGTTCTGAAACTCAGTAAATTACCTCCTAAAAGCAAATATGCATAAGTCCAATTTATCAGTAACAATTTTTATACCAGACAGCAAGGCTCCCTGAATTATTTTATTTCTCCCGTCTTGTCATTTACAACTGAAACTTCCCAAGTTGTTGGCCGTGACTCGGTCAATATTTTTGTTTGGCAATATTGCAAATGGAAAAGGATCATCCAGGGCAGGAGAGCCATTGCGATGCTGAACAGGGTGCTCTGGGATCAGAGCATTTCAAAGGCAAACAAGCACCGAATATTTGACGCCATTGTTAAAAGTATCGTGCTCTATGGTAGTGAAGTGTGGCCTTTGACGAAAAGAATGCAAGAAATGTTGAGGGCAACTGAAATGGATTTTTGGCGGCAATCTGCCGGCATTTTGAGACGGGACCGTGTCTGTAATGAAAGAATTCGCCAGGTGATGAAGGTTTAAAAAGATATCGTGCACGACGTCATGTCCAGGCAGTTATGCTGGTATGGATATGTGCAAAGAATGTCAGAAGAGAGGTTGCCAAAATAAGTTTTGGATTGGGTACCACCTGGGAAGAGGCGACGGGGACGTGCCGTAAAGGGGTGGCGGCAGGGCATTGACGAAGAGATGTTGTGGTATCAGTTGCCCGATAACCTCTGGGAGGATAGGCATAAGTGGCGTTTGGGTGTTGCAGAATGCCAGAATGCGTTGTAGGAGTGCAATCATCAACAGTCATTCATGAACATCAACATACAACATCATTCATGAGTTGTAATATTGCAAATTATTTCCTTGATTTTTTTATTTTTTTGTTTGTTTTTGGAGTCTGGGGATCTCAGGAACAATAAGGCTGTTGAAAATTTTTTTTGGAATTCATATTTTGACAGGATGTGAAAAAAAAAAAAAAAATGCATTCATTTTTCCACTTTCATTCAATCAAGTGCTAGCTGAGAAAAAGATTTTCCATTCATTTCTGTCGGCCTTTTTTCCCCTTTTTTTGCTTCTGTATTCGAGGTAAAAATCTGAGGACTGATAAAATCTTGATAAAATTAATTAAATTAATTAATTAATTAATTGTAAATTTAATTATAAGTTTAAACTTCTTTATTAAAATTTAAACTGCTAAATTTAATTATAATTTTGAAAATTATCATCATGCTTTATTTCAGGGCAAGGCCTCGGTGCTAAAGGTGGAACATCGCCACCAAGTGCAGAAAAGATCCTGGGACATCTAGATAGGGTCCACAGCACGTGCAAATCATTACTGAAAGTTGATGCAATGCAGCGGGCTTTACAGACAGCCCAGTATGCTTGCACGGAAACGCAGAGGTCTTTATATAGTAACCTGTTTGCATTACTAGAGCCAGCAGAGAATACAAAAACAACCGATCGAGGGAAGAGCAGTGGGAGAGGAAGGAAAGCACAGACCAACAGTAGCAATTATAAATCGAAATCCAGTAGATCTAACAAGTTCTCCGATAGCTCTGATGAATCAAGCGAGGTAAGCTTTTTTTCTTTTCCGCGCCTTTGTAGTCAGAGAAGAAACAATTAGAAAACTTCTTAAAGCCATTGAAGTCCTTGCTAATGCTACACCTAAGCCAGAAACTTTTAAAATAAAATTGAATCAGAAGCATAATGAGAGTGAAACTCCTAAACGACGTATCGCCTTTGCGATGTTGAAAAATCTCCGCTCCTATTTTATTTGCTTCAACGAAAACAAAGTAACTGGGTGAATTACCAATGCATTGGTTGTTGGAATTCTTATCTGGTAGATAAAATATCCCAGTATCATTTTCTATAGTCAAAAACGCAAACACTTGAAAATTGCAGCCTGTTCTTTCAATCTTTTTGAAAAAAATCAAGAACTTAGCATTTTTGAGTATTAGACATAAATTAAACTTTATATTAGCTGAAAAACGGGAACGTCCCGTAAAGGGTTGGCGGCAGGGCGTTGACAAAGAGATGTTGCGGTATCAGTTGCCCGATAATCTCTGGGAAGACAGGCATATGTGGCGTTTGGGTGTCGTAGAACGCCAGAGTGCGTTGTAGAGCGACTTTATATTTATATATTAGCAGAAAATTTTCTTCAAAAATTGTATTGTTCTCCTTCAAAATTTTCTCTGTTCATTTTGTTTTGTCGGGTTTTAATACAATTTGTTTTTTCATCGTTTGTTTTCAGGAAGAAGAGATAGTTAAACCTAAGCAAACAAAAAAAAGACGAAAAGTGAATCCTGTGAATTCAGATAGTGATTAAGTTATGTATAGTAATTCCTAGATTTTGATCTACAACTTGTTTACCAATAGGTTTAATGAAATTGGTTTTTTGTACAGAGTTCCACGCCCCTCTCTCCTTTTTTAATTTTGTAACGGAACATTCTTTCGATGTTTCTGGCACTTCCAGCAAGGTCTCCTCAGGTCTAACTTAGCAAAGCACGCTACTTCTTTCGGTTTGCCTTTGCATTTTTCCGCAGAGAAGCAAAAGTTCTGAAAGCTGTGTGTAGTGTAGATTTTGAATTAATCAAGTCCTGAAAATGAGAGGAATGAATTTCAGTTATTTTGACTGCTGGTGACTATATTTCCTCCCCTCTTTTATGACTATAGTGATTAAGCAATGATTGTTACTTTTATTTTACGATTTCCTAGTGAATCCGGTCTGTTATGTGATTTTTATTTTTTTAACTAACAATTTCATTGTTTTTTTGTTTTTTGTTTTAACATCTTTCAATTGCTCTTAGTTCTTGAATTACTATTTGTCCACTCAAACACTTGTTCGATTTGCCGTGATAAAGAATGCTGTACATTTTGTCCGTAATAATTTTATTTAGATTCTATAAATTGTATTGATTTGCTTTATACTGTTTTATGAATGCATGAAAAAATTCACTAAAGAGCCATACAATTGCATTTTACTTTGGTGTGGAACCTCAGAGACCTTAAATCTTATCGTCGTTGTAAGATGTAAGCTTTAATAGTACTTTAACGTGGACTCAGATGGGAGAGTGGGCAATTGCAGGCATTTCAAAATTGTTAGGTAAATTAATACAAAGCTAGGCAGTCAAAAGGACTGATATAAATATAAACTATTCAAGATGCATAATACAAAATTCAAAAAAAGATCACAAACTACCCATAATAACCTCTTATACATTCATGCCGATATTTTTTTTAAAATCTGAAAGATATTTTTAACCCAGTTCCAGAAATATCACGACGGAATGTAATTGAATGGCAAACGAAAAGTATTTACTCAAGTCTGTAGATGTAAAAGTCAATGTTTTCACTTTCAGCTTGGTTATCAATCTTGTTTGTTGTATCATTCATAGTGGGAAGCTCAGAAGTGGCCGCCTCTGATTTTAATGTGGATTGCAGCGATAGTAAGTGCAAGGACAATTTATTGACTGTGGTTTTCAGATTTTATTGATCAGCTCCTTTTGATGATAACCTCAGTATAAGAAATATTAAAAAGCCTATTGTATATCTTTCAATGGCCATGCAACAGCTTAACAATCGCTTTTTGGCACAGGAGTTGTAGGTTTGAATCTGCAGCTGCAGCTGGATTGTTGAAACTTTAACTGACTTTGTTGACACGATAAGACAAGACATAGCTCTATTTGTGCTGTGTAATATATCGATTTTTGATTCCTGTCTTGCCGACATAAATTTCAACAATCAGGCAGCAGGGCTTTTGTTTGTAATGCTACCTTCAAATTTTATGAATATTAAGTTTTAATAAAAAAAAGGGAAATAATAAAAAAAATAATAATAATAAAAAGAAACTTTGGTTCAAACTTTGGCTCCTTTCCATGAGCATGACATTCTGTGGAATGTTTACTTTTGATTGGCCTCCACCTGTGGAACTTGCAATTATTATAATTAATTTTTGTAAACTAGTAGAAGCTTTTCTCTCATGATAATATTATTGAATTCTATTCTTGTGAGGAGAGGATCATAGGAAAGAGGGTTATTTTTAATACTCATAGTATAATCCAAAGGTAGTCTCTAAATCAAAAGGCTAACCTGAGATTCAAACCTGTGTCTTTTCCACTTAAAAGCAAGCACCGATCCACCATGCCATCCACGTATGATATGCAGCAGGCAGACAATTATTCCTCATACTACTGATGATTATTGATTATCAAAGGAAATTTTCAGGCATGTTTTTGGGGAATTTTGGGGGCCCAACGACAAAAGCCACATCCATCAGCTATACCTGAAATTTTCACAGCTACAAATCCCTTCAAAACAGCTGCTTCCAAGCCTTGCCTTGCCTGATATCTGTCATACCTTCACTGCTTTTGTTCAGATTTTTTTTAGCTTCACATTATTTTGGTAATTGTTGAATTTTTTGCTGGAATATCCTGGCCAAGTTATTTGAGCAACCTTCACGGCAGGTGCTTTCACCATCAATAAAGCAAATATTTACGGTCTCATGGAACTCTCATGTTGTCTTTACATTTACATCGCTTCTGAATGCCAAAACACTCTCCAAGATTTTTTATCAGCCATGTAACATACAATCCCTTTTATTAAGCTGTTAACTTTTAGGATCGTCATATTATTAATGAAATCATCGAAAAGATTTTACATAGATGATTTCTCCCTGGCATGGGGCAAAAAATAATCAGCATCCGCTGGTACATCAAAACAACTCAATTATTTTTAAGGTACAACAGTCTGTATTTTTCCGTTGATTAGCAACTTTATTTAGTTGTTTATTTTTTCATTCTTCTGAAAGAGTGTGCTGCGTCAATTTTCAGTATGACTACATACTAACTTGTAAAATTGTTGAAATTTCGTAGAAAATGAAATTTTTACTTCTCAGTAAAATGAAATTTCATTTTGAATCCCTGCACGCAAGAAACTCCAAAAGTCCCTTGTTCTTTTCCTCAAACTTGAGGATAATTTTAAGAGAGCGATACATTTTTTTACCCTTTTTTGTATTTGTCACGTGTCCTCTCAAAAATTTCATCAGGCTTTGTTTTCTTCCATAAGTCGTTGCGTCACCGAAATATTTCGATTTGAGAGGTTAAAATTTTTAGGTTGAAACGACATTCAGTGCATCAAAAAGTTTTATTTTCTGTGAGAACCTAAAGTTTGGCATTTGCCCCACATCACCTCAAAAAATAGTAGCACATGATTCTCAGGTCCACGTTTCAGAATGAAAGAATTTATGCACGATCTTTTGACTTGCGATTGACAATTTCTGAGAGTTCACATTAAATATACCTCCTTTTACTCCCTTTTTTCCCCCTAAATATTGCAGACCTTGATAATCCATTTCAACACCTCTCTTTCAACCTCTTTCAAGGCAGGGCGATTCCATGTCAGAGCTCTGATGTCACAGCCCTACCTTCTTTAAGTAGAAAGTTTTGCACCTACTTAGCATACTCATACTCAGTGAGTAATGAGTTCCTAATGTATTCACTTTTTGCACAGTCGAGTCAATTTAGCTGAAATCATTCTGTATGTTTCAGTAAGAAGAAAAAAAAAATTAAAAAATAAAAAATACATTAACGAATGAATAAAAACATCAAAATTGATATTTTGTAATTATGACTTATTTTGTATCAAATATATGAATGATTTCTGTGGAAATTGTTTCGTTCTTATTTTCCAAGCTTTCATATATCCAAATTATTCTGTTTCTGTAAATGTTAATCCTGCACGGATTTCTATCTTCCAGACATAACAAGTGCTGTCCAAAAATAAAATTACAGACTTTGTTTTCCACTCAGTCAAAAAATTCAAAGCAGCTTTTCAAAAAAGTTTCTGTTTGTAGAACTTTCAGTGTTTAAGAAAGCTGAACATTTTAATAATCTATGCAAGACTTGCAATGTAGGTTATTGTAACACTAGGCTTGCCTCTCAGCTTATCGCTGGAAGGATATTTCATTATCCTGTGTAAAATTATAGATAGGTAGAGGAATTTCATGTAGAGGAATCTGCTTGATGTACTAAAAGCATTTCAATTTTTAAAGAGCTGTAAGTTTTGATTATAATTGCGGGTCGCTGAAACTGAGGGAAATAGTTTTTTTTATTTCATGTATTTTTATTGCTACTCCTACATTGTTGTAAAGAGTCGTCAAGACGGAAACCTCAGTAACAAGAGGCAAGTAGTCTTATTTAGAGTGACTCTTGTTCAAATTTTTTTTGCCGAATTCCCAACTTTACAGCAAAAAATAAGAGAAGCTAATTTCACCTCATAAAGTAACTCCAATCATTCTTGAGTTCGAACAAAAATGTGAGACAAGAACTTAGTCCAGTGAGTAAATGAGTGCTCAGGGAAGAGAGAACAACAACCGATCTCCAAATTAGCTTTTGAAGTCTGTCAACTTTTCAAATTGCTGGGCTTTTTTGTCTTATTTTTCTCCACTTGCTATAGTAAACTTGAGGGGCTTGGAAGACAAGGCGTATAAGTGCAGTGTATTTGCTTTTTTGAGAAAAAGTATTTACTTAGAGTTCCGAAATTAAATGGCTATTCATTGCAGTCAGAAAGTTCAAACTGACTCTTTCATGCTTAAAAATTGTACCTAATTTAGGAGCGAATTTCTCATAGAATGTGCATTAAGACTAGTTTTACTTAAAATCATTGAAACCTATCTCAATTTTTTTTAAATTGCACTTATGCGCCTTGTCCTCCAAGCCCATCAATTAATGTCACATTTTTTCCCCCACACCTTCGGATATTTTTTGGGCTTGCAAAGGATGTTCTGTGGAATAGCAATTTTGGTTTGTTTCTCTCTAAAAAGAATTAGATGCATACTTATTTTTTGAAACCCCGTCTGCAAAATTTATGTTTCTGAATTTTCATCAGTATTTTTCAATTTTTACAGTTAAGAAAGAGGTGTGTATCTACCAAAGTAGGATGTACCTAGACCTAGACAGTCCTGGTGAAAATGATGCATCTACCAAATGTACCTACAGGTCAACTGCCCTCAAAGCAGAAGCTGAGTCAGGAAACTAGCTCATTATATCCCTTTCAAATTTCAATGGAAAATCATTTTTAAATGGTATGCTCTCATCTGGAGTAGCTACCTTCATTATTTCTGGCAATGAACCTGCAAGGACATCTCTTGCCTCAAGGGTAAACTTGTGGATAGGGGGAGTGTCAAAATCTCATCCAAGGGGCCGTACCTATAAATGATCCACTGTTATCTTCATGAAGTCACCAAGCCTGACTTCAAAAGATACCTTACCAGCCAGTGATGTACTTAAAAAGAAACGCAAGACCAGACAGATCACTATTCACTATTCTGTGATCAATTTGCAAAATGCAGACTTGTAACATAACAGCTGGGAGTATTATCACCTACAGTGAGATGAAATTAAATTTTGTCGGAATGAAAATTTGTCGATGGTAATATATTTATGCAAGTGACCGTGCTCGGCTGTAAATGGTATTGAGAGATAAATTTTTCTTGCTCAATCTAGAGTAGCGGCCGGCTGTTTCTTGGCAGAGAGGCAATAATCATTAAATATTTCATCATTGCCAATTAAGAATTAAAATGTTGCCCCATTTTTCATAATAAACCGAATTGCTACTGCGCTGCCAGATGTTAGGGATCAGGGTTCATTTCTTATGGTGATATTGTCGTCGTGAGACAAGGAATCTTAAAATTTTCAAAGTTAGCCATGGTAAGCCATTAATTCATGGAGAAATCCCGGAATTTACTCTCCTGTGTTCCTGTGTGAGCAAAGGGTGATACAAAATATTCCTGTCAATTTGGCAACCATTAATATTTTTGCAATGTTTAATGTTTCGAACACAGATTAGTCGTTTCAAAATCCCTAGTTTCAAAGTTCCGTTCCGCAATTCGGTTTCAATTCCTATTTCGAACCGTTCCGTGTTGAAAAACCGCAAACGAACGGAGCTTGAGTGAACCGGCTTCGTCGTCATCGTCGGCAAAATTCTTCGGGAAACCTTTCGGAGTTCTTTTCTACAGTTTGACATGTGAAATAACTTCTAATAAGTGATTCTAAAAATTAAGTTCTAATTTTCTCCCCTCCCAGCCTATGACTTTCATACTGTTACGCTAGTTTTCGCCATCGATAAGCAAGCAACCTTGAGTTTCAATCGAAGACGTCTAGGCAATCTCGCCATTTTGTTTGGGATTTCCAAAAGAGATGACGACCAATAACTACTTTGGTTTCACACACGGCACGCAGTATTCGTAAGTTTTTAACATATTTTGACCTTCTTTAGGATATTTTTCTCTATCTCACCGCAATTCGACGCCTGCATTCTCCACCGGCGGCATAGCATGATGACCCCCTCCTCTCGCACCATCCATTTTTTCCTATCCTTGGGCATTCAATCCTTAAACCATACTTGATCGCGTATTCTCCGTCAGCAACTCACAGTTTTTTTTAATATTCCGTAACTCTACGACGCATTCTTGGGGGTTCTGCCAGGCTCCATTCATGGGTTAGTCTGGTGCAAGCACCCAATCCCGAGTCGGCCCCATGAAATCAACCCTCAGTTTGTATTGGAAAACTGAGTTCGGTTCTGGTATTCTTTGATTTGATCAGGTTTTCATGTCATCTAGGCCTCTGTCTCACAGTAAGAGTCTCCATATTCTCCCCAGCAGAATATATCGGAAGCTCAGACGTTGTGTTCTTCCTGCATCGACTGAGCAATCGTTAGCCTTCTCACTTTAGGCCTTCATAACAGACTCACTATATTTCTAAGATCAGATGCTTGTATGTCTCTGAAAGCAAAGTCAATGGAGCTCTCCTTGTCATTTTTTACCTTAGGGTACCAGAGACTTACCTGAAGACGAATTTGTTTCTGTTCGGTTTTATCTTCATGATTGACATACGGTAGCATGCTAAAGTAGTCCTTGTTGAAGTTGAGGGCTTCTGACTTGAAACATGCAGATTTTCCAGAGATCTACATATTGCTGAGGTTGCATATTTGATCATCTGTGAGTGTCTTTTTTTAATGATTATATTTTGATGGTCGCTTTCTACTTATTGGCTGAATGGTAGACCAGCAGTTGCATTAAGAGCACTTAAAACCTATAGACTCGAGTTGGGGTGAAATTAATCTTGGTTTTATAGTTGAATTAAATGCAAAGAAAGAATCAAATTAAGTCTAAATAATGAAATCATATATCTGAACTTGACAACTGACAATTACGATCATTGATGTGTTCCAAATTGCCCTACATCCACCACTCCCAGGCTGGAGTCAGATTTTGAGGAATGGATGTCACAAAGTTCAGAACTTAATGGCATTTTAATTTTTAGCAGCATCTCAGAGGTATTGAGAATACTTAAAAAAGACGGTTGTGGCTAAATTCAGATTGCTGACAACTTTTTTTTTTTTTTTAATTTAAATTATTAAATATATTACAAAGCAACAATCTACATACAGTACTCAGTTGACTGTGGACAGGGCGCCTTACAACAGAGATCACTGGCATATAAAAATGAGTGGGGAGAAACGTAGCTTTCTGACAACCAAGATATTTATTAGGTGAAGGCTATTTATTACGAACGGCTGTACAGGTCAGGCGATAATGATGGTCAGAATAGACAGCTCATGTCAATCTTAGAGAGGTGATCTTGATCGAACTGGGAGAAAAAAAGATAGGGCAAAAGTCACATCAGAAAATGGCACCATTCAACATAAATTCATGTGCTAACCAATGGACCGACTAATGATGGATGCGTTCAGGTTGAAATGACTTTGGTCTTATCTTTCCTCTCCCAAGCCGACTGATTATTATTGAAATTTTGTGTTTGTCGGATGGACATAGATGACTTAGGTTAAATGGAGGATCGTCGTAGGTTGGCTACGTCTTATTGTTGCTTTGTCAGGTGGAATTCACGACAAGCTATCCACACCTCTTGAGTTTCCGACAGTATGTCCTCTACTCCATCTAACAAAGGTACAACAAAGCAGCGTTAAGACACAGCTATCCAGTCATGCTCTGCCGTTTAACCTATGTCATCTTTGTCCGCCTGACAAACACCTAATTTCAATAATTGGCCGGCAGCTCCAGTAAACTTTAGAAAAGCTTTAAAAATTAGAGGGTAGGCTGCCAGAGAGATCTTCTCTGATGATTCTTACAATGAGTTTCTTCATTTTAAAGTTTAACACTACATGTTCAGTATCGCATTTTTACGAGAGTCCATGCCAAAGAAGTTTATGCTTCTTCAGAGTGTGGCGGATAATCCGCCATTTTGATTCTTTAACTTACTTTATAAATGGTTAACTGAGATCAGCTGATCCTTTGTCACACTATATTTAATGAACATAAGCGAATTTGATAAGGACTCCAATGATTTGGAGGAATTTTTCAGCAAGTTTCAACAAAGAAAACTCCAAAACAAAATTGTTTTTTGTTGGTTTTTTTTTTATTTCATGATTTCACTGATGCTTATTGTTTCTTTCATAGTGCAACCCCTGGGACAACTTATCCCACTCAGCAAACTGGATACTCAGTAACTCCTGGTGCAACTGCTGCCGCATATCCAACTCAGAGAACCGCAACTGGGTATGAAACCTACCAGACACAAGCCACCCCCACTGCTTACGCAGGTATTGTTTCTTTACAGTTTGACCTCTATTTATTTACATTTAGTAACCCTTCAAAGGAATTTAAGAAAATATTTTCCAAGTGATACCGTGAACTCTGCAAGTAAATTTGCACTTTGCACTTTTAGGATACTTGTTGATGGTTTAAGTAAAAATCTATGTAGGTATTATTCTGCAAATATTTCTTATAAATTCTTCGTAATAGTTTGATCGCAGTTAGTTATCTGAGTGTCTCGTGAGCATGAAGAAAATAATAAAAAAAAAGAAGAAAAAAAGCACCGAGCCCTGAAGAAACTCTAGATGAATTCTATTTTTTTAACAAGGAAATATTAATGGAAGTAACTCTTAAATTTATCTTTAAATTTGATGAAATCATGAGAAAGCGAGTTAGGATGAATAGGAAGACTCCTATTGTCTTATACTGTTAAAGTGAGTGGGAATTCAGTTCCAGCTGGTGCAACCACCGCTACAACGTATGACTACGGTTATGCAAGAACAGCACACTCGTCTCCGACTGCCTACGATGCAAAGGCGTATTATCAACAACAGGCAAATCCAGCAACTCCTGTAACACCCGCTTATTCAACATCGGACTATCAAACTGCAGGTAATAAACTCCTTAGCTTATGCTTGCACAGTTTTGTAAATAGTGTATTTTTGGCGATACTGAAGTGAAAATTCAGTAATCTCTTTTGACTTCTATGATCCACTGTAAAATTTGCGATAGTGATGCGAAATGGAGATGAACAACGTGTAATTTTTAATGGTTTACAAAACCACGAGGTAGAATGAGTATTTGCCACAATAATCCGACAATTTTCGAGGAATTTCTCATTTTCCTTTAAAAATCGCTGGAAAAATCGCGTACCTCCCGCTTTACCAAGACGAAAAACGGTTAATTTTTTTCAATTTTACGAATCGGCCATGATGCAAAAATTGCGTATTTCTTGTGTTTTAAGATGGAACTCGCATTATTTTTTGCCTGTTCACATGCAAAAATCAAGGCTTAATTATTCAAACTCCTAAGCAGGTGTATGGTGTGACGCAAAATTGAAGGAAAATCATATTTTTTCGCAAATCTCAAATCACCGCAGGTCCTAAATATTTCATCCAAGTATCATATGATGAAATCTCAGCAGTTTACATTATTTGGACTTCATTTTGCAATCAGGAACTACGTTTTCCAGCTTAGCAGTAAAAACATTCATGCCCATAGGAAAACGAATTCTGTGTACGTTGTTTCTAAACTGAGCCAGAAATTGTAGTTTTGAATTGCTAAATATAGTCCAATTGACTGCTAAACAGGGTTAGAAATTAAATACCGTAATCAATTTTTCCTTATGAAAATGTTTTGCACATCAGGTTCTATGCACTCTCCCAAAGAAATAGCATTAGTTATCTTCACAATTCTAAGTATTGATGATGCCCATTCTGGTATAAAATACCACAAAATTGACTTTCAAAATGGTGGAAATTTTTTTGAAATTCTGCTGTTCATTCTCATGAAGACTCAAGCACCAATTCGGTTTTTTATCTATCTCCGCTCAAATTTCAAGAGAAATTTTGAAATAATCATGATCAGATTTTCTTTTGCAATTTTCTCATACTTGGATTTTCCTGAGCACCAAGATTCAGAATGGGCTCTTTAAATCAGTTTTAATTGTTTTTCCTGAATCTTTATTGCTGCCCCTTGAGTTATATTGAGAATGACCCGATTGACTTGGGTACTTTGGAGCATAGCTAATGTACTGCATTTCCTGTCAGGAGCTGCGATAGTGAAGCCGCAGTACAGTGCTACGTATTCTACTCAGACAACTCCTCAGAGGCAAGTGGTACCGCCCAAGCCTGCAGTTTCAGCTGTTCAGTACAGTCAGTATGCGCCGCCTCAGCAACAACAGCAGACACCAGCTCAAGCAGTTAGCAGCTACACTGCTAGTTATTCTACGCCTGCAAGCATTCAGCCAACGTCTCAATTAAATAAGGTAAAAAAATTGTAGCTCTAATTAATGATGTTCATGGTTTTTCTTCTTTCCACCATTTTGAGATGTCATCTTGGAAATTACTGATTGATCTAATTTAATTTGAGCAAGTGCGCACAACTCTCTAATTTTTATCAGCATTTCGAAATTTCTCTTTGGATTCTTATTCAATTCTTGATGGAAAAAATGAATCCTAAAATGATACATTAAAATACTCTGATTAGTCGTAAAAATGGCTTTGAAGCCAGTCAATACTGACCAATCATCTCTAAAGGAAACTGTCGTTTAAAATGATGACAAACGACTAATCCCAGCTCGCTTTGATGCTTAGTCAGATGAAGAGAATTTGTTCCTCACGATCATAACTGATAATAACAACAGTTTTCAAATAACTATTTTCAAATACTTTCTATTCAGTATCTTTCCATTTGCACTAGCCTCCCATCTTCAGGAAGTGGAAGGAGGCACCCGGAGAGTCAATCTAATAACTGTTGCTTGATATGATGACACTCAACTAATCCCAGCTCGCTTTGATGCTCATTCAGATGAAGAGAACTTGTTCCTCACATTCTAAACTGATATGCAACAGTACTCATCAAATACTTTTCCCTACGTTATCTTCCTGTCTTTGTCACAAATTTTCCCTCTTCTGTTTTGTGCTGGAAGGAAAAGTTCTAAGTAATAAGATTCTAATGAGAACTGTTTTTAAAATGATGACACTCAACTAATCCTAGCTCGCTTTGATGCCTATCCAGATGAAGAGAATTTGTTCCTCACGTTCTAAACTGATCTGAAACAGCTCTCATTGAAAACTGAACAGTACATACTTTCTTTTGCCCTCATCCTCATCTTCCCTTCATGAATTTACTTTCTTTATGTTTCCGTCCCTAAAGAAAGAGATCCAAAAAAAATTCCAATGAAAACTGTTATTCAGAATGATGACATTCAACTAATCCCAGCTCGCTTTGATGCTTATTCAGATGAAGAGAGTTTGTTCCTCACGCTCTTAACTGATGGAAATAAAAGTTTTCAAATTACTTTTTTCAAATACTTTCTGTTCAGTATCTTCCCATTTGCACTTGCCTTTGATCTTCACCGAAGTGGAATGAGGCTCCCGGAGAGTCAATTTAATAACTGTTGCTTGATATGATGACACCCAACTAATCCCAGCTCGCTTTGATGCTCATTCAGATGAAGAGAACTTGTTCCTCACATTCTAAACTGACATGCAACAGTATTCATCAAATATTTTTCCTTCTGTTATCTTCCTGTCTTTGTCACAAATTTTCCCTCTTCCGTTTTGTGCTGGAAGGAAAAGTTCTAAGTAATAAGATTCTAATGAGAACTGTTTTTAAAATGATGACACTCAACTAATCCCAGCTCGCTTTGATGCTCATTCAGATGAAGAGAATTTGTTCCTCACGTTCTCAACTGATATGAAACAGCTCTCATTGAAAACTGAACAATACTTTTCTCTTTCATCCTCATCTTCCATCTATGAATTTACTTTCTTTTTGTTTCCGTCCGTAAAGAAAGAGATCCAAAAGAAATTCCAATGAAAACTGTTACTCAGAATGATGACATTCAACTAATCCCAGCTCGCTTTGATGCTTATTCAGATGAAGAGAATTTGTTCCTCACGTTCTCAACTGATGAATGACAGTTTTCTCAGTAATTTTTTCAAAAAAGATCGCTTGTGTCCCTTTTCTTTGACTATTTAGCAAGGCAAAAGGAGACTCCTTTTAATTCAAGTTGATACGAAAATAACTCACGTATTGTGAAAAATGATGACAAACAATTAATCCCAGCTCGCTTTGATGCTCATTCAGATGTAGATAATTTGTTTCTCACGTTACAACTGTTTACCAAGGGCTCACATCAAAAATTTGTGAATAGATCTCCTCTTGCAACCTTCCTATTGTATTCCGTATTTTTTCTGTATTTTGGTATAAGGTTACAATTTATGAACAAGATGTCTGTGTGCATAGCTAATTTCAGTTTAATTTATTTTTTCTTGGGCATTCCATGCCAAATGACACCAGTGAAAAAACTATATCACCTTCTCAAACTGATAGTGAGTAAAAAATGTAAATAATTTTTTTCTTTACTAATTTAGGAAATTGTCGGCAAATAATTGAACAATTTTCTTTTTAAAAATTTGTAGGCAATAGGTTCAGCGCCTCGCGCCATCACTCAGCGGGCACCACAGCAGGCAGTGCAGCAGCAAACAACTGGCTACCAGTACACGCAGCGGCACCCTTTCAAACCCCAGCAACAACAGCAACAGCAACCGCCGCCACAACAGGTGTCACAAGTGCAGCAACTATCTCAGCTTCAACAGCAGCAGCAGCAACAACAACATCAACAGGTACAACAGCAACACGCTCAGCTCCAGCAACAACAACAGCAGCAACAACAACAACAACAACAGCAACAAGTGCAACAGCAGCAAGTAAATATCTGTCCTGTGGTACGCTTGCGTGCAGTGGCAAGATGGGCTTTGAGATGATGATCTTTTGAAGCCAGCCCTAAGTTAAAGAATCAGTTTAATGATTTTTCTACTTTTCTTTTTCGTATCAGGGTAAACTATTTTTCAAGGCTTTCCTATCTGAAGAAACGTTAAACTAGGTGGCTGCTCTAAATCATTTGTAGATCCCAAAAATTTCAACCACAGTAAATAAAAACCTCATTGTATTTAGGTTTGCAAGAAAGGCATGAAAAAGCTCTGGACCTTGTACACGGTTTGCGTAGGTGAGTTTAAAAAAAAAAAAAAAAAAAAAAAAAAAAAAAAGACAAAGTTCTCATTAATTAAAATTATAATTTTGATAGGAAGCTGCGCATGCTGGAAAATTAAATAAGTTTTAAATAGGTATTGCTCTAAAATTCCTTTAGAAGGTGCTTCAAAAAGGCTTGATTTTTATTCTTGTAGCTTTCAGAACCATGATTTTATTTGAGAAAGAATAGTTGTTTCAGGGTGAGCCATCATCTCAAAGTTTTAACTTGCTCAATTAGTTGGACGTTTCTGTCGATAGCGCTGTAGTTAGACAAGTTGTGGTAGTTTGAGTGTTTTCAATGTTCGTAGTTGTAGTATAAGTTTAGCTGTTTTTTTTTTATCTCAGATCTTGGTTTTGATTACTTTATTATTCCTGTTCTTCTACAAAAATTCTTCCTAAGTCGAGACATTCTAAATTTTTTGTTTTCTAGATCTTGAGATAAAGTATAATTATGGTGTCCAGGACTTGAAAAAACTGGGACAGTTATTAAGTGCAAAAGCAGTCCCAAAACAACTGAGACTGGTGTTTTAACTTTTGAACTAAGACAGCAAGAGAGGTGATTTTAGTTGCGTTTGAACAATCTAATAATTCATTTTCACACATTTTCTTAACATCAAATTTTTGCATGGCTTACTTTTGTAATTTGATGAAGAGTAGAGAATTAGTTATTGGTTCTTGGGAAGTTATTTGTTGATTTTTACTTTGTCAACATGGAGCAATTTGGACGAGTGTGTGAAAATGCATGACTAGATAGACTAAAAACTACTCTTCATTCTGTCTGACATTTTATGCGCAAAAAACTGATTGAATCTCATTCCTTCTTCTTCCCAGATTAAAAAACCGTATCAAGCATCCCCCGTTTCCAATGTTGGCAGTTACCAAGTCAACAACCCATCGACGGCTCAAGCTGCATTTGTTGCTCAATCAACAGCCGCAGCAACTAACAGCAACTACAACAAGCCAAAACCAGGTAATGCATTGCCTTCTTTCGCATGGCTTACTCCTGTAAATTGATGAAGAGCAGAGAATTAGTTACTGGATCCAGTGAAGTCATAAGTTGATTTTTAGTTCGTCAACGTGAAGCAGTTTGGAAGAGTGTGTAAGGAAACTTTAAATTGCCAACATAGTAGAAGTTTCTCAGCACCTCTACTTTGATTTTGTATGTTAAAAGAAAAAAACACCACCAGAAAAAAGCGGATGAAACAGACATAATTTTTCCATCTGCCATGGACTTTTATTTAGCGGATCACTGGATAGTATTAGTAATTAATACAATACAGAGCTTGATGAATGTATCTAAAACTTTCAAAAACATTTTTTAACTCACTAGTGAGAAATAAACATTTGTATTTGACATTTTAAATAGTAAATTCAAACTTCCTGCTCGCTAGATAACCACAGTCACCGTAGGCCAAATTAGGCATTGAAATCAACATATTTTCAAATCAATCAGTGAATGTTCAATGTTGAAAGAGAAAAGGCTAACTGAAAAATACAATCATTCCCCCACTTTATTCAGATTGTTCTTCATCTGGAAAGGTTTGCTATTTTGTGGCAATTATGTCCATTGAATTCAATTCTTCCTTGTGCTTGAATATGTTACAGGCTATGACACTGCGCTGTTTAATGCTGCCTCTCATTATATTAACCAGCAAAGTGGCCCCAATCAGAACAAACCATTTTACAAAAAGAGTTTTGGCAACAATGCATCAGGACTTAAAAATTTACGACCAAAAGCTCCTCCCAAAAGTCAGCAACTTCATTATTGTGAAGTATGCAAGATCAGCTGTGCTGGACCTTTGGTAAGTGATAAGGAAACTTTGAAAGTCCAACTAAGACTATTTTAGATGTTAATATCTCCTTACTTGGCCTCTCGACCAAAATAACATGAATATTATTATGTCCAATATTTTTTTTGCATAGAATTTTGTGGTAGTGAAGCTGGACAAGAAATTTTAAAGACAAAGGAAGCCATTTTAAAACATCAGCTATCAGAACCTCGGGAGAGTGATTGTGTTAGAGGTTACACCTCTGTGATAAATCCGTTTTAAAGAGTCATTTTATGCAATCAGCTAGGGAAAGTACAAGGAAAACACAGAGAATTTGAAAGTTGAAATATAGTAGAAACTCGAATTTGCTGTCACTACCAAAAGAAGCACTGTCAGCAACATAAATCTACTATTGCTTCTTGTCCCAAAAGTTGCTTCCAATTATTGGAACATGAAATTAATAATTTTCATTGTATTTTTTTTCTCTTGCAGACATACAGGGAACATCTAGAGGGACAGAAGCACAAAAAGAAGGAAGCAGCGCTGAAGAGCGATGCTCCGGCTCCAACAATTTCGCGAGGTCCCATTTCCTTACACTGTGATCTGTGCGCTGTTACCTGTACAGGCCAGGATGCGTATGGTGCGCACATCAGAGGAAATAAGCATCAAAAGGTATTTCATGTCATCTACAGTTCTATTTTATGTAATACCAAGACAAGTGTCATGTTTTTCAAGTATAGATTTGGAATTGTATTAAAACCCTATAAATAATTTTAGAAGCTTTAATATTGAAAATAGCTGAGAAAGTTCTTCCTCCTTTATGCAGGGTTGCTGCCACAGTCAGGGAATACTGGGAATATGTAAGGGAAAACCTGGAAATTTCAGGGAGATGCAAGGGTAGGGGGAAAATTGTTAAATCTCCTTTATTTGCTTTTCAGAATTAATTTGATTGTTTGAACAACAAATTCTGCCTGAAAACTATTTCAAGTTATGTATTTTGTACCATCTTCAGTTGTCAGGAAATTTTACCAAAATGTATCAGGGAATTTCATTTTCTGAAGTGGCAACTATGTACCCTCGGGGCAAAGATGGCAGTCAATATTTTAAGAAAATCTAATGATCAATATTTTTTTATCGGTGAAACATTTGTGTCCTGTCTACTTGCAGGTCTTGAAATTACATGCAATGCTTGGAAAGCCAGTTCCGGATATTCCAGAGGATCCCAAAATCGTTGTTGCTAAAAGTATAGCTGCAGCAAAAGCCAATCAGAATACTACTGCTCCTGACGGAAAGAAAACTGTTGTTGTTCCTCCCAAAGTCAATTTTGTTCAATGTAAGGATCTTTCCCTCTCCTCTCTCTCTCTCTCTCTGTTTTACTATGGAGTTGGTATGGAACTTTTTTTATCAGGAATGTGATCAACGCCAAGGCAAATCAACAGTACAACTGCAAGAAGGAGTATTTCGTTGTGCTCTAATTTTATTTCATCATAGAGGAAAAAACCAATGAAAATGCATAACATTTTCACAAAATATTTTACTTTCAGAGAGGAAAAACCAGGAAATATTTCAAAATATTTCATCAGGTATTTTTCAATCTGTTGCTTTCGGTATTTTAAAATTTTCTGCTATTTATTCCCAAAGCTCTCTAAAAATTGTCAATATAACTAGCACTGAATTATCTCAATAAGCAGTCCTGTATAAGAAGCATGGAGAAAACCTCTATCCTCAATTAGTTTTGAATTAATATTTTGTATGATTCCATAATGTTCCTTTTCTTTCTCAGCTGGATCCCTCTCAACTACAACGAAACCAGAGCCGAAAGCTGAAGGCAAAGAGAACACAAAATCTGAGTCCACTCCGGAACCAAAAACTGAAGATATTGAAATGGCTGCTGCAACTTTGTTGGAAAACGAAGTAACTCCTGTTGGTCATGAGTTTGTTGAAGAAATCAAGGATGAACTTGGTTAGTGTCATTAAAGAAGTAGAAAGAATCATGAAATTGTATTAAGTATTCATAAATAATCGTATTTTAAATTTGAAAGCTTGAGTTCATTACGACATTTGCTTAGGTGAGAATCAAGCTCTCCTGCTCCGGAACTCAAATAATTTGAAAAGATCTATTAAATTGGTAGTCATCTAGGAAACATGCAAAGAGCTAGATTTCAGAGAGAAGTTTGAAAAATTCCAAGAAATCAGGATTTCTGGCAATCTGGAAAACCTGGATAGTAAAGGTACCTATTGACAGAGCATATTAGAATTCCTAAAAAATTAAGGGAATTTTGCGATCATGTCAGCTTTACAACTTCTGCTGACAGCATTCAAGAAAGCGGAAACTACTTCTAAGTGCTATTTTCCTCAATTTGCAACCTGCAACTCTAGAAGGTGAGATTGAATCCATAAACTAAAGTCAGCAAAATGGAGAGAAAAAAAAGCCAAGTGAAGGTTAGATTGTGAGTCAAGGGATCCTGAAATTATAAAGTCGGGCATGCAGGAAATTGGAAAATGAAGAAATTACAGAAATTTTGAAAATCAAATTTTAGCAACCTCCAAAAGATAAATTACAAGGAGCCAGATCAGATCTTTTTGTCCGGCAAAGTTGATCATTGCTCTGAAAATTTCAGAGAAAATTATGTTTTTCAGTGATAGAATTAATTAATTGATTGAACTCTGTCGGAGTAGCTTTAACTCTATGTGAATTTATTGATTTTTGATTGCTTAATTTCAGGAAAATTGGTGAGCTTCAATTGTAAATTGTGCGAGTGTAAATTCAATGATCCAAATGCAAAGGAAATGCACATGAAAGGTCGTCGGCACAGGCTAGCATTCAAGAAAAAAGTGAATCCAAACCTCCAAGTTGATGTCAAGCCGTCTTTCAACAAAAAGAAACATTTCGAAGAGAAGACCAGGAGGACTGGCGGAGGTGGAGGGCCCAGAGAAGAATTCATGAGAGGCAACCAAAGGTTTGTTTGATAAAACGTCCCTTCATTCCCTGCACTTGAAATCCTTATTTGGTATTAATTACGTAACGAAATATGGTGATGTGCAATTTTGAAGAACAACATTATGCCAAAAACAAATGAAATTTAAAATCTAACTTGGAAATAATGAATCTGGTGCAGCAGAATAAACGAAGTCAGCTAACCTGTGAACGATCGCACTAGAAAAGCATCTAGAACTACTTACTAATCTGGGGTTTCTGGCAGGCTGGAAAACTATGAAAATCAGAAAATTTTGCAGTGACTGGCTGAAGTCAGGGAATTTCACAAGTAGTGTGTCCGTTTGACATTTTTACAGGGTTGCCACAGTTGGGATCTTAAATAGTCAGGAGAAAATTGTTAAGTCACCTTTAGTTACTGCTAGAATGGGTTTGACGTTTTGAACAATAAAGTTTGCCTGAAAACTATTTCAAATTATATCTATTTAACTATTTGGCACCTTTTCAATCCTCAAGGAATTTCACCAAAATGTGTCAGAAAAAGCAGTGGATTTCAATTTGTTAATTTTGTGGCAACCTTGACTTCAGTTGGTGCCATTTGGGTGAGGAAGAACAATTTCTGAGTGCAATGCTTCCTAATTTGAACCCCTAAAAATTAAAATATTGTTCCAACTTTAATGAAAGGAAGTATTAACTCCCCCTCCCCCCCACAAAAAAAAAAAAAAAAAAAAAAAAAAACCCCTTAACTGTATCCAAGTCTTGTTTGAAGATCAGGGAAAAGTAAAAGAGTTTTAAAATTTTGGCGTCCAGAAGATGCCATAAGAAATTTGTGAAAAGTCAAGAACTTATAAAATGCAACATCTACGAAACCCTTGAAAGTACAGCATTCATTTATTGAAACCTTCAAATGAGCCTCTGTAAACTTGCTTTTTCATAAGAGGATCTTTTGGGCAGATAAGTGCTTTCTCGCAGTTTCAAATGTCTCCAAGATGCGAGGGAGATTTTTGTCTCCATTAAAGTTTGAAATTCATTGATTTTTTACTGTTGTTTATGGCATGACCACTTTCATCCATGTTTCTAAAGACTTTTGATTGCTGGATTTCAGATGTTCTTTGAATCAGGTATCAATGTTAATCCCAACCCTTAATATCTTGTCCAAAGGAAATCCAAAATCTAGTTAGTATAACATCTTTAAGCTAACGTTGAACGTTTTTAAATTTTTTAAAGTATCAATTCGACCATTCACATGTGATTGTTTTACCAATGTTCTTGTTTTAATTGTTCCTCAGAAATATGCACTGGCAAGATCGTATGATGGAAGTGGAAGAGCGTATGTACTGGGACGAGCGTCGGAGGTTCGAGGAAGAAATGGAGTTCATGGAATGGGGCAGACGGTTCCATGGTCCGGGCATGATGCCGCCACCATTCCCACCTGGTCCAGGGCCACGCATGATGGGGCCACCATTCATGCCTCCTCCTCCACCACCCGTAAGCAATTATTATTTGTAAGATAGGAGGTTGTTTGTAAATTACGAATTGCAAATTTCCTGTTTCTGAAACCCCCTTTCCCTTCATCCCAGTTAGAAGTCCGGCAATTTTTTGTGGATTATTTCCACAGCTCTTTAAAAATTTTCATATAACCAGCTCTTTACATTAATTTTTACTTGAAGCCTCACAGATAGGAAAGAAGAAAATGTCATTAGGTTTTTTAACATTTTCAGATAAGTAATTGAATTTATTATTAGAGGAACCAACTCCATCACAAGAACGCTGAATTTTTTTGCAACCAGAATTATATGCAATGTGGTGACAACCTTATTGCAGGAAAGCTTGAAGTATCAAGGGAAAATAAGGTTTTATTTTTTTCATGTATTGTGGATTAATGAATATTGACCTCAATTTTTAATACGCCTTTTGTTTATTTTTGTTAAAACAGCAGTTCCCTAGAAGGTTGGATACTTCTGACGACAGGCATGTAATCGCGAGACATGCAGCTGTCTACCCTAATGAACAAGAACTGAAGGCCCTTCAAAAAATTGTATCGCACACTGAGAAAGCTCTTAAATTAGTATCTGACTTCCTAACAGAGAATGCGCAGTCTACAAGTAAGTTCAGAGTATGTTTTTCTTAAATTGTCAATTGCCACATTATTACATTCTTCGTTTTTGCTCTATACAATTATTCCATAATTTCTCTGCTACACCGCTTATATTTTATGAATCAAAACCTGAATGAAATGACAGGAGATTCAAAACATTGAACTTGTGAAATCGTGAAAAGAATACACAATGAGCAATGAAAAATAAAACGAATTACTCACTGCAAGGAGACCTATGAAATTTTTGGTTTATTATCATACATGAACTGCATACAATGCATTTCGAAGAAACAAGGACTTCGTACGTTCGCAAACATTTCTCCAACTTTTTTTCTATACTTAGCAGAAATGTTTTTTTGAACAAGTGTGTAGAATGGAAACATTAGTTTTGAGAAATAGTATTCAAATGCCTGTAATTTTAACAAAAATAAAAAAAATCTTAAAATTCAGAAGCCAGATTCAAGGGTACATTCTCCTTATTAAAACAATGTGTGAAGGAGAAAGTTATCTTCGCTTTATAAACACACAAACAAACAGGCAGATTTTTTTTTTTTCTTTTCTTCTCTTCTCTTCTAACTAAAGGCTCTCATTTATGTACCTTAACAGCTGACAAGAAGAATGGAACTTCTGAAGTCAAAACGGAAGTTAAAGTTGAACCAAAAACAGCTGAGTCACCGGCTAAACCAAACGCGACACCCAACAAGAAGGGACCTCAAAAGACGAAAGAAGATGGACGCGACGGCAGTTTGTAAGTGAAGCATGTTTTGTCTCATTATTTTAAGGCCAAGATTCCATATTTTCAGAAAAACATTGCTGTGTTGTCCGCACTAAAATCATTTACTTGGAAAATTATGCTGCTAAGTCAAAAATATGAGGAATAACTCATCTCGAAAAAGTTGCAATACCTAACATGGTTAACAGATACCTTCGAAATTTTCACAAGCTTTTATCTGATATTAATTTTGACATATTTTTGATACGCCTGTCTTCTCATAAAATTAATTGAACTTTTACAATCAATATTCAGCATATCAAGAGACAGTATAAATTTTGTTGAAACACTTGCTAAGTTCATTTGGTTTCCCCAAAAAAGATAAGTTGTATCTAGAACTACATTTTCGCTGTTCATTTCTGAAGAATCTCACAAACGTTTTTATTGAAGGTAATACAATAATCCAGGTTTCTATTACTGAAAAAAGAGGGAATTTACAGGAGAAATCCATGGAAGTAGACGTTAATTCTGAAATTTTTGCTTTAAAATCGGCGAGTTTTGTCCATTCATGCGTAACTACTCCAATGTAGAATAATATTGTGTAATAGTGAAGTTGGACAAGATTTTTACGAATGGCAGGTAGCTTTTTCAAGTCATTAGCAATCAGAGTTTTGGGAGATTGGTCAAATTACACCTCTGGGATAGATGCGTTTCAGTAGAGAGTTATTTTCTGCTAACGCTGCAGGGAAAACATGGGGAATTAAAAAAATAAAAAAGTAGGAAACCGGAATAATGTCTTTTAACACTAAAATTAGTTTCATTTTAATTCGTTAAACCTATTTCAAATTTTCATCGAGCCTTTTTTCATTTTTAGGTTCTCTTTTGAAAAAGAAACAGAGGAACGGGTTTTGAAGGGAGTGATGCGTGTGGAAAGCCTAGCCAAAGGTCTTTTGCTCCATGGAGATACACATGTTAAATTAGTTGTGTTATGCTCTGAAAAGCCCACCCGCGCTCTTCTTGTCAAAGTGGCAGCTAATTTACCCTCACAACTATCGGTAATTACCTCTTTAAAATTGTCTCCCCTTTTATATGCCTGTATGATAGCTAATTTTACCACCCTTCTCATGAATAGCATTTTTGTACCGCGTCCTCAAAAGCTAAACGCAGAAGCCATTTATTTTGTATGCTATGTAAGAACATCAGAAGTTCAATGAACCAAATCTAGCGTTGACCAATGGCTCGTACTATTTTGTCCCTTGTATGTAAAATTATCAAATATCTTGATGGAAACCTCAGCAGTTGTCAAGGAAACTTATCTGTGTACAATTTTAAGACAAAAGTATTCTGGCTTTGAAGAAAATTAATCACATTTAGCCAAGCCTTATTACAGATTGCCCTCCTTTAGAATGATCGATTCACTATATAGATAATTTTCTTTGACTTAAAAATTTATTAGAACTGAGGCGAGTGTATTCAATTTCTATTGATTTGGTATCAAAATTTGTTTCATTTAATCGTAATTTGGCAATGTGACACGTCACATTTGATCAGATGAATATGACACATTTGATACGATGAATCAGATGACGAGACTGAGTTTCATCCGTGGAAGTTCTCTCACTGAGGAAACGGCAAGTATTTTGTAATCCTTTGTGCATAGAACCGACGGTGACTTTTACTTAGATGACAATCTATTCTGATCATTTTCTCATTATACTGTTACCTATTCGAGATTTTTAAAAATTCTGAAAATAAGTTTTTGAAAATGAGGGATTGTCATGACCTCAAGGTATCTGCTCAATCTTGCATTTTTAAGGAAAAATATAGATTGCGTTTGTTAATCCGGGTTTTTTCTTTCCTTGGAATGTTTATCTTCAACTTCTCATGGAAATTTTTTTTATTGTTTAAATTCCTCTACTCATTCTGAAATGATGAATTTGATGACGAGACTGATCATGTACCGCTGAATTTTCTTGTTGAGCGGGTTGCAAGTATTTTGTTAATCCACTCAACTTGAATTATTCTTGGTATATATCCAGATGACTTGGCTATCTGATCTATTTTCACCAATTTTGGTATCCTATTCCCGAATCAACTAGATTTCTAATAAATGATATTCAGTGGCTGACTGCTTAAGGCTGAGAAACAGTGTTATTTCCCGGCAAATCGGAGCTCTCTTTTCAATTTCTTTGTTTCTTTAATATGGTTTTCTCCCGTAAAGAAATATTAAAGAAGATGTTGAGCTTTTTTGGTCTGCTCACAGGCACATGTAGAATTATAGTTAACACTGATGGTGACTACGGGTTGGAAGGAATATCACCTCATAACTGGAACATTCCCATTTTTGGTCGGCATTTTGCAGCAAGGAACTAGCATTTCTGGTTTATCCATCAAAGCACCTAGCTAGGTAGGGAAACAAATGGTGCGCACGATGTCTCTAAATGAGCAAGGAATATTAGTTCCTTATTGCAAAGTGTAGTCTATTTGCTGTTTTACGAATGTTTTTCTTGCTATTTCATACGCTCTTTGAGATTCAGGAATATCTACCCCTTTCAACCTGTCAGAATTTTAGGGATTTTTTAAACCACTCATAGTGTTTTTGTTTTAATCTGCTTTTCTTAATCTACTGGACTGAAATGATGAGCCTGATGACGAGACTGAATGCCTGTCTATCAGACTTTCTCCCTTGTGAATTACATGTTTTTTGTTGACTCACAAGCGGAGATGGTTTTCGGACCGGCACTTAAGATTATTTGGCATTCTGATTACAGTCTTTTACTGTCTAAAATCATCGTAATTTCCTCCACTCCACTCCTGAACGATCTGCAATTGACCTACCTGATAAGTTAAGAATAGTTTTCCAACATAAATCTATTTAATCTAGTAAGAAAAATTGGAATTCAAGAACTTTTCCCTTTGAAAATCTCACACAGTTTACAGGATGACTGTTAATTTATATGATGACTAACTCTAATCCCAGCTCGCTTGGATGTTGATCAGATGAAGAAAATTTGTTCCTCACGTTCCTTTCTGAAATTTAACATTCATCCTTCAAAATTCAAAAAGTGTTTCCTTTGTTTTTTCTTATTTTCAGGGTGTTCATTGCTCTCTGATAAAGAACTTGAAGAAATCGATGATGAAAAACCAATTATATCTCCAAAAACGATATTTTCCTAACTCTAAAATTTAATTCTTTTTTCTGAACCACATGCAGTTCTCATTGATTTTTTATTTTTCTACGGCTTGCTCAAACTCTAGCGTGAATCTTTTTCAGATTGTTGCTCCAGAAGATTCATATCTAACTAACATGAAGAGTGAGGAAGCCGCAATCACCGTCCAAACTAAAACGGAACCAAAACTGACTGTTTCTGTCATCCTAACCTCGCCGCTTCTCCGGGAACAAGTTAATGCTGCTGGCTCCGGTAAGGTTTTGCCTTCGTTGCTTTTACTTCATTCATACACTAGACGAATCAAAGCCAATGTTTCAACAAAATCCCAAGTCACTTATCAATGATGCTGGTGAAAAAAAACTGATAGCAAGCCTGTACCATGTAGTCTTCGTTTTTCAAGCGCGATAGTTGCACAAAATATTTATACTTCTTTCGCAGACCCAACCTCTGACTATCGTTATCTCTTCCCACAATGACTGCTCATATTATTCAATGCTCCTGTGAACTGTATCATCGATCCTTCAACTATCAATTCTATAATCAATCCTCTTGCTTCTTAACAAGTGGATTTAAAACTTGTTCAATGCTAAGCAATCATGCATCTAAAAAGTAATATTTTTTAAAAGTCTTGATAAATAGGATACACATTCTTTAAAACAGGCTAGCTTCGGAAAAACTAAGTTTTAAAAAACAAGCTCTGTAAGAAGTAGATGTCAATGGATGCATCGCTGTTCATCCCCAGTTTTTCCTTCCGCACTGAGAGAGCCGGTACCTGGGTAATTTTTGTCTCTACAAGCTACATTTTTATTTGATTCATTGATGTGATGCATTTCCATGATTCAAATCCCTATCAGTCTCTTGAAGGAACAGTGGCAACTTTCATCTGTTTTCTCTATTTTTTTTCTTTTTTTAATGAAAAGAATAGTCCCCTTTTCCAAAAATTTGTATTTACTTTTTTCCTTTTTTTTACTTCCTCCCCCTTTTTTCATTTTTTGTTGTTTTGTTTTTTTTTTTTTTTTTTTTTTATCTTTTTTTTGCCAGTTAAAACAGAGAAGTCAAGGTCAAGGGCTTTTTATTTTTATTTTGCAGTGCATCCCATTTCAAGTAAATCACAAGTTTTAATTTTTTTTTATTTTGTATCATGAGAGTCTTTATGCTTGCCGTAGTAATCACTTTGGCTACAGTTTTTTTTAACACGCCCAATTTCACCCGACTCTTCCGCCAGCAGTTTTAATGCACCCAAAAAAAAGTATCAAAAGATGGTGTTACCTAATCAGTATTTAGTATGTATTTCCATTCTGTGTGAGAAGTGGGTTTTTAGCAAAATTTTTTTAATTGCAAGTACATCTGAGGTTTTTTTTTTTTTTTTAAATTATTGATTGCTAAACTGCTGACTCGGAACATTAACTTTTTCTAGAATGGAATTTTACTCCTCCTAACGTATACATATTTTGTTCAATAACTGCTTAACTAATTTAATGAGAAGACTGTCTGGTGTTCAGTTGTTTTTGTAGCATTTTTCAAGTTTGTTCCTCTGAAGTTTTATCGTTTTTCAAATCATCGCTGGGAATTTTCTGAATAGGCCATCAGTGGATTTTGATTCCTCTAGTGAATGTCTGTCAGTTGACTCTATAGCCCGTTTCAGACTATCAAAGTAGAGCACTCAAAGTGGCGTCATGTGGGGTCACCTGACCCTCAAAGATTGTCGGCTCGACAATCTTTGAGGGCAATGGAGGGTCATGTGACCCCATGTGACGCCACTTTGAGAACTCTACCTTAATCGTATGATACAGGCTTTTGTGACAAAAACCTCTTGCGCCCGTACTAGCCTGTAAAATGTGCAAGAACTGAGATGAGTTTCATTCGCCTCATCTAGCTTACAAAGAGTGCCCTCTTAACAGAGGCTCTAAAGCAGTGATTATGAGAATGCCAAGGAGTAGGAGGAAAGGGATTTTGTATTTTTCTGTTTCTTAATCATTCCTCGTATTCTCGCCCATTTTTTTATTATTCAGTGAAGTTGTGGATGTCACAGTATGATATTTTGATTGTTGAATTTTGTAGATTAGCAAAAAAACAAGATCAGTCTGAATGCCAGGTTTTTAGATTTAGTATCGGCAGAGATGAAAAATACAGTTGATGAAGCCTGCCATTGCATTAGAACTCGTGCGGTGTCTTCCTCTTTTGTTTTGCCAATCTGTAAAAGAGGCGTAGCATAAGTAGTTCATACTTATGCCAATTATAATGTCTTCAACTGTGTTTTTTAGGGGGTGATAGCTTAGTTACCTTTTACAAATCCACGAACTTAAACCATCGAAACATGATTCTGTGACATGATCAATTAACTCACTACATTTTTTCCTCCTGTGTCTGCATCCCATTTAGCAATTTTTAGCTTGTGACTTCAATCCTAAAGCATCATTTCTGCCATGGGGCAAGTTAAAATTACTCATCTCAAAGATTTCTCTGGATAATACTATAAAACAATTTTTAGTCAAAATCGAAACACTGAAAATTTTGGACCATTTATTTTAGCAAGTCTAAAATGTGTGCTCAAATGTATGCAATCCTCTTTTCATTCATTTCCTAATCTTGCATGAGAGCAATATAGTCAGACTTGGTTTTGTAGATTTTGGTCATTCAACTTGGTAGTTGAGCTCAGTAGTTCTGAATATTTTTTAATGATATTATGGTCACAAAAACTAGAAAACTTAGGTCTGGCTAGCTCTTGTTTGATAACAAACACAAGTGCTTACATTTCTCGTTTGGTTGGACCACATTTTGCAAGTAGGAACTAAAATTTCTGTTTCATACAGAAACTACATATGTATCATTAGTTTTCCCATGTACATAAGTGTTTTTACGGATGAGCCAAAAATTGTAGCTCCTAATTGCAAAATTAAGTCCAGTTGTCTTTCCTCAGTAACCGCGAGGCTATCTAAACACCTGAAATCAAGTTTGATACCGTCTACTTGGTATTTGTTCTGAGGACTGAAGATGGAATAGTAGGAGAATATTTGGACTTCATTTTGCAGTCAGGAACTACAATGTCTTGCTCATTTTAGAAATACATAACATGTGCCACTAGTTTTCTCATGCAGATAAGTGTTTTACACATGAGTCAAGAATTGTAATTCCACATTGCCAAATGCAGTCCAGTTGGACAAATTCAATTAGCATTAGCTAACTGCATTAGACGTTGCCTAGTTTTCTATGATATTTTATTTTTTAAGCAGAAAACCAAGCAGTACAAAATTTTCGTGAGAATATTCTCCTCAATCCAGGAGTAATTCACAGAAAGTTTCAAAGAATTGAGTAGTTAGTTCAGTTCTCCGTTACAAAAAATAAATCACGAGATAAAGTGTGGCAACATGATATGCAGTCGGGCTGACTCTGAAGTCATCTCAGTTTTACCCTTGACATAGAAAACGAGAATTCCTGATGGAAAAATATGATTTTGTAAGCTTTGAAGTTTCAGTGTTTGGGTCAACCTCCGCTCCTTTTCTCAGTTAAAAAATTCAGTGTCCTGAATTTCATTTTCTTTCAGCATGTTTAATCAGTGCAAAGGGGTTGTAATTTCAGTTTTGGAGAGTGAAACGTTTTTTTTTTTTTTTCTACCAACGCAAATGCTAGAATGAAAATTGATTTGATATGATTACTTTCAACATACTGTTCCGAAACTTTGCGTAACCGCATTAGTGAACGACCAAGTATTATGAAAGCTCATGGCTTCCTTTATCAGGTTTCATTTGCCAGATTCTTGTCAAGAAATTGCAGACTACCTAAATTACACTAGTGATTTGACAACCGAAAGAGCACAAAACAGGAAGGGAACCTTTCCATAGAGAGTGTAATATAGGGGGCAGTGCCATCAGAGAAATGTGTTAAAAATGGAAAACAGGGTCTAAAATAGTCTCTTAAGTTCAAGTATTGCCAAGTTTTTAGGAGGAAAGATTTTTTGGCCAAATCAAGAAAAAAGTCGGAAAATTAAGAGGGAAATGAGAAGTTACACCATTTTTATTGTGGTTTTGGTTGGTTTTATGAGGTATGCGAGAGGTGAACAAATAGGAAAAGCAATTTACTTAGTTCTTGACGACTCCCTCAGAGTAGCACTGAAAATTGGCGCAGATCTTAAAGTCATCTTTTGGAAAATTGAGAAAAATTGTATATCTTTTTTTGTTTTTGTGCCTTATATATCATGTACCTAAGTAAAAAAAAAATAATGCCTCAAGTCAGTCAGGTAACACATATCAAATAACTTTTGCAATGGCAAAGAAAAAAAAAGGAAGGAAAAAGTCTGCCTCTTTTGAGTTGTCTTTTCCATCCTGAGCTTTTTGCAGTAAGCAAATCTACAGTTAGTTTTTACACTGTTTTGTTGATGTGCTTGCTCTAGTCCTTTACTTTATTCACGTTCTTTTCCCTCTCTTTTGGTGTCGGCATTTCTCTTTTTCTCATCCCTCAGTTGGTCACAAGGCTGGAGTGAGTCAAAGTTACCGTTGACTCAGTTCAACCAGCCAGCTCGGCGAATATTATTTATTTGGAGTCTTGCGCCGGTTTTTTAAAATATTTTCAACTGCTCTATCTCGTGCAGTTTTATGGCCTTAATTCAAATGGCCTATTTTATTGTCGCATGTGGCATAATGCAGAGTACCAATGTCTCTTGCGTCTAGACTCAAGGCTGGCTCAATGGTAAATTTTGATGACATTCCATGATATTTTAATCTGAACCAAAGGCATAATTATTTTGAGTCACGAGTACTCTTCATGTAGAATTCAACAAGGGCTGATTTTATATTGCTAATGAGAAATTATGATTTACCAAACTATCACTGCTGTTTCCAAAGAAACATTTCTCATCGGATTGGACGGTGTAACCCTCTCCATCAAATTTACCATTTATCTACGTAATAAAATTATTCAAATGCTAGTGGCTGAAGAGCATTCAGCTTCTGTTGTACGGAACAAGTCAGTGGCAGGGTGTAAGATTTGTAGAGATGAATGTACTGCTGTACTAAGGAAAAACGCTGTTTGAACCTTTGGACTCTCTCCCAACTTCCTCTCATAAAATATGATATGTTTAGAAAAACTTATGAATCTTTTTCTTTGAATTTTTTTTTTGGAAATATACTCACAATTAAATCTGGAGTTTCCGAAAATGTTAAGAAGGAATAATGTTCATAACTCTTCTAATAAAGAGTCATTTTTGTGAAGGAAGTTTGGCAAAATTTGAATGTTCATATAGCATTCTTCCTTAATATGTTCGTATTATTTATCTGTCTCGCTCAGATGTGTTTTCGCTGGGTGTCGTCATAAATTTTTGGTGTTAACATAGCCTGGACAAAAAAGTAACCTTCACCCCTGTGCCTACATTTCAAGGAATGGAGCTCTTGTATGCAGCAGAATTTTTTGTTTCAGTCGTCTGTTCTGCCATGAAATTTTTTGAGAATTCCAATGATGTCTCTGATTTACCTTTTAGGCAACTTCCAAGCTTACTAAAGTTCTTACAGAACCTGTAATGAATTCAAACCCTCCATTCAGAGGAAGGGCTTTATACATGAGCAGGTTTTTATTGCTGGCCAAAGTCGAAAAATGTGTATTTCTATTGCAGTACGTGACAGTTAATGTTAATTTATTAGATTTATTTTATTTATTTTTTTAAAGAGAATTGACCTCCTTTTAATTTTCTGTATGTAGGTACTTTAAAATGATTGAAGAAAATTGCAAGAAAATCTGTTGATTAGTTTTTGTTGTGAAAAGTAAAAATTGAGCTGCAAGTTGCAATGTGGCAATCAGAGGTACACACTTTTCCACTTAAGGTTTCAGGACATGGTTATCAGATAGAGTTGCTCCATGATCACGGCCTATACTTGATGAACTTTTTTTGACATCAAGAGTTTATTTTAGAAATAAGCAGTGACTTTATTAGGTCACCTAAAAGATTTTTTGAAATAAAAGATAGTTAAACTCAAAACCCCTGCTTCTTGCAAGAACTCCATCGGTCAGTCCTACCAGAACTGATCATGCAGGTGACGTGTAATTCATATTCTGCAAGTTAGACTATTCGTGACTTACTGTGTTCCTTCATGTGCCTGTGTGTTCTTTGTATAGTTGATAGGTTTTAACTTATCTTTCATCCGAAGAGATTTTTGCGTAACACAAGGGTTTTTGACCATGATTTTCCATTACCTTTAAGGAGGATCACATTTTGTTTCTTGATGTATCATGCTTTTCAGTAAATTTCGTCTCGAATACTTGAGTTTGTAGTTAACATAAGGTACATAGTACCTATCGAAGGTAGTTTGGTACACCACTCCATTAGTGGTTTCACTCGTTGTTTCATTTTGAAGAATGAATTGGTGTCCACATTCTAGGTATCCACAAGTTCGGGTTATCTTGCATCTTAAGTTTTCTACTGAAGCCTTTGTTCATTGGAAGCGTGCTATTGGAATGTTGTAGACTCATCACTAGTACTGGATAATATTGCTTTTATGTGAAAGGCAGCTTCTTACCAAAAAGTTCGGAATTCAGGGTTAAAATACTAAATAGGTACAAATCAAACTGCAACAATTTGTTCCTTTTTAAAAATGTCTCCGAGTCCAACGCTCACAACTGGAAAGCCTAAAAATTAACTCTAACTTGATGTTTTAAAAAATTACAGTAGGATGCATCCATGTATAAAAGATCTATTCACCTAAGGTTTCCATTATTTCTGTTGAGTTGACATTGATGAAAATGGGGCTGTCTTTTTGATGTTCTAATTTCACTGCAAGAATCGGATTCCCATCTATATGTGGTTGTTACATCTGCTCTCTTTCATTTAATCAAATCACTATTTTTCCATCATTGAAAGTTTTAGTACTAACTCAAGTCTTGAGTCTGAAAAATATGTGGCATTAACTGTGTAGAAAATGGTTCATACCACAATCTCCACACAACTTCAAACTCTCTTTGACCCTAAGTCAGGTATAAAAGGTTCAACACAGTTCTACATGGGTCATGTGTTTCTGATTTAATCTATTAAATTCTGTCAAGTTGTTCTGATAGCCACTCATTAAAGCCCTCAGTTGTCAAGTGGCTATAGGACAATTAGGATTCCTTGACTTCTTTAATAATCTAACTGGTCTCGTTTAATAAAAATAAAATGAATAATTTTAAGGATACCAGTAGAATATGAAACCAGAAAGAAAGAAAGAAATTATGAAAAAAGGAAAAGAAAAAGAAAAAGAAAATCAATAGCTGGAGCTCCAGGAAACCCAACTTGGGAATAAGGAATCTCAATAAATTATACCAAAAACATACAACAACCTCTCTTAGACTTTTTAGTCTGAAACTTCTATATTTTGAAAACCGGGGAGAGGAAAATTTTGTGTTAATGTGGGACCAAAAGAGAAGGGAGAAAGTTATAAATTCTGTCTTTGATTCCACAATAAAAAGGTCTATTTCCAACAAATGGTGCAGATGTGTTTTGAAGTTTATATTCGATAGTATTATTTCATTTTTCAATAGCAGAAAACACGAACATTTACAGTTGCATTGAAACAAGCAGTTAACTGCTCTATGATATTGTGCTTGTGAGTTCTTCAGGTAATTAGTCGTTGGTGGAAGAATATTTTTATCATTGCAAGAGTTCACCCGAAGAGTCCAGTACATACAAAACTTGAATTTTGAGGCATTGACTTCTCAGTATCTAAGTGAATAATAATATTTAACATATCCTTCATTTTTTACCAAAAAAATTAGGTGCGTCTAGCTCAAACATTGTCACTATCATTGAGAATTGGTTGATTTCACCTTCAACGAAGAAAGATAGAGAAGTTGAAGCAAAGTCATAGCCTTCGGTGCTTGTATTCATTGGTTTTTTCCTAACAATTCCTTCGAGCTTTGAAACAGAAATGCTGGAGGCTCTACTGCATTGCACTGATAATGGGTCTAACTAGACCTGAAATGTGCATGCAGTTGCTTCTCTGATTGATCGTTACTTGTGTTGCTTTAAACAGCGCAGCTCTAAAATGGTAAATTTTACTTAAATCATATTCCCCCCCCCCCCTTCATGACGAATATGAGCACCAAAGGCTGTGACTTAACTTTGATTTCTCTGTCTCTACACCCACTCTTGTTCATTTTAACTGATAGAACAAGAACCTTTTTATTTAAAGTAATGGGAGGATAGCTGCAAGCGACTCAAAATAGAGTAGAATGCGTGCCATACTGCTCTCTTTGATGATAATGATTGGGGGTAAGTTAGACAAATAGGCGTTCCACGACACACAAAACGGAAGTACATTCTGTGTAAGCTCTCTGCACACGCACTGCTACAGTGTCTAACATGGTGGAAATTGATAGTGCCTACTACTGAAATCTATTCTTAGGACTTTCATCTGTCAAATTTTGGAGAAAGCTCAGTTTTGAAAATCTGTTCGGTACAGGTCTTTCGCGCAGTATAGCAGGTTAGGATTATCCATTCATTATCATGAAAGCCAGGCAATGTGTGGACAACATATCAATCTAACAATGGAGTTAAAGGCGAATCATTTCACGAAATGTTAGCTTTTGTGAAGGTCTTATTTTGCTGTTTATTAATTAAGTTCTTGTCAAATAAAATGTGGTCGTCCTATCTAATGGTCAAACACCCTTTGGTTGACAGATGCTCCTGCAGCACAGTCGACCCCAGATCCCCCCGATCTTCTCAACAAGAAAAAATGTTTGGACGCTCTGGCTGCCTTGAGGCATGCCAAGTGGTTTCAGGTTGGCTTCTATAATATTAATTTCCTTTTCTTTTCTCTTTTTACCAGTTCGTCCTTCCAAACATGAGTTTTTGCACGAACGTCCTAATGCAGCTGGAATAGCTAGCTTATCTGCTGATTGGAATTTCAAATTTAATTCTGGATGAGAAAGGAGTATTATTAACAGATGATAAAAAAACCTAAGTTAACTCTAATATCTCGACCAGCTAAAGGGGGGGGGGGGGGATAAAAAACTTTAGAATTTTATGAGAGGCAAAATAAATTTCAATGGTATGTTTCAAATCAACCGCTCATTTGAACCATCATTTAAATGAGTTGATGATAAAAATATCAAGCCACTAAACTGCACATTAAAAATATTTATCTGAAAACCAAAACATTTTCACATTTTGATCATTTTGTACTCAGCTTGTAAGTTTTGTGAGACTTTGATGGATAGCTCCCTTCATGCAACACCTCTGAACAACCAAGTGTCATGAACATACTTAGAAGTTCGTAATAGTCGCAGCAGGAATTTTCCTCTGTGAAGTCAACCTAAGTTAGGTATCAATTTAATTTAAAAGGCACTGTTCGTACAAAACTCATGTTCGTCTTGCAATTTAATCACAGTTCATCACTTATTAATAAGATATCCTCCCTCTTTCATCTATAACAATTGATTCCATAGTTTCGATCAGCTACAGTCATAGTTGTGGCAAGCTGAATATTTTATTTTGATTTTTCAAATGATGAAGACATGAATGTAAGAATGAAATTTCACCAAATTGCCATCCAAAACATAAACTTGTAAAGCAAGTTTTCATGCTTACCATGAAATGAAGATGCACTTTAACACATTGCCTGCCATGGTGTCTTGAGTACATATTTTTCCTAATGCTATAGAGTTTTGTCTTCCCCCTCCCCCTCCCCCCAATAATTTCAGTGGTGCATTCTCCTGCTTTGGGCCGTGCAAGTTGTGAGCCATAATCTTATACTCAGCTCTGATGAACGCTGGTCTCATAGAAGCGTTCAATGCAAGTGACCACATCGATTCGAAATAGCCGGCATGGTGCTTGCAGATTTTTTCGATCACCAAAGTGGTAGGCAACATGTTAAGCTAAAGTCATATCAGAATCTCCAGGATGACAACCACCTTTACTGCTGCACTTAAAACTGCAACGAAACCCAAAATTCAATCCTGCAATCCTGGAATTCTACTGAGAATTTTCTTGCCAGTTATGATCAGTTGGCCTGATATCATGTCTGTCAAAATGAGATATCAAAATAGAACATTCATCTTTCCACTTCCTAAATATCAGATATTTTCTTTTTTCAATCAAAGTTATGTTTTGTATTTAGATTAGATGATAGTTTTGATGCTTTTTTCAAATGAATTAAACTCTGAATTAATTCAGTTGAAATTGTATCGAAGATCCAGTCAATGACTGAAGTAACAGAAAATGAACATTGTCATGCAGGATATTCTGTAATATTTTCCTAATCCTCAAAGTTTTAAAAGTCTATCTAGAGGGCATTATTACAAGAGCGGTGCAACAACTCACCAACTGAAAAACGAGACTATTATCCCAAGAAGAGTGTGAATCCGCTAGTTCTTTAACTGTTTGTGTTTTGATCCATTCTTTCGTTCAGTTTGATTCCTCCAAACTTGAGGAATGATCTAGATTTGTCCATTGAATTTTAATAAAATTGATTGGCTCTTTCCACAACTGTTGAAGAACTAGTTGATTGTTGTCTTCTTATTCAAATTTCATCCTCAGAAATCATGAGGAAGTTTTGGTTCATCTAATTGATAAGTTTGCTAATATAAGATTAACTGTTCAACACTTTCCAAGGAAATACTCTAAAATGAGAATCCAACTGGGTCATGCATTGCTCTTGAAGGCCGTGTTTTATTAAAAATCCTTTTTCAAGTGTAAATATCCAGTAGGAATCTACAAGAATGATTTTTATTATTATTATTATTAATTCGCTCATTTTTAAATTTCTTTTGTTTTTCTTCATCCTCCCATATAGGCTCGTGTCGCTGGCATGCAAAATTGTCTCATGATTATCAGAATATTCAGAGACTTATGTCAACGAGTTCCTACGTGGGCGCCTTTTAGTCCTTGGGTAAGTTTGACTACTGTGCGAAAATTCTTTCAATTTTTATTAGACTAACATACAACAGCAGTAGAATTTGTGTGATAGTTGAGTGATTAATTTTTTATTTGTAATCCTTCTTGGCCTAAGATCACTAAAATTTAAGATGCTTGCTAGAACATCCAGTATTTTAATTTCTGAATAACTCATAAGAGCACTAGAATCAAGTAGACTGATTTAGCTTCATATATGTAATTGCTATTCCTGCTGACAGTTATTTAAATTTGTTTCATCATCAAATTTTTTATATTAGTACGTGGTGCTCCACAGAATGATTCAAATTTCTTGCCTAAAGCCTCCAATTCCCCCTTCAAAGGTCTAATTAAACCAAGTAATTACCCTGACAAGTTACCCACACCAACTTATGCAAATAAAAGTCTTATCTTTCATAGGCTCTTTATGGAGTTAGATCTCTTTTGCACAAATGCATCCAATTGCTAAGAGATTTAAAAGAGAGTCTTGAAGCGCATTTTCGTCAGTGATCGGTCGAGCCAAAATGCCGCAATGATGGCGGCGAGATCATTTTTGGGCTGGTAAACATTTGAGGTTAGACTTTCGAAATTGATGCTGGTCGGATGCCATCATCTTCATCAGGTCATTTCTAAACCCTACTTTTTTTAGGATTATATTTTGGCCCCAACGTTTGCTCGAATTCCACCTTCTATCTGTGTGGCGAGTTCCGATGTTGTTCCGAAAAATTATGATCGCGTCAAAACAAAATACAAAACCGAATGATCCACCCATTTTGGTTCGACCGATCATCAACGAAAATACGCTTTTGAAATTATGTAGGAATTTAAATCTGAAATTTTGGTAAGGCAAGCCCAGGGCTCATCATGTTTTGCATGTCAAAAGTCTTCCAGGATTACTTCATCGTCACACTTTAAGGTAGTGCTATTGTTGACAAACAATAGCATACACGCAGATTAGAGATGTCTGATAATCAAGTCAAGGAAATACCCAAGTAGTTTACTTAAAATGCAAAATGATCGATTTTTCAGGCAATGGAATTGTTGTGTGAGAAAGCTTTGAGTAGTGCTGGAATGCCGCTCTCTCCGGGTGATTCATTACGACGCGTTTTGGAAGCAGTGAGTAGCGGAGTCATACTCCAGAATGGACCTGGAATACTGGATCCGTGCGAGAAAGAGCCAGTGGATGCTGCTGCCAATCTTACTCCGCAGCAGCGAGAAGATATCACTGCCTCTGCTCAGGTACGTAAACTTTTCAAATCTCAGTGCATTTGTTAATCGTAAATACTCTTGGTTGTCAGAACTTTAAATTATGTGTACCTTTAAAATTCTTCGGCTGGAAAGACCCTGGGATATTAAGAAATCCACAGTACATACGTTAATGTACAACTCAAATCGTCATGTGATGTGCAAATCATCAACTTGAACTTCAGATAACTTTAATTTAAGACCAAAGTCTTCAAAATTTGTGACGGCCCCTTGTTACTTAGACAGAATTCCAATCTTTCAAAAATTGAATCATACTCTCCCCCGTGAAGGAAGTATAAGTCTTGCTCCAGACCATCCTTCTTTTTTCATTAACAATTTGATTAATTTTATGTATTTCTTTTTTCAGCATGCGCTTCGATTATTGGCTTTCCGCCAAATTCACAAGGTGCTAGGAATGGAGCCGCTCCCAGCTCCTCCGCCAATGCCGACCAACAAGTTCAACAACCGTGGAGGTTACAATAGATTTGGTCGCAAACGCAGACGAGATAATTCCAGTGGTGAAAACACGGACTCAGATGGTAAGCACTTTTTTCGCCGATATTTGGAATGATCTCAAGCATTTGGAATTTTCTTTTGTACTTGATCTTGTTGAATGAAATGATGAATCCGATGACGAGAATGAGTATCTGTGTTTGAAGTTTCCTCGCTGCTGGGCTTGCAAGTTTTTTGCTAGTCCTCTGTAAGCGCTGATCCTTCTTTGCAGTTACCCAGATTAATTGGCATTCTGATCTATCTCTTAAAAAGATTCGTCCTACTCACAGTTTTTTCCCAGTAAAGATGGCTAATTTCATCTAAGCATCAGTTTATTTTTACCGACATTTTTTTTTTAAATCAAATGAAGGTTTTTGGCTTGAACTATTTTGCCAGGTCTATTAGATTTCATGGTATCTGAAGGGCAGTATTCATGTAAACTTTAAATGAAAATACCCAACATTTACACAATTTCTTTTCAAACCTTAGAACTTTTTTTGAGATTCAATTGGTATTTTTAAGTTCTGTAGAACAAAGCTTAGTAAATATGATTTTTACATTGTGCTAGTTATCATGTTTGACTTGGTTGAACTCTTGTTATAGCGGGAGTGAATGAAAAAAAGGACAAGAAGGATACGGATGTAGTGATCAAAGTTGAAGGGGCTAAAGTTAGCAGCCCTGCAGCAGCTACAACCCCAGCAAAGCCTGCTGAAGCCGCCAAAGCACCAGCTGCCACGCCCGCAGCTGCCAAAGGATCTCTTAAAAGTCCTGCCGCGGCCAAACCGGCAGTGAAAAAGTAATTAACTATCTGATAGTGTTTAGTTGTATAAGTATCCCTCACCAGTTTGAATTTTGACTTAACAAAGTATTCAGTTTTGTTCATGTTTTTTACAGTTTCTAAGCTGTCATCCTTTGGTATCAATATTTTCTAAAAATTTATTTTCTAGTAGTCACTCATATGTATTGTCCCTTGAGTTTTGACCCATGTCCTTCTATTTTTTATCAATGTTGACGTGCTCCCCTAAATCGATAGTTTTGATTAAACAACAAGCAACAACTATGATCTATCATATTATTTTCCTTAATTGTTATTATTTATTTTGAATCATAACTATGTAACCTCCATGTTGGCATTGGATGGCCAAATACTTTTATCAAAGATAACTCCTTGTATGAAGAGAATTTAGGAATGGTTCATATGAATCATGTCTCTAAGGATTTGTAATTTTGTGTTACTCTTGCACAAGGAGATGGGTATTAACAACAACTTTTCCTCTGTTGGTTTCTAAATGAAAGATCAAATTTTAGTTATCACATTTATATGTCTTTTTCGCAACTCTCTCTCACTCTCTCTGGATACTTTCTAATGAGCGCTTTACCTCTTCATTCTATTGTTTATTGCAACTTCAAGTGTGAAAGGTAGCTTCAAATCGAAATCAAGTGATTATCAATTTTCGCTCTTTTGTGTAAGGCAACTCATTCAGAATAATGAATTCTGAAGTTGGAGTGCTCTTTAGTGTTTCAGACCTACCTTTGAGTCACTTTGAATACAAATTGCACTGGCTGGGCATTCTAGCTAATTTCTGGATTTCAAATTAGCAATCGATGGGAAACTCTTAAAGTTAAGTACAAATGCCCTGGTAATTTGTAAGCGCTTCTTAGTTGACGTCTGAATTTCTTATTACTTTTTGGTTTCAGTATTTATACACAAAGATTTAGTCTTAGTCAAGTTTAAACTTTAATTCACACTCAGTCCATTTGCAAAACTTATGTTTGTCGAAGCGTCCTGTATGTTTAATTTGTAGTGTGTTATGTTGAGTGTGCGAACAGAAATGTTGGGTAAGGTTCTTATGTTTTTAATGCTCTTCTCTCCTTGGCAAATCACGTTTTCCTTCCGTTTTCTTTTTATAAGTTTTTCCCCCTGTCTTGTTTATTTTTTCTCCAATAGCATTGTAATGGATGTTTAAATTACTGCAATTAGAAGAAATATATGCATATTTTATTTGAAATCTTGAATTTTGCTTTATTCCTGAGCGTAGCCTGCTTTACTGTTGACCTTTTTTGTGGCTACAGTTTCCCATACTCATTGAATATGTAACTTGAATCTTGAGCTAAAGGTATGATGAACATTTCTGTATCATTTTCCTGGACTTTGCAAATTTATGAAGTTGGAACTTTCATAGACAAAATTCAAACATCTGGAAAAGATTCAACAATATTTAATCAACTCAGACCTCACATTTGCCTCATTGTGCTGTGTTTAATTAGGTATGCTTTATACCCGATTTCATAACCTAAGAATTTAAAGTAACTCAACATCTGGCTACTCAACATTTTTACCATCCTGGAAATAATAGGCATTTTGAAGAAGGTCATCTTACTATCCTCAAAACTCCTGCTATTAACTTCTTTTTTTGCCACTTTTTATTCAGTTTTTTTTTTATTTTTGAGCACTTTTCCAATGGAAACATTTTGGTCATGTATTTTGCCTCTTTGTCAGAAGTGTTGAATACCTTAAACAATACCTGCAAGTAATTTAAGTGGAGGAGTATCCACATATGTTTCAGTCAATTCTCCAGTAAATGCACTTGGAGATGTAGCTTTTAGCATTGTATCCTTTCTGAAATATACCAGTTATTCTGTTTGAATTTCTTTTACTTGATCTGTTGAATATTGCCAAACCTTCTCATAGCTCAATTTCCTACCTCAGTCCTCCGTATCCATCACTAAAATGAGAGCTGATAAGAACATATTATGTACTTCATTAAATTATAACACTGCTGCCAATGACGAGAAATTTCTCTTATTACTTCAGAGCAATAGCACTGTGGAAATTGGAATTTAATTCTTAAAGGATTGCATACTGCATCTATCAGTCTATTTAGAAAGCTAGATGAATAGGCCAGTAGAAACAATGAAAATAAAAATTATTAATGAAATCGGACTGTATTATCCGGTGTTTACTAGACCCCAGAAAATATCAGAATATTCGATGTCATTAGAAAGAATTAGAAAAGTATCAAGAAATCAGTCATGGATTAAGAAACTCCTCAGTGATTCAAAAGTTTTTCGAATACGAAAATTTTGAACCAAATCTTCTGCTATCGAATACGAAAAATCATGGAGAATTTATGTTTTATGTTGACCAGTTTCTCGAAAGAAAAATAAAATTTCTAAGGAAGTCTGCAACGTCGCAAATGGAGAAACGTCGTCTCTCATTTTGCCCAAAAATATGTATGCATAGAATTGAAGGCATTATGAGTGGCCTCTCTGAACTTAGGTATATTCGTCTGTAACGATAAACAATGGGACGCGCTTGCTACGGCGCCTTGATACAACTGGACAACCTCGACGGATGTCCGTATTGCGTTCAAAAAACTGAAGGCGTTTTGACTTCCTACGCATAATGCCTGTAGTTGATTCGATCTACAAACGCGTTGGTCGGCGGTGACGGGGACTTGATGCAACTATTTAAGCTTGTTGGATGTCCGTATCGGTCCGACTGAAGTGCGAAACCACGTACCTCCATTGCGGTGTTTCAAAATTTCCGTTCTTAATTCATCTCTTCCATGAGAAACAATCCAAATTTACGACTTTAAATTTTGAACCAAATCCTCTGCTATCGAATACGAAAAATCATGGAGGATTTAAGTTTTGCAATTTTTTTAAAAGTAGGTACAAAAGAAATCGGATTTAGAAAAAAAAATTACAAACGAGAAAAGGCTACAAAATCTCTCATTTCCTGAGAGTATAGTAATTTCTAATTTTGTCGTCTTTCAGTGATACAAGAGACAACACAGACCTTTAATTAGTCGAGTTAAGAAAGAAACCAAAGACACAATTTGGCCTGGAACGGCGCAACTTAGGGATAAATGATGGCGAGGACTTGAGATGAAAAGGAGAAGCCCTCGGCGCGGCAATCGACATGTAACACATATTAGCGTCTACAAGACTGCACGAATAATTCACGCATTGCATCAAATACAGTGCGGTTATTGTGGCAGCATGAAACGGATAGTGCCTACAAGAATGCATGAATACTTCACGCATTGCGCCCAACACAGTGCGGTCAGCGTGAAACGCATAGCGCCTACAAGACTGCGTGAATACCTCACGCATTGCGCTAAACACGGTGCGGTTGGCGCGGCACGGCGGCGGAAGTTAAAATCATTAAAGCAAATTTTGTGTTTGTTCTTTCATAATTTTTTCGCTCATTTCTTATGAATGGAAGGCCTTTTTCATTAGAGATAGGTTTACGAAACTTGACTTTCGCTCAAAGGTCCCTGACCTTTTGCTAGTAGTGTTGACAGGGCTTTCCCAAAAAATGTGTTCAACACGAGTAAACGCGTCCTATGCACCCCTCCCCCGCTCGCACGTTCACTTGATGGTTTTTATTGATGTTTCAAAACGAATGAGAAGGGGGCGGCAAGTAGGAAAATCCGGCCCTGCCATCCTTAACCGAGAAGAATCGATATGGACTAAAATTTTGGGGTCATAATTAGAAGTTCTCTGGTCGGGCTCAAATGAAGCCAGCCCCCTGGAAAATGAGTCTAGGAGTCCAAATCTCTGGTCCGAAACGCTCCACAAGTCGACAGGTTTTCACCATCGCGGGTAACCGCGGATATTCGAGCATGCTCGAAACGGTCAAAATCAAGTGTTTTTGACCGTTTCTCGGCTCAGGACGTCTCGCCATGCTTAGGTACCACGCGCAATCAATTCTACGCTACTTACGTAGGATTCGACGCTAATCTTGAAATCTTTTATCCCGTGCCCAAATCGAAGAAAATCGACATGGACTAAAACTTCGGGGTCAAAATCGAAAGTTCTCCGATCGGGCTGAACGAAGCCAATAGGTACCCTTGGAAATGACCAGCTGAGTTCGATTTTCCGTTCTAATGTTCCACTAGTTCATTGGAGCTCACAACTGCCGAACAAGAAAGTGAATTCCTAAAAACGGTCAAGACACTCGTTTCTCGGCGCAAGAAGCTCCGAACTATTAGGACAAGGGTGATTTACCCTGGAACACCCCTTCTGACCCAATGTAATATTACAAACGAAATTGGAACGTGGTGAATCACGCGCGATACAGGATAGGTACCGTTTTTAGCTACCGATAATACAGCGTTCAGGTACCTACCTCGGAGTTCCCCCACAAGCTTTTTTTTTTTTTTTTTTTTTTTTTTTTTTTTTTTTTTTTTTAAATCAAAGACAGAGAACCATTTCAAAATAGAAAAAAAAACAAACCAAAATGTTTACACAACGACATCCTGACCCCCCGGTAACGTCCGTAGGGCATTCGCCGGCATCCTCGCAAGCTTGTGTCACCTATGCAGTACCTATGCACATCGTAGGTAGTTGGCCAAGGAGTAGGTAAACAGAGGTGCATCTTATTGCCTACCAACTTGTAGCACGGCGTAAAGTTGAACATCTAATAATAGTAGATAGAAACTTTGAATCTAACGGCCGTGGACGAGGGGGCCGAAGTGTTGTGGACGCGTCTCCATGGATACACGAGCCGGTGTTGATGGATCGACCGGCGGGTTTTTTGACCCTGGACGAGGAGTTTGCGGTCGAGCGTCGTTACGAGTGGAGCGTGAGTGACATCCGGGTGAAATGTCGGTGGTGTCCATGACGAGGTCTCAGTCCCTGGTCGAACAGAAAAAGCTCCAGTGGGCTCGGGAACGAGGTACGTCATCCAGGTACCAGTTCTTATCCTTCGGCAGTAGCAACTCTTGTAAATGAGTGGAAGATACATTGGTTTAAAATGCGTTTTAATGGAAAAGGAACAACCTTTTTGGCAAAGGGGTCGTTCAAGTATCCTGCCGTGCTAAGGAAAACCGCCGTATGAACATTCAAGAGTTGCCAAATTTCGTCTCAGAAAATAGTTATTTTTGAAGAAAGCTATGAATATTCTTCCTTGAAATTTTCAGGAACTTTAGGTGAAATTGCCGACAAAATTATCTGAACAAATTGATGGAAAAATATTTAAAAATTTTCCCGAAAATTCGTGATTTACCAAGGGAAATGTGGCAACGCCTGAAGGTTCATACGCCGTTTTTCCTTAGCACGGCAGTATTACGTACGTAAGCTACTTAGGAGGAGGAGGGGGTTTTGAGCTTTCCTTTTGAGGGGAGGGGGAAAGGGGCTGAGCCCACTCCTATGCTGCCATACCAATGAAGAACGCCGCCGCATGAACATTCGATAGTATTGTCAAATTTTCCTTGATAAAGCATGTATTTTTGACAACGTTCATGGATATTTTTTATTGAAATTCTCACAAATTTTAGATTAAATTGCATACACAATTTTCTGAAAATTTTGGAAAATAATGTACGCAATTTTCCCAGTAAATTCGGTTTTTATCGGAGGAAACTTGGCAACGTCTGAGGGCTCATATGGCGTTCTTCCTTAGCAAGTCAGTATGTAAAGCCTCCTATCAAGAAGAAAATAATGCGTCGAAATAAAACTACCCTTTTTCAGCTATTTTTCCAACTTTCCCGATTATATTTTGAAAAATTTGTGGAGGGATTGTCACTTATCAGGCCGCAAAAGGGTTGACCGTAATTCAAAAGGAGGGATGCTATAGGTGCTTTTACATGGAAGGAAGAGGTTCAAAAAGTCGGCCAAAATGTCTCAGGCAATACCAGAACGGCCCCATTTTTCAAGAAGAGAGTGAGGAAAGGGATTTAGCAGAGAGGTACCGTGCCTATGGTACAACATGGGCACGTTCATAAAAGAGCCTGTTAGTATACCCACAATACCCATAAACGGCAAGTAAGCCGTTCTGAAGGAAAGGAGCAACAAGTTGGCACCTTTCCTCTGAAATTCGTCAAAATCCCTCGTTGACTTTACGTTGTTTACTTATTTGTGCTTGTTATTTTGTTTTATCTGAAGCAATGTTTACATCATTCTTAGAAAGAAAAAAAAATTATCAGAGAAGAAACACCGATGCATAAAAAAGTTATTTAAAAAAGGGGAAAGACCTGTGAATAAACTAAATAAAAGAAAGTATTTACATGTATCCAACTTGAAGTAGGCCATTGATATATTTTCACAACATCCTGTCAAAGAAAAACCAATAGGTACATTTCTTTTCATATCTCTCAATTAGGGCAAAAATGTAATTGGTAGTAGGGACTTTATAAAAGTAGGTAAGCACAAATATTTTTCAGATTATCACGCTTCAGTCATAAAAAGCGCGACAGCCCTGACACGCCTAAAGGTTTATTGGAGTTTTGCGTTTTAAATCCTTCCAGAATATTCTAAATTCCGGCAGTGATTGCTGTACGATCATATTTTGATGTGAACACTTCACTCAACGGAATGGAACGTTTTGAAGCGATTTTCACAGCCCCTAGCGGCCGTTTTGACGAATAAAAACACATGTGACAGTTGTGACACCGGAACTACATGACAGCATATTTTCGAAATATTTCGGATGGAAAACGCATTTTGTTTAACATCAAATGCATTATTTATTCAACTACTTTGCTTTTCGCGCCGACCGGCGTCAGGCGCAATGCGAGAAGTATTCATGCACTCTTGTAGGCGCTAATATGCTTTTCGCGCCGACTAGCGACCGCACCGTGTTAGGCGCGATACGTGAAGCATTCCTACAGTCTTGTAGCAGGACCCCTTAGGAAAATAATAGGTTCTATTCTATTGGAAATGGTATATGCTCTTTCATTTCAGCAAGTAGCATTTTTTCCCTCGCAAACTGGCCGGTTTTAAGCTAATTGCAGATTTCGTGCGGGAAAAGCGCGATTTTAAGCAAAATTCGACTTTTCTAGCCGCAAAGAGCTATCGCGATATCTTCTAAACTGGGAGTCTCAAATAATAAATTTAAAGTGTTTCTCATTGGAAATTTTGTGTTTTTCATAAAAGGTACATGACACTTTCCCTTAGGAATGATCGTTTTTGAGATGTAAGCGAAAACCAGTCGTTGGCGGCGGCGTATTTTGGCCCCCTAGCCCGCTTTTTGTCAAGATGGTGGATTGGTGGCCTTAGCGGCCAGGCAATTCCGGTAAAATTTTGTTGTGTTTTTCTGGTGGCCTATTGCAGCATGATTCCGTTAAGAATCCTTCCTTATATTGGTTTTTTTTAGAAAAATGCTACATTGAATGGACTATCTGATTTAGTCGGTTCAAAATGAAGTTAAGATACTCGAAGCATTCTGTTTTTGTTGAGCATGCAGCTTCCTCTGCAGCCTTTTACTCTGATTTAGTCATTTGAAGTTGACACTATTTGGCAAATCGAATCGTCGGTTTATCTTAATCACTAAAAATAAAAATGAAGCCAGGTTGTCCTCCGGTATATATTATCTATTTCTGTGATTTTGTTCCAGAAGAACTAGCAAATTTCTATGGTTTATGGGGATCTCAGTACGCAGCGCAAACGTCACTGAGGTAGGATTTTGGACGATCAGTTAATTCCTTGGCAATGCTCCGAAAAATTTTTCCCTATTCTGTTCCCTAGTCATAACGTATGTTTTCAGTTCATTCTAATTTTCAAGTTCAGTTATTCAGACTTCAAGGTGAAGTACCAGCTTTAATGGAAACCTCTAGTGCAATGAAGTTTGTAGTATACAAAGAGCGACTGGTCATTTTCGTTACCTTTGGTTTCCTCTTTTTATTTTCGACGTTTTATTCGTCAATTTCATGGTTCTTGTAAATACTCAAAGACTTTCACATGTTTGGTCGGGTAAAGCACTAAAGTTAAGAATTATTAAATTACGAAGCAATCGTTAAAATATATTCACATGCATCACCGCTAATTTTCAAGTATAAGCACAATTGAATGTATAGCTAATTTTGATGAAAAGAAAAAATTTCAGGTGGTATTTTTATTTTTTTATGTATAAATAAAAACTTGAATTTCAGTAAATGTAATTGCAAATTCTTGATTGCCTCATCGCTTGATCAAATTGCTCATTCTAGCCCATGCTTGTCTCTTAAATCTCCTCCTCAGTTAATTTTCGGTTTGTTTTCTACCTCTGGACAGCAAAAACCAGTTCTTTTCTTCGACGGACTTGTATCAAAGGGATTTTGGAGCTGAGCACTGTACACCTGACTCTCCCTCTGATTCAAAACAAGAGCAACATAGCGTTCCCAAAAAACGTAGTCCAAGTCTCCCACCCATCCCATCAAAGGCTGCTGCGCGAAAGGTTTGCCCAATAAAATTGATCATTTAATCATTTTCATCGTATCTATTTTTTTCTCTCATCGTCAATAATTCGAGTTTATCCAAAATTTGAAGCAAACATAAACATTTATTTCAGGAGGTACAGTTGAATCTTAATTGAGGCCTTACTAAAGAAAAGAATTGCATCTTCTCCGACGTTGGTCAGCGAATTGATGATTTTAAAGAGAACTGCTTGGGTGGTAATTAATAATCAATAATCAATAATATACTTATTATAGGCGACGGAATACATCTCAATCGCTTGGCAAGCCTTCATCTGGCTCCATTGATGTTTGAGGGGCATTGGAGGACAAGGCGCATAAGGGCACTTTTTGCTGTTTCCAGAAACACGTGTTTGAAGTTTCAAAATTACATGGATCCTTATGACAGGAAGAAAGTTCAAACTGACTTTTTGTTGCTTAAAAATTGGAGTTAGAGAACGAATTTTTCCCAGGATATGCATTAAGACTGTTTCACTTAAAATCTACGTATAATATCTCATTTTTTTCAAAAACTGCTCTTATGCGTCTTTTGCTCCAAACCACTCATTTCATCAGATGATTTTCATTCGGACGAGGGAAAAGGAAGATTACAGAAGTGAAGAATCTCGATGACCAGTTTCACCTCTGTTGGGTTTTTTTTTTTTTTTGTGCTTGAGAAGTTTGAATTGATTTACTTTAATGCGAACAGAAAGTGCTAATTTTGCACTCACGAGTTTATTGTAATGATTTTGGATGTGTTCAACTTGCAGTGCTTTAATTATACAGCCGCAATTTTGTGATATGCCTTCCTTCCTCCATTAGGATATGAATTCAATTGGAGACCAGGACGGTAACGGGGAAGACAACGGAGAGGAAACGTCTGGCTACAATAGCGATAACGGAGGAAACGAGGCAAATCAAGAATCGACGGATTTGAATCGATTGCCGAGATCAAACAGCCTTCAAAGGTAAGCACCCGAAGCTAAAGGCATGTCCACGGTGAAACTACCAGACCACTTATCTCGTTTGCTGCTTTTAAAAGCTCCGCTCCCATTTTGTTTTTTTAAGGGAAAACAAATCAATATTAATTTCTATGAAGTTTCCAGAGCGTCCTCCTCGCACAGAAGAAAAATCAAGAGAGGTTTAAAGTTGATACGGTGCGCTTACAGCCGTAAGGAAAGAAACGAGATGATGAATCCACCCAATCGTCGAACTCCCTGTAGATAGAATTAATTAAATAATTATGAAATCTGTTAAAGCATTTAATCATCTGATAAAAGAAAAAAAATTAGGACTAATTTTAGGTCGTACTAACATGATTATTCGAAGAATATTATAAATTGGGTTGATCTAGAGAGAGAGAGGGTTGGTAACGTAATGTCTGGAGTAATTTCTCGTGAAAGGGTTGGCATAAAGTATTCAAGCCCATCGACCAACAGGAGCGTTTATTTATTCACGGTCGTAAGGGCATCATGCAAGCCTAAAACTCGCAGACTAATCAAAAAGCTTCCCAACTTTCCTCCACTAAAAAGATAGGCATGGCTATTCTCTGTCCATACAGGCACTCTAGATGAAAGTAGTTTGCGGCGAAGAAACACGCCTGCCGGTTTAGGATTGAGATACAGCCGGGGTATGTTGCGGCCCTAAATTGACAGAAAAAAAGTTTCCCTGGTAAAAATTGGCAGTAGAATCTGTGTTCCAAAATACCATAGACCTACAGCCGGCTGTAAGATTTCCAATAGCTTCTATAGCTGGCAACACAGTTTCTTATAGCCTTTTATAGCCGATGGAGATTAAGCAACAGCCTTGCAATAAAGTGTATGTTAAACGTTACTAATTACGGATGCGAGGACTTAGTGAGTTTTTGGACTACCGCTCTCCTTCTGGGCCGCAGTATCTTGATTTATTTTGCGAGGGAAGCTCCGTGCTTTTGAAGGATGCCTGCCATTCGTAATATGTTGGAGCGCCTTCAATTTTGTATGATACTGTGCAATACTTCAGGTGTGAAATAGTTGCTTCAAGCGCCGTGGTCCGTGATACGCTGAGGCGCGGCGCGGCGCGGCGGGCGGGCAGCCAGCGCAAAACGCGCATTGGCGCCTACAAACCTAACAGGGATACTTCACGCATTGCGCAATGCGTGAAGTATCCCCGTTAGGTTTGTAGGCGCCATTGCGCCGCTGCTCCGATTTGTGTTAGGCTCTAGTATTTAATCTCGTGAAGTCAGCGTTTTTCAAATGTTTGCACACTCTGTATGGATTATTCTCATTATAATTGATGGAAAAAAATATGTAGTAAAGGAAAATATAATGTGCGTTTTGTAAATATTAAGGTGATTCCGTACAAACTTAAGGATTTACAAAGCACACAAATTTCTACACGATTTCTTATAGCTTTTTATAGCCGATGGCGAAAAAGCAACAGCCAGGCGATAAAGTGTAAAGCCCGGCGATAGGAACTATAGCCCGGCTGTATAATTTTGTATCGCTTCGTGTAGCCCGGCCGTATGATTTTTTCCACTTTCTACAGCCAGCTATATGATTTTCTATCGCCTTCTTCAGTCGGCTATAAGAACTCCTATGGTATTTTGATAATTTTAAAACGCAGCTCCTATCGCCAATTTTTACCAGAGTTGGTTTGACCTGCTCGTCTTGTCTCTCCGACGCAACCCGTTTTTTAGCGAATTGTACAGGGTGATCCAAAAGTCCCTTCCACCCCCTCTAACTTTTTACCTAATTGAGGTAAAGATTTGAAACTTGGGGGATATTCCTAGGTCAAAGGGAGCTACTTTTTGGCCCCCCTAAAATTTTCAGGGGGGCCCCCTTGGGGGGACAACGGCCCCCAACTTTTAATTTTCAAATAGGAAGACCCCCTTTGTGATAGCTCGTTCGAAAGAGCATAAAAAAAGAAAACTTTTCGCGCAAACCCGAAGTCAATATCTCAAACCGTTTCAAAATGGCGGCCGGTTAAAGTTCAAAATGGCCGAAAATTCACACCGGTTATTTGTCGATGAATTTGCGCGAAAATCGGTATGTAGGAGTATTTTGACACAAGAAAAACGAATTTGACGTTAGATTTTCAAAAAAACCAAAATTTCCAAAATGGCCGCCGGTTAAAGTTTAAAATGGCCGAAAATTGTCACCTCGGTTTGTTACTGATGGATTTGCCTAAAACTTGGAATTTGAGAGTATTTTGGCACAAGATAAACAAATTTGAACTTAGAATTTAAAAAAATCAATTTTTGGTAATTTTGAACTTTAACCGGCCGCCATTTTGGAAATTTCGGTTTTTTTGAAAATCTAACGTCAAATTCGTTTTCCTCGTGTCGAAATACCCCTACATACCGATTTTCGCGCAAATCCATCGACAAATAACCGGTGTGAAATTTCGGTCATTTTGAACTTTAACCGGCCGCCATTTTGAAACGGTTTGAGATATTGACTTCGGGTTTGCGCGAAAAGTTTTCTTTTTTTATGCTCTTTCGAACGAGCTATCACAAAGGGGGTCTTCCCATTTGAAAATTAAAAGTTGGGGGCCGTTGTCCCCCCAAGGGGGGCCCCCCTGAAAATTTTAGGGGGGCCAAAAAGTAGTTCCCTTTGACCTAGAAATATCCCCCAAGTTTCAAATCTTTACCTCAATTAGGTAAAAAGTTAGAGGGGGTGGAAGGGACTTTTGGATCACCCTGTATAAAAGAAGCTTGTATTTGTTTGGCTTACAGGAGGTCATCGGTAAAGAGCCTTAACGAAGGTCAGAGTGAGGTCAGTGCGCGGTCCTCTTGGGGTGAGAGGATGAGGATCAGCCAAAATTGCATGGTTGACATTAAATTCCCGCAACTGACGGGCGACGGCTCCGAGGTCCCTTATTGGCTAGAAAAGAAACTGGACCAGATGAGGTAAGCCGAGTGCACCCACAAGCAGGCACTTGATTAAGATCCGAACTTACCCCTTATTGTTAGATTCCCAACACTTTTTTTATGCTCAAAGTCCCGAGTTAGGTCTAATTGGCCAGTATATTTAAATACGCATTGATTTGGATGGTTTTTGAAGTGGATTGCATTTTGCAAAAAAGAACCTTTAGCATTGCAATGTTGCTAAGATTGTGCAGCTTCTTTTGTCTTGGAGGAGAAACCGGATTATCCCTCAATAGTTTCTATTCTACTCGCTAAAAACTGTAAATTTAAGACAAAAATTACCATCTAAATTTCATAGTTTTTCACAATTTCCGCAATTTTATTGCAAAGGATGAAGTTGCACAATCTTAGCATCATTGCAATGGTAGTGGTTCCTTTTTGCAAAATGCAATCCAAGTATGATTCACGTTATTTCTATGTTTTTGAGGCTGAGGAATAAATTTTTATTTTTTTTTTCACCTTTTTGGTATACTAGTGCTTTCTCGCTCCCCCCCCCCTCTCATCCGCCATGCGCCATATGCGCTTGGGATTTCAAGGAGTAGTTGTCAAAAAAAGATTAACTAACGCGACACAAGTCTTACTCTTACCAAAATACCAATTTTTAAACGTGCTCCCTTTGATGCGATTGAGAGATCTCTTAACTTTCTTTTTTCGAAATGATCGTTAAGGACGACACATCATAGCATATTTTGAGCAAACTCAACCTAGCTGCTCTCCGCTTTTAAAAGCAAGAGGTACCTCACCGTGCGTTGATGACGGCGCGTACATACAATTATTCGTGCTTGATGGATGTTTATGTTGCATCTGCAAAATTGAAGGCGCGATGGCGCGAGTCGTGAATTCGCAGTGCTTTAATTCGGTAGAAAAGTTAAAAACGAAGCCTTCGAATACGTCTCTCCTATCTTCAACTACCTTGAGTTCTTTCTTTTCAATGACGTAGGCACTAAGTACTAGTACTCATTCATTTATTGTTTCCTGAATTGAAGCAGTGTTCTTGAGAGTGTGGCGTCCTTTCCCAAGAATGCCTGTTAAGCTGAGGGAGGGGTGTTGCTACTTAAACTTTTATGGTTTTCTTATAATGGCGCTACCTACCGATACAGTAGAGCACACAATCGATTTGAGAATGCATTCTAGTCTGTCTAGCATGACAAAAACACACAGACTGGGATTGAACGTAGCTGAATTCATCACAAGTAACCTCGCTAGCTGATTTCAAGGAGTATTTTCCTCGAGCAAGACAAGTAAATAAAGTCCCAAGTGATAAATCCATTTTAACACACTTCCTCTTTAAAGTTGCACGGAAGATATGATGCCCGCAACAAAAATTTAAAAAAAGGTCTTCGAAGTTCGAAAACTTCTAAACTCCTCAATAGTGATTGCAATACATGTTTATTTTCCGATAAATTAGAAAGGGGTTGAGAAGCGCAAGGGTTGATTCATTGATTTGATTGGGTTAGCTAAACTGATACTTCTGACACTGGGGCTGTTTTTTTCAGCTTTAGTATTTAAATTATTATTGGTAGGTACCTAGTTATTAAGATTATAAACATGGATCCTTGAAGTAAACCATAAGTTTTCAGAAACCCATGGTGGTGTCCATGGTGTCATCGGTGCAGTTGACAAAATGGAGTACCAAATAATTAATGAAGTGAGAAGACAAGAAACAAGGAGAAAGAAAGATGATGAGAAAAGTAAGCAAAAACAGAGGAGATAGTAGGGGCGAAAGGGAGAAAAGGGAAAAAAGGAGAGGAGGAATGTGAGATGATAAAGGAGGCTTATGAAATGATGAATGATCGTAAATTTTTTCTTGCTGTTGACACAATTATCTCATTTAATGAAATTTGATTTCAAGTACTTAAATAATTGATCAGACTGTTTTTATCAACTCTATTTACTATAGTTGCGATTCACTCAGAGGGAGAGCAGATGGGATGCCGGCTAAACATGTTGAATTTAGGGGCAGCACGGATACCATATGTTCTCAAGATGGTAGTACCAGGTAATTCCCTTTTAATTAATTTTTCATTACTATGTCAAATAATGGAGAAATTTAAAGGAGTTTAAAGAGTCCAGGATTAAAATATGTCGCTTGAGGCCATAATCGTCGGAAAAACCTAAAAAAAAAAAAAAATCGCGATTGAATGAGGAATTGATAAAAAAATAATTGAATGATCAAACAAAGAAAATTAACTGACCAGCACACAAAACCAAATTTCAAAATTGAAGAATTTAAATTGTGTATGCTGAAATAAGAACCTTCAATTTAAAGTCACAAATTTGAGGTCAGGTCGCAAAATTGATGAAATGACCGCAAAAACAAGCAACGAGAACTACAATTCACATCTTTGTCATATTCTTCCACTTTGCCCCCCCCCCCCNCCCTTTAATCAAAGGCCAAAGAATCCTGCTGTTTGTCGATAAATCTTTACCGAGCGCAAAGTAAAAGAGCAGTGGTTACTCCTCTTTAATTTACCCTGCTGATCGTGGGAAGGTAGGCGATTAAAACTCACATTGGATAAAGCTCCAATCCGATGCGCCTTCAAATTTTCGACCAGCAACAGTTGTTACCATTTATTCACCTTTGATTTCAGGTCCTTTATTCGGGGGCAGAACGTACCTCTGACCGCTGAGGAATTAATTGAGAGGGAGAGAAGGCGACAGAGAGCGTTGGAACATCAAAACGCAATCAAAGAGCAGGTGTGTATTTGTGTAACTCATATTTCCTGAGTCCAAACGGGTCCTTAAATTCGAGGGAATTCAGCGTTGCCAACTTGTCTGTGATCAAAGAGAGCAATAAGGCCGAAAAACCATAGTACTTAGGTATTTCGTACCACGCAATCGATGCTAAATTTCCACCGATAAAATAAGCATTTTGAAGGAAGATCATTCAAAATTTCCAGATTTTTAGATATATTAGATCGAATTGCGAGAAAAATTCTTTGAGAAAGTGGAAGAAAATTATTCAAAAATTTTCCAGCAAATTGATTTTGATTGAAGGAAATCTGGCAACGTCTAAAGGCTTATACGGCATTTTTCCTTCCAGCTAAATTCCGTTGCGATCCCTCATCGGGCGATAATTATTTCATCTCACTCTCTTTCCGTGGGGTTGCATATTCATCTGTTAATAGGAGACTTTTTCTCGTATCAGATTTAAATAACCGTTTCATCGTGGTTTCATCTCCTGATGAATACCAGAATACTTCGTAATGCCAGCAGGGTAGGAGCAGGGGCCAGTGGGTATCTCTAAATGTTAGCAGTCAGCGGACTAGCCTACATCCTAGATTGCTGTGAAATTCCCTGTAGGTAAGAGATAAATTATCATAATTCGATTATTTTCAGCTCACCGAGAAGGAGCAGAAAAAGCGAGAGGAAAAAGAGCGAAAGCTTCGAGAGGAGATGGAAGAAGAAATTCGTATTCGAAAACAACAGGAAATCGAGAGGAAACGGATGGAGGCAGAGGAATTCAAAAGAAGATTCAAACAGGTAAATTTCAAGCAAGCAAACATAGGGTTTTCTTTTCCCCACCATATTAGCTAGTCTTAGAGTCCACACGAAAATTCATGTGCGCTTAAGGCATATTTGTATCGCACAATATTAACCACTAGCTGCTCCGGGCGCCCTACGGGCGCCCTCCACAGCTAGCAATGGTGGTGCAGTAGCTTATTTGGAATCGGAGCGATTAGTTGAATCTATTTAATAATGATGATGATTCTGCGGCAGAAGATCAAGGAATTTAACTGCCTCTCTGCGTTACAGGGTAGAGACTGCCATTCTACCGAAAAATGTTATAAAAAGCTCGCATTATTAGTTTTTCTTTTTTTTGTGTTATTTTTTAATTTTTTTTTATTTTTATTTTTTGATAATTTTCTAATGACTATGAGGCTTTTGGGATTTATAAAAGATCGAAGCACCTCTTTGTGCACGATGTTTTTTGTACGGTTGCCTTTGGGAAGAATTTGGACTTCAAAATTTTTGTACAATGTAGCTCGTGAGAGTGCAACATATAGTTGACCATGGCCAAAAACTGTTTGGGGTAAATAAATGCCGACTCGCTTCGGTGTTTGGCCCTTAGCTTTGATGATGGTCGTGCAGAACGCAATGCGAATTGGAAATTGTCGCCTCTTAAAAGAGAAAGGGAGAGAGGAGTCTGCAGGTGACAAATCAATTCTTGGCAGTGAAATTCTTTCACCGGCCTTCTCGCCGGAAATGACCTGCAAATCAAGACAATTTTCATAACGTTTCCAGACGATCAATCGGGTACCATTCGATAAACCTTTAGAAACGTTGAGGTTTCTTAAAAGCATGACAAAAACCCCCTCCAAAAGTGTGAGTTTATGCGGTGGTAAGCCACTAAGATTAAGACAGTCCAAGAATTCGAGGGGAAAATTGAGAGCCTCTCCCTCTTCCTCTACAATGAGCCTGTTAACACTGAAGTACGTTTTAGAGACACCTGAAAGAACTTCAACAACCTTGTCGTTAATTTCATTGCAATGCTTATTTTTAGGGGCCAGAATTGCGCAGTTTGTGAAATCTACGTTCGAACATGAGGAAGCTATCTTTTCCATAAATTTCAGTAATAATATCAGTTTCAGTAATACTGCTTGTCGGTAAATCAATGAATTCCGGCATGGCCTTTTTTTAGCAGAAAAGTAAACACCATCACCTATTTCGAGTTAAAATTTTGCAAACTCCGCTTCGTCTTGCAAAGTTCTCATATTTTGAGTAAGTTTTCTGATTTTGAAAAGAGGTCAAAGTGGTGAGAATTTGATTGCATTTTGCACCAATGTTTGGCGAGAAGCATGCGGAACAACGGGTAAAACCTGTCTAAAATCACCACCCTAGACGACAATTTTTCCTCGAAAAGGGATGTCATTACCCATTCTCTAAGAAGTCGGTCGATGCATGCCAGAACATGCGTGATAACCATGGGAGCTTCACCCCAAAAAATGATCGTTGTTTTCCGAATAGTCTTAGCCTCTCTTGAGCTAACCGTCAGACTCGACACAGAATTCTCATTCAGAACCGAAGGAATTTTGAATTTGCTATGAACCGGCCGATCGTTAGGTAGCAACGTTGCGGCGATACCTATCCAAGCAACGGTGATGACGTCTAAGTTTTCCTTTGTACAATACGCAGTAAGACATTCTTAAACGAAAGTTTTTCCCGATCCTCCTGGACCATCAATGAAAATCGCATTACACGTGTAAGATGGATTTTGGATGAGACTAATTATTTCAGAAATAATTTGATGTTGCTCTGGGTTAGCGGCAGAAATCATGGAATCATAGTTTTAGGGGGAGGAGAGTCAGGCTCCGACCCTTGAAGATTCAGGTTAATTGGAAGCAATTCCGGAAGATCAAATGATGATATTGAAAATCCATGAAGTCTTAATGTGCTTTCAATAGCAAAAATCCGATCAACGTAGTCGACCGACCAACAAAATAAAGAGAGAGGAAGAAACGAAGTATCAAGCAAATTTGAAACAAAGTTGGAAAGAGAAAAGAACAAATAAGAATGAAATGTCCATAACAATACATGTTGTTAGCAATACGTGTGCGCACCGCTGCAGTTAATAAGTCAGGGTCAGTCAAACCGCCAGGATGCCTATCAAGAAGTGGTGAAACGGAGTAGCCGAGAGATTGGGACGGAATGTGGGTGGTGAGTGACGAACGACAATGCGACCCAAACCCAAACCTTCTTTGAGGTTGGTGGGAGGAAAGCTATACGAAAGAAAACGGAGATAGCCGAAAGAACGTGGTGGGAGGGGTGGCTGAAACCCTAGAGGGGGTATCTAGGGACGGGCAAGCAGGTAGCGGCCAGATGACCGCTCGAAACAGCTGAACTTTGCTCGTCGATAAAAGTAAGAAAATTTGAGAAAATCGAAAAAACAATTACAGCCTGCAAATCTACAGATCAGAAGCTTTCATTTAAAAAAAAACCCATGCAAATCGGTCCGGTGGTTCTCTCAAAGTTAATGTCCCAAAATGCGGACTTTAGTCTGAATAAATGGGAGAAAATTTGAGCCCAGCTAAACTTCACTCGTCGATAAAAGTAAGACAATTTGAGAAAATCGAAAAAACGATCACAGCCTGCAAATCTACAGATCACAGGCTTTCATTTAAAACAAAAATCATGCAAATCGGTCCAGTAGTTCTCTCAAAGTTAACGTCAAAAGATTCGGACCTCCGTTTTAATGCATTGAAGAAAATTTGAGAAAATTATGGGAGAAAATTTGAGAAAATCGAAAAAACGATCACAGCCTGCAAATCTACAGCTCAGGGGCTTTCATTTAAAAAAAATAGCATGCAAATCGGTCCGGTGGTTCTCTCAAAGTTAATGCCCCAAGATTCGGGACTTTGCATTTTAATATATAGGATAATATATGGTGCAGATAATTGAGGCATTTCTTGGTAAAAGGGCGTATGAAACTTCCAATGCTGCTAATATTGTGCAACGTAGTTCTCTAGTTGTACGAGTAAGTAACTTATCGGACAGTTCTGCTATGAATTTTCCCTGAGTCTGCTGAGTCTAAGATTTCAGTGGGTTCCTAAAAGGGATTTTATGGGGATTCATTGGAACCCAAAGGATGGGAAAGTGGACCTTTAGGTTCCTATGGAGTGAATAAAGAGACCATCAGGAACCCAGAGGTAGCCAAAGGAACCTAAGGGAATCCTTAAGCCTCCTGGAGGGACTTCAGTTCTTGATTTTCCATCCCATGAAAACCCATTTTAGATTTTCAATGGGTTCCCATAGGAGCCAGTGTAATATTTGTACGGGATATTTTTGACAGTTTCGTCATCAAGCGACTCTAAGTTTTGACTATCGAAAGTAATTTTTGGAATGAATGAATTCTAAATGTGAGAACATCGTTCTTGGGTGAAATTATCCCTCTGGAATGAGAATTTCAGTTGGCTCTGAATTTATCGTTCGTGAAAAAATCACCAACTCTGGCTAACTTTTGCACCATATCGGCAGGGTTGTCACAACCAGGAAATAAAGGGAAATGTTGGAAAATGTTTAAAAGCCAAGGAAAACCTGGAAATGTCAGGAAAAATGACGATAGTGTCAGGAAAAAATTGTTAATCCACCTGTATTTGCTTTCTAGAATGGGTTTGACGTATCAAACAACACATTTTGCCTGAGAACTATCTCAAATTATTTACTTTTAACCATGCCGCACATCTTCAATTGTCAGGGAATTTTACCAGAATGCGTTCGGGAAATCAGGGAAATGTCAGGGAAATTCAATGTCCAAAATCTGTGACAACCGGATACGGACTGTAGCGTGAGGGGTCTCAGGAAAATACCTCCATTCCTATATCCTCTGTTGGGTTTAGATTCTGACGGCAGAGTCTCAGTCTCGCAATAACAGTGAATTGACGATTCATCATTATTCAATTTTTGTTTCCGGTTGATAATGAAATTGTAATTATTTCGAAACGCGGGTTTTTCTTTTGATTCGTTCCCTTTTTCTCCCAAATTAAGTTGTTATTGCCGGCCAGGTTGGCCTAGTGGTCAGCGCGTCTGGCTCTAGGTCAATAGGCCCCGGGTTCGAATTCCGGTGGTGGCGTCTAATTTTCACGGAATTGACGAGTAGATCTGCTGAAACAGATCCTCCTCGGTCCTAATCCCTGAAAATTCGAAAAGCCTGGAGCATGGAGATCCCACGATGTCTACGGACACTAAACATTGTCTAAAGTTGGCTGAAGGTGCTTGACACAAAGCCATTAAACCAGCAAAAAAAAAAAAAAAAGTTGTTATTTTATTATGTGTTTTTGGCTGATTAAGTTGTTCTTCATTCTAACGGCGTTTACAGGAGCAAGAAATGCGAAAGGCGGAGGTGATGCAGGAGGCCTTGCGGCAAGCGGAGCGGCTGGCGAAGGAGGCGAAGACCCGGCTGAAGATCAAGCCATTCCACTGCGACACCCCGACAGCGGCGGCGATGCCAGGACCGACCAAGACGAGGAGAACGAAGCCGAAGCGGAGTCACCCGCAACCGCCTCCCCGGAGTCCCCGGGTCCTGGAACCGGACCCCGACCTGGACCCGGATCTCCACTGGAGCGAGGGGCCGCGGGAAAGCCAGAGGGTCCCGGGGGACAGCGGGAGGGTCCTGGAGGAGAGCGAGAGGGTGGCCGAGTACGAGTCCGGTGCGGAGTCGGCGTGTAGTCTCGAAAGCACGGCCGCCTCGCTGTCCATCACCGTCAAGACCTCCAGGGACTCCCAGGTCAGCGTCTCCCTCTCGCCCAGCAGGGCCCAGGGGATCCCTTCTCCGGAGCAGAAACCTCGACGGATGGTCGATCGCGCCACGCAGACTGATTCCGAACGGTAATATACTCAGATAAACATTTCTGTTACTGATAATCAGAGACAAGAGACCCTCCACTAGTATCTTGGCCATTGTGGGAGCTTTTACTTTCGGGACTTTAGCATTCTACTGTTGACTTCCCTACATGGTTGATGTTCAACAACGTGTTGGCAGTTTCGTTTTGCAAATAAGCCGAAAATGGCCGACGTTTCGGAAACTTGTTTGGCTCATGACGTTATCCGAAGCTCATCATCGACCATGTTGGTAAGTCAACAGCCGAAACTAGGGTGATGACTGTTGCTCCCTAGTAATTGTCCATAAGGAATTGTTGAAACCCCGAAAGTAAAAGCTTCCACCTGTCGCTAGGAGGCCAGTGGAGGGTCTCTTGTCTCTGCTGATAATAAAGTTGAGTCTATGTGAGAAAAAAAAAAACATTAAGAAATGGCCCGAGCTGTACAGCCGTGTTAAGGAAAAATGCCGTATAAATTTTCAGGTGTTGCCAAATTTCCTTTGATAAAATATGAACTTCCTGGTAAATTTATGAACATCTTTTTTCAATTTTTTTTAAATATTTGGTTCTCAAGTTCATCTTCAGTTTCTGAAAAATTCAAGGGCAATTGTTCATAACTTTTCTCAAATATGGAGATTTTAACAAAGGAAATGGCAACTCTCGAATTTTCGTACGGCGTTTTTCCTTAGGACGGCAACGGCATCGTGTTTTGAGTGAAATTTCATCTAAACCTAACCTTACTCGATGTGGAAAGATATAAAAAGAGTGCTTAATTTCGTACCTTGTCCATTAACATCTTCATTTTTTCAGTGTACCTGTTAAGCTCACACTGCGCTGTGTGTCAAATGGACTTGAAAGAAATACATGTTTGAAGTCTCTAAATTACATCGATCCTTAGGGCGGAAAAAAGGTCCCAACTGACTTTTTGATGCTTAAAAATTGGAATTTGGGGGCGAATTTTTTGCAGAATATATGTCAAGACTAGTTTTACTTCTAATCATTAATATGTCAATATTTTCAAAAACTGCACTTGAGCCTTGTCCTCCAAGCCCCTCATTTTGTAATTAGGAACTAGGATTTCTAGCTCATCCACAAAGACACGTCTGTGCGTGGGAAAACAAATGATACGCACGTTGTTACTGAACGGAGCCAGATATTGTAGTTCCCGATTTCAAAATGATGTCCAGCTAATGTAGAGTTTGATAGAAATGTCTTGGCGTTGGCAGGGATCCGTATCACAGACAGTGTCGACTTCCCTTGCGGTACAGGAGCCAGGGTCGACCACGTGTCCAGCCTCTGAACGAGCGACCCAAATGGGGTGTCAACAGACCGGGCGTCCGCTACATCAAGCAGAGCGAGAAAGATCCTCACTACCAGAAATGGCGACGGCGACGAATCAGCTCAGAGACCAACAAGTAAGCCCATCATGACCTCTGCACCCATCTGCATGACCTTTTGGGCTGTATTTATGGTAGTTCTTTGACCGGCTCCTTCTCTTAGAGAAACCTCTCGAGACTTACATTATAATTCAGGGAAGTCTCAGGAGTTGACATAGAATGCGAACATGACGTTTTTACATCAGGTTATGAATAGTTCTTATCAATAAACTAATTAATCAGTCATTAATACTGCCGTGCCGAGGAAAATTTCCGTATGAGCCTTCAAGCGCCGCCAAATTTCCTTCAGTAAATAACACATTTTCGGAAAAATTTGTAAATATTTTTCCTCCAATTATTCAGATAATTTTGTTTGCAATTTTACCTAAAGCTCCTGAAAATTTTAGGGGGAAATATCCATAGCTTTCGTAAAAAAATGAACATTTCATCGAAGGAAATTCGGCAACTCTCGAATGTTCATACGACGTTTTTCCCCAGCACGGCGGAAGAAAGATGTATCACCTACCTGTACATCATCTAATTCATCCGTTGATTCTGTTTTTCCAGATCACCCTCAACGTCACCGACGAGGAGGATATATGGCTGTGAATCAAATGCGGAGAATGCGATCTCCGGTAAGTCTCCAATTTCGATTTTTAATGAGTCTGCGGGTCGATTGTTGAATCGTTATCGAATGCTTCTGATCGATAAATCCCTATCTTAACAATGCTATATATCGATCAAGGTCATTCGATAACGATTCAACAATCAAGGAGCTGGATAGCTTAATTTCAATGATTCCAATTGCATGAGTCTGGATAACTTGGCTCCGACGGTTAAAAATTGTTGCTGCTATTTCTGATTGTTTAAAAATGCCAGCAGTCAATACAAAATGTTTCGAAGACAATATTTGTCACAGAGAGACCATTTTTTACAGTTATAAACTTAGCTCTTCACAGAGCAATAAAATAGTGCATACATACGATGATCCCTTAACATAAGTGGTGGGCAACCCTCCCCTGCCCCTCTTCCAAACTTCTCTTCCACAGGGGTTTGTCTCACTTTACTCGTAGTCGAATAGTTATAACGAATAGCTCAAGCGTTGCGTTTGGTGCAATGCGAGAAGTATTCATGCAGTCTTGTAGGCGCCAACGCCGACCGCACTGTTTGGCGGAATGCGTGAGGTATCCATGAAGTCTTGCAGGCGCTGATATGAGTTAGACGCCGACCGCACCGTGTTTGGCGCGATTATTCGAACTCGCGTTAGGATATTCGCGGCATCCAACAATTGGGCTTGTTGGCTCCAAGCCCATGCTTTGTTTCGACACCGTATGAACGTCCCAACGTTGTCTTGTTTCTCCCGATAAAATATTTTTTCCGAGAAAAGTTAGAAAAGATCTCTACGTTCGCTTTTTGAAATTGAATGGACTATTAAACAAGGTACGATTTTAATCACTCTGATACATGATTCTTCACCAAAATTTCTCGTAGAACACGATTCGCGCAACGAATAAAACTAATGAAATCAACTTCTTGCAAAGATATTAACGTTTCTATTGTCCATTGGTTACGGGAACTTTGAATAGCTGGTCACAAGAAAAACAAAACCATACACGAGTCAAATTGCGCACTACAACGGCTTTAGCCGTTTCGTAGTTTCTTTCCCACACACTGTGTTGTTCAAAGTGTGTACAGCTTGAGCTGAGCGTCAAGATTGAGGTTGCCATACTTTCATATTACTGAGACCGTCAAAGTGACGTTTAGCGTGCAATTTAATCCAAGTAAATTATTGGATTTTGACTCGAAGGAACGGGATTACGGAAAAAGGTCAGTTGCGCTGGTCACAGAATTGTGTTTTGATGATTGATTCTTGTAGATTACCTAAAAATATTAAGATCAGTCCAAACCGCAACTTTCTACGTTCGATATTAATCGAGACATGGCCCTTTGAAAAGTTGGGTTTTTCGACTTCATACACCGCGGTAGTGACACCCTTGGTTTCTTCCACCTTGCTTTCATCCGCGTTTCGCGTGGAGTAACCAGTGCTAATGTGTGTCTCCCCGACTGATAAAACCAACGTAGAAGAAACCAAGGGTGTCAACACCGCGGTGGATGACGTCAAAAACCCGACTTTTCAAAGGGCCATATCTCGGTTAATATTGAACGTAGAAAGTTGCGGTTTGGACGGATCTGAATATTTTTAGCTAATCTACTAATGTAGAATCAAGCATCAAAACACAATTCTGTGACCAGCGCAGCTGACCCATTATATTGCAGTGGCGTGGCGTGAATAATCAATTATCGATATCTCGCCATTTGAAGCTATGGTAAAGAATCGATTACTAAGGTGTTCGCTGCGAACACCCCGATAATCGATCTTTTTCCATAGGTTCAAATGGCACCACAATCGATATATCGCAATTCACGCCACGCCACTGTTATATTGTGATTATGAGTATTACTAATGTGTGATTGTTGATTAATTATTAATCTAGGCGAGAAAAACACGATCGTAACACGCGAGACGTACGGGAGGAACCAGGATTCGAGCGAGGAGGGCAGCACTTATTATTCAAGACCTCGAATCATCGAAAGAGGTACTCAAAAACAATTAACCTCACGAAAATTTAGCTCAACGTTTCTTCATAATACTCCCGTCAATCCGACTTCATAACTTAAATAGTTACGATGAGAAAAGAAAAGAAAAAGAAACGTACTTCAATCGTGATCTTGTAAAATCTCCGCTCTTTTTGTATTTTATTGGGAGCGTATTTTTGGTCATTGACAGATAATTTATGCATTAAAGGGTAGACTGCCGTGCTTAGAAAGAACGCCATATGAATATTTGAGAGTTGGCAAATTTCCTCGAATAGGTAAAACATAGGTAAATCAAATCCTCGTGTCTACTCCTGAATCCTTCAATTTTTTCCCCCACTCAAGGTCCTATCCAAGATTCGGGGAAGCAAAGTTTTTCATCCCTCGAAGAAAGGGTTTTAATTTTGAATTTAAAAAAACATTTATTACCTATTAATTTTTACATTATTTTCTCTTCTTGTATAGGTATAAAATTGTCTTTTTAAATTCTTATGCTTTGATTAGATGATTATGGAGGGTCAGCAACGAGTATACGAGCAGAGAATCAACAAAAAAATAAGTCAAATAGTTGCTCAGAGCCCTGTCTTACATCAGAATTCCGCACCCAGTCCCGAGAAAGAGGTGGAAGCAGTATGTATTCCCGAATACCACCGTCTACCCATCACAGAGTAAGTACAAAATCATGCCACTTTTTTTTGGGGGGGGGGGCATGCCGTTTTGAACTAAGGGCAGTGCACTCTCTGTTGAAAGAGCAATTAATAATCAATATGTAAACGATGGTTGCACTTCATTTTGTAATGAATAGCCACCTTTTAAGGCTCATTTATTCATAAAATCACCAACATGTATAAGAGAAGAAATGGCCAAAAAAATAAACAAGGAATGGTGAGTCCTCATTTCAAAATCTAGTTCAACTCGAAATTAATTCTCCAGAAAATGTAAATCCATCCTAAGTTTGCAAAATTGCCCCAAATAAGCCAATAAAAAAAAGGAAAAAGAAAGAAAAAAAATTGCCTCTGCAATTTCCGTCTAGAATTTTGCTGATTTTTGCGCGTAATCAGAATACATAACCGTAATATTTTAGTCAGATAGTTTCCCGGTAAGAATAAAATTTTAAATGAAAAAATCGCACTGTTGAAATGTGATTACGTTCATTCGTCTGTAAAACAACGAGTGAACAGTTCTCGTTGGGCTCCTCTCAGACAGAGTGTGATGAAAAATAAACAAAAATTGATAACTTCAAACAAAGGCTACTTTACTTCCCAAAAGCTTTCCCCAGACATACCGTCTGATTTCAAGATCTTAACTTTAATTTTTATTATATTTTTAAAAAATTTTTTTCCATTGATTACTTACATATTTCGTCCTATTTATCACGGTTTCTCTTTTTATTTTTTCAGGAGGGCAAAGAGAGGACCAGACGAGCCCCTGGCCTTTATAGGAATCACTCTCCTTTGTCGTCCGACGGATCGCTATAAATTAAAATCAAAGTTACATCTCAGGGTACCTGAGATTTTCTCCCTTGACGGAGCAATGCGCCTCTAATTCCTGTGAGGAAGTGAGGGTTAGTGAAATAAGCCCCCCCCCCCTTAGTTTTTAGGTATAATTCCAAATGTGTAAGTGTCTGAAAGCGCAAACCCCAAAAGCGCAAAATAAATCGACCTAGGATAGTACTGTATGCGACGAATACCGATGAAATATCGTAACGCCTGGCTGTAACTATTCGGGCTCCACGGATGTCCGTGTCGCATACACACGGGAGTGAAGGCGTTTTTATTCTCCGCGCACTTAGCTTTTAACGCGTGACACGGCGGCGGCGAACTGTGATGCGAGGATCCAAAATGACAACTTGCATTAAATTCCACGTTTATACTACAAATAAGTCTCCAGGGCACGAATTGGACATGATTGTCTTGTGTGCTTCAGTTTTGATATCGCGATGCGTGGAGTATGTTTTGAAGAGCGAATTTTCATGCCCACGAAATGTTTTCGTGAAATAAACGAAAAATTGAAGGCGCTCCGTCCTTTTTGATCCTCGCAGTACTGTCCGCCGTTGAGTTGCTGTGTAGAGGGCTAATCAAAACGCCTTCATTTACGTGCGTATGCAACACGGACATCCGTAGAGCCCGAATAGTTGCATCCAGGGGTTACAAAAAAATTAGCTTATTTATCGCATGCGATAACATCCGAGGGTGACTCACTTGTTTTTCATAAACATCAACTTGACTGAAGCGTTGCCTATTGTACCGATGAAGTAAAAATCACCGATTTTTATCATGACGTCATTGTTATTATTTTTTTTAAGGCCTAAAGTTTTAACGTGAAATCTCAGGTAAGGCGTTGACAAATATAAAATCTTTGTTTCTTTCTATATTTTCTTATTTTTAGGTATTTGCGCTTTTGGGTCATGCGTTCCTGACTTTAGGAGTTTGTGCCTTCAAACATTTGCGCTTTTGAGAGTGCCGTCCGGCCGGTAAGTGGCACAATTCCGAGTAGAATTCGCTTTAAGGATTGTGGCAGTAAGAAACCTGAAGTATAGTTAAACATGTTCAAAGGGAATTTTGGAGGCGCTTAAAAGCAATGACTGTTCGAAAGTCCTTGAAAAGTGTTATAATTGACGCGATGGGAAAATATTTTTTGTTATTGTTTTAAGTAGAAGTTTCCTTTTTTTTTTTTTTTTTTTTTTTTTTNCGAAAGAGAATTTAGTGAAACCCTGAATTCCAAGCTCGTGGGGTTTACGTCGTTTGAGTCTTCGAATACACTGGTCCCTTTCCAATAGCGCAAGCGCTTCTGGATTGGGATGCCCATGCAGACGAGTCTCATAAGAGTTGTACAATTTAGTTATGTACTCCTCTACAGAATCAATATTGAGGTCAGCGCGAATATCAGCGTTCCTCTCGTACCAGTGAGCTTTAACAATGCTTCTAAGAATCTTCATTTGCATGATTTCTATCTTTTCTAAGTTTGATTTGGCTGCGCAACCCCACAATTGGCAGCCGTAACTCCAAACTGGCCTCAACATTGACTTGTAGAGGAGCAATTTGATGTGCAAGGATAACTTAGATTTACGGCCTAAAAGCCATTGCATATCATTAAATTTAAGTTTCAAATTGTGCAACTTTTTTCTTTATATGTGTCCCCCACTTGAGCCTGGAATCCAAGTGAAGGCCAAGATATCGCGCGACGGTGTCGCGAGGAATTTCATTTTGAGAAGTTTCCTCTACTAATAAAATCTTAAAAAGACTTAAAAAGAATTTGTTAGGACAAAACCCCTGTAAATTTTTAAAATTTTTCAGGGAGTTTTGTTAACATTTTCAATATTTAGAATTACGGCAAATTTTGTAAACGTTTCTTATTTAAACTACACTTCATGTAAATTTTACTATAAAATAATCAAAAAAGGGATTTTCTTTTGTATTACGGTTTAAACGTTAATTTCACGCATTTTTCTAGTTTGTTTAGAAGTTGTCTTTTTTTAAATGTTGAAGTATTATGAATATGTATTAACCATCGTTTCTACCATTGACAGTTACATGCCGATAGTAGGAAAGTTATTGAAAACGGTCTATTGAATGGCTGCACACAATTATAACAAAAAATGAACATGTTCTCCGCAAAGAGCTGCCACTCTCTCATTTTAAATTGTGCAAATGTGTCGCTGTATTCGTCCAATAATCAGCTGGAAACATTATGAGCAGATTTAAGCGTGAAGGCATAAACAAATACCAATTTGCCAAATATTTTTTAAATTACCTGTTATACACCTTATTTATTTCCTCCTAATAGACTCTGTAGAAGACTGTAATTTGATCAATGCTTTTATTTTATATTCAGACTTAAGGACTTCATACAAAAGGTATGAGGGCCTAGATCTACGCCTTGAAACATATTCTTCGTCAGATTAAAATAAAATAACGTAACACGTAATTTTAATCTCTGTAATAAATGTTTGTTTTCATTAAAAGTTGTACTTTTGTTCAAACTGAAATTGTTTTTAATCTCATCTTTAATTTTAAGCACAACACCATCAAACACTTCTCAGCATTCGGTATCGGGCTATGACCTTCCTATAAGCGGTGAAGTCGCAAGGAGCCCATAGTCAGTGGAGAGATTCCAAAAGTCCCGGACCAGAATAATTGCGATTTTTTGGGACTGGGAGGGCACTGAATGTTTTATTGCTCTTACCGCAAAAGATTACCTTGGCTCGATTTAAAATTTCTCTTATTTTCATGATTTTTTGCAGGAGATTAACTGCTTTATGTTTTTACCTAAGAAAGGTTGAAAAGTATTCTGCCTACGTTTTAAAATATAATAGCTAAAAAATATCGACTTAAAGTGGGACTTTGATAGTTTGAAGTTTACAGCTCCGAAAACCTACTTTTGAGGAAAAGTAAATGTTTCAAATTTCAATATGGTATGTATAGAGCACCAATTTTGTGCCATTCACCAAAGCAATTTCACTCTCTCTTTCGGCCAAAAAAGGCTGTTTTTTTGGACGCTACAAACAAGTTTCCGTCAAAATCTAAAATCAAATTTGTTTACCAAACTTGCGAGAAAAATAGCGTTTTGCAAATTTTTTTTGGGTCATGTTCCCTTCCTTTTTTAAAACCTCCAGTTCAAACGTCGAGAGCCTTTGAAATGACAACGGCGAATATTTCAGTCGGACAGTCGCCAATCCAATTGGATCTAATTTGGTGAGATCCGTCACTCAATCATCATCGCGTAAAAAATCGTGTTTATTCCCGAAAATAATATTTATACAAAAGGATGTCGTGCGCTTGCTTTTAAATAATTCATCTCTGCGCTCAACCAAAGTATCATCAAAATATGTCTCAAAATATTTATCCACAGGAATAGTCCATGATAAAATTTGAGCTTTGAGCCTCTCATATCGATGACAAAAGTGCGAAACAACGTATCTCCGTCTGAGACCTTGCAGACTGTGTGTCATACTTAATTCTTTGGTAATCTAGTCAACGTTATTTCTTGAAAATTTTCTCCATTTTTTTTTCTGCGATGGCAAAATACTCTGTAAACATTTCTAATCATAAAGTTCGCTTGTTTCTTTTTGAAAAAAGTAAAATATAGGTGCAGACATTTTGAAACCTCGCAAAACAGATACCTGTTTCGCACTTTGGTCATCTATGTAATATCGGTTTCTAGACGAATGAACGCAACTCCATTCCAGCACTGGAAAAAAAAAAACACATTGGATCTTGTGTTCAGACTCTTGAAAACATTGAAAAGAAAAAATACTCTTGATTCAATCAGATTTTTGCTTAAATCAGAAGGAAATCCGCTCTAATTAAGAGGCTTGGTTCTTGATTTAAGCAAAAATCCGATTGAATCAAGAGTATTTTTTCTTGTCGATGTTTTTAAGAGTCTGGACTCTAGATCCAATATGTTTTTTTCCAGTGAAGGCTGAAAAATTAGCTCAAACAATTCAATTCATTTTACAAAGGATAGATATCCTTTATAGGAGGATATGTAATTCCTGTCAACATTTTGTTGATTTTTTAACCGTTCCCGAGAGAAAATCGGTGAAATTGCCACTAGGAGCACACGATAGTTTCCTCGTTAAAATATAATCTACCAGTTGATATTCCACAACGTTGTAAATTAGTTACGTTTTTTCATGTGGGAAGCGAATTCATGTGTGAAGGTAACCATGGTGCTCATCTTTTATCGATCAAACAGGACGTTGCCAAGCCGTTTTGAGGTGAGACAATGAGAGCAGCAATTTTACCGGCCATGAATGAAAGTGCCCTCCCGACTGTGAGAAAAGAAGAAAAATTGGCAACGTCCTAGCAATCATGACCAACAATGTTGTCGGTGTCTCGCGTCGCAAGGAACGGTGGTTGAACTTTGACACGTACAGGGCGAACATATATAAACTCGCCGGAAAGCGATGCATCACATATCAGCCCTCCCGCATTTATCACCGGTGCATCATGACGTCCGAGGTAGTGAAAATTAAAAGTGAACGTAATAAAGATTTAATAATTATACGGAACAGTAAATTTTCCTTCCACAAAAATTTGAAATTCGAAAAGAAGCGGTGGTGTTGTGTCGTGAAAACGTGTAAGAGTTACATAAAGACGGACATCAGTGAAACACAAATTCTGGAAGAGAATGTAGTGTGTACCCATGCGGTCCATAGCGATAGTGAAATTTGTCGACAAAAAATCAGGAACAGTTCAAAAAGGAAAGCTGAGAAGGACGCTTGTGACAGACCATTGAAATTAATGCGTGATGAAATAAACATACATGATTGCTGCGACGTTGCCGATTTTTTTGGTCTAGGGAATCAGGATCCGGGAGGAAATCAGGCGATGATTTGGTAGGAGATAATTCTATGACATGCTTATCACCATCAGAGCTCTGAGCTTTGAGCTTTGAGCTTTGAGTTTTAAGTTTTTAGTTTTGAGTTTGGCGAAGCTCCCCTCTCTCTAACCCACATGTTCGATTCTTTGAACTTTGACACGTACAGAGCAAACATATACATATAAACTCGCCGGAAAGCGATGAAGTGATTGTTAAGATACCTCATCTGTAACTCAGTTTTCGAAAGTAGTTTCATGTACCATTGAACATTTTGGTAAGCCACGTAAATTTGCCGATGCTCATAACGCCGCGTATTCACTGTAAGCCCGAAGACTCTTAACTCTAAATTCCGTTTTCTAATGGTACAAGTTTCTTCTCTGAACACAGAAAATTGTTCGTTCAAATCTGAGTCCTGTCTATCAAAATTAGCAACATTGGTATTGGATACTTCAGTTTGAAACATGACTTTGAAACTAGACGACTTCTTGACAAAGAAAAAGGAGCCAGCACAAATTTTGGATTTGTCAAAAGCAACGGCCAATAGCAAAGAGGAGTTGAGACGGCTTATCGAGAAGATTCCTGAGTACAAAATAAAGCCAGAGAAGGTAAGTGACTCTTCAAGTTTTGTTATTTATTCCGGCAAAACAATATTCTAGAAAGTTCCCAAATTTTAGCTGATTCACAACCTCTGAATGCAATCCAACATCCACCTTCTTTTGCGAGCATAAATTCTAACCTCACGCATTATTACTGAGTACTACCGCAAGATATCTTAATTTTACTAAGTATTAACGTGATTTGCATTACTCTCTACATAAGGTTAAATAGATTTTTCCGGTAAGGCGAGAACGTGAGAGTATATTGATGGCCAAAAAGCAAAACCAGGTATCTCCTTTGCAGGGTTTCAAAATGTCTGCTCCCATATTTTATTTTTTCGAGGAGGAACCACCCAAATTTATCGCTTGAAATTGAATCGCGGTAATCTGGTAACAAAGAAGAAATATCGAGGTAATTTTCAAAAAAATACGTTAACTAGTAATCCACAGAAAAAACAAAGTATGACAGGAAAACTGCAACGTCGCAAACGGAGGTACGTGGTTTCATGATTTGGCCATCAATGTGTGAACTTGTTGATATCTGACCGATGACTCATTTCAGGTGAAACCAGACGAAATCAAAATTCGGGAGAAGGATTTTAGCTTCAAAATAACAAAGAAAGAGTTGAAACCGAAGAGAGAGTACGCCTTCCAGGACCCTACTCCTCCAGAAATGAGAGAGATCAAACTCGAAGATTTGAGTTCCGTCAACATTCCCTGGAAAATGTTGACCTCGCTTCGCCCCAAAACCAAGCTTGATGAGGAATTTTACTCTAGGTATGAAACTACTGGTGAGCCAGATTTTTTGAAGCTTGTCAATTTTTTTAAGCCTGTCAATTTTTAATTTATCTTTACTAGAAAGATGGGGAAAACCGAAGTTCTCAATTGACGCCAAAATCAGCTGAAAATATGGTTGAATCTTTCATCATTTTTGTTCCGTGCGGGAAAGATCTTGAAAATTTCATCTAAAATCTTTTAGTCCCAGTGTGCGCTTTCACTTACAAATCATTAATTTTCCCTGCGCACATTTACACAGCGAGTCGAAGTAACTTTAGCAGAAAATTTGCGCGGTCAATGTAAGTACAACGCCTTAAAAATCGTAGATATACTTCAAACGCTACACCGTCGCCCATACGTTCCAATGCGCGAATGGGTCAGATGCGCTGGTCACACAATCGTATTTTGATGCTTACTGTTTGTAGATTAGCCAAAAATAATCAGGTGTGTCTAAACCGAAACTTTCTTCGTTCAATATTAAAAGAGATATCGCGCTTTGAAAAAGTTGGTTTATGACGTCATTCACCGCAGTTGTGACATTCTTGATTTCTTCCACCTTGCTTTCATCAATCAGTGAGACACACATTTGCAGTTTGTACTGGTTACTCAACGTGGCACTCGAATAAAAGCAAGAATGAAGGAACCAGGGGTCTCACTACCGCGATGGATGACGTCATAAACCGACTTTTTCAACCGCGATATCTCGGTTAATATCCAGTGTAGAAACTTGCTGGCCGGACAGATCTGATTATTTTCAGCTGATCTCCACGAATAAAGCATTAAACCACGATTCTAAGACCAACGTAGCAGACCCATTGCCTGTACTGAGGTTGCTGGAGCGCATACTCTGTTTTAAAGTATACACTGTCCACCTGCCATCCACGGATCAGCGAATCGGGAATATTGTACATGTCTACTCCATTCAATGGGTCAGTTTACCTGGTGACAAAATCGTGTTTTGATGCTTGATTCATGCGGATTAGCTAAAGATAATAAGATATGTTCAAACCGCAACTTTCTACGTTGAATATTAACCGAGATGTCGCCCTTTGAAAAGTAGGGATTTTGACGTCATCTACCGCGGTAGTGACATTCTGGTTCCTTCCACCTTGTTTTCATCCAAGTTTCACGTTGAGTAACCAGTGCGTCACTGACTGATGAAAGTAAGGTGGAAGAAACCATGGGTGTCACTACCGCGGTGCATGACGTCAAAAACCCGACTTTCGAAAGGGCGATATCTCGGTTAATATTGAACGTAGAAAGTTGCGGTTTGGACGGATCTTATTATTTTTTGCCAATCGGCAAGGATCGAGCATCAAAACAGGATTCTGTGACCAATGCAACCGACCCATTTGATCCTTTACAAAAGAAGATTGCACTTTCTAGGACATGTAAGAGCTCCATTTAACGAAAGTTTGCATCTCTGTTGGGGATAGGCTAGTGGAGCTGGGGAAGCTGGCGCTGAAGACGCGAGCCCGGGAGAAGCGGATCCAGGACTCGGACTTCGTGCGGAAGATGAAGAACCGGGCGGGGATCGTGGAGACGCGGATCCTGTCGTGCAAGGAGTGCTATGAGGAGTTCTGCACCGGCGAGGCCTGCTGCGACTTTCTCTACGAGTCCTACCAGCGGGAGAACCGGGGCCCGGTCGCCGTCGACGAGAGCGGGCAGCCCGTCGAGAAGCAGGACGGCCGCGCGCGAGGCAGGGCCAAGAAGAAGCGCCGCCTCAAGAAGAAGCCCAAACCGAGGGCCAAGAGCACCAAGAGCTTGGACAGGGGCAAGACCAAGCTCAAGAGGGACAGCCCGCAGCGGCGCAGCAAGAGCTTGGACAAGCAGAGGTGCGTCCAGGGACAAGAGACCCTCCATTGAAACGCACATTTGTCAATACGAAACCACCATTTCTCGCTCATTTTACGCAGAAAAAAATAGTTGGTGCTGGAGACAGAACCTACCGTTCACAGGGCTCCTGCACTTTCTTTGTTACGCTTACAGATTTTTTCTGTTGTGAGAAGAGAACTTCGGTCGTGGGAACAGAGTACTCTGTCCTCATAACAGAAACTTCTGTGACTGTTACAAAAGAAGTGTAGGATCCCTGTGAACAGAACTATTTTTTTCAGTGTAGAGACAGCATATCATTGGTTTCCCTATGCAGAAAGGTGCTTTTATGAAAGAGCAAGAGAACCAGAGATAAAGGCTCCTTTTTGCAAAATGTAATCCTATTGGTATTTTGATAATGGTGGAAGCTTTTACTTTCGGGACTACAACATTCAACTGTTAATTGACTTGCCTACTAGATGGATGTTGAACAATGTGTTGGGTATTTTGTCTTGCAAACATGCCGAAATTTTGCAAACTTGATTGGCTTATTACGTCACTCAAAGCTCATCATCCATCTAGTAGGTGGGTCAACAGCCAAAAAGGGGTGATGACTACTCCTCCCTTATAATAATCCATAAGGAAGGGGTGAATCCCCAAAAGTAAGTTGCCAAAAGGCCAGTGGAGGGTCTCTTGTCTCTTAATGTGCCGGTCATTCCTCCTTTTCATCCCTTATTGTTCTGCCGTTTAACCGAAAAATAAACCCAGTAACGCCCAATTTTGGAAATGGGGCTGTCCATGAACGACGTGAGGCATCTAAGAAAAGGGGAGGTTAAGACAACCCTCCCCCCCTGGGGTTAAGACCCCCCTGTTGGGGGAGGTCTGTGTCTTAAGGACGCATTCATTCGGGAGGTAGGAGGGGGCGAGAGGGGAGCGTCTCACTCAAGGCAAAATGCCTGTGTGAAAAGAGTCAGAAATTTTGAAAATTGAGTTCTCCTGAAAAGTGTTCAAAATTTGTATTTTTTTCTTTTTACTTCTTTATTCTCTATTTTCTTTCTTTAAACTACCTGTATGTGTCCGTTGAAAGAGCTCAAGATGAGCTCGAAATGAATTTGTGATAAATAAAATCAAGTACAAAATGTTTCATCTTCAAATGTATCCTCTAATGGCATTTCTGAAGCCCTTGTATAGTTCAGAATTTGTTCTAAAGTTTTTCTTAACTTTTCAAAAATTCACAGGTTTTTTCAAAATCTTACTTGAATTTTTTCTGAGCCTATGCTACGTGGGCTATCAGAAGGAACTCATTGAAACCTTTCCGAACGATTTTACATATCTTTCGTTTTTGTCCATCCAGATTTTTGAAAGACTCGCACGATAGCAGCCAAGAAGCAAGGGGCAAGAGTGAAAGCAAAAGAAAGTCAAATGCATCCAAAAGCAAGAAAGGAAAAAGCCCAGGAGAGCGTCAAAAAAAAACATCCAAAACGTTCAAAAAGAAAGTTACCATGAACATCGGTAGCGGCAAAGGGGTTTGATACGAAACCCTCATGAAATCGAGGACGACCTCAAAAATAATGATATCATGCATAATATTAATTTTCCTAAAAAATCTGCTGAATTCAGCTATCGGTTCATAAAATATTTAAAACGCTTGACTGCCAACTGTGCCAATTGAAGGAGAGACGGAAGGTGGAACGGATTCCTTCCCTTTTGCACTAATGTATCGTATGTGCTGTACTTACTTTGAACGAAGATTGTATGCGTTCGTTCCTTTGATTTCAAAAATTTATGGGAATTACTGAGGTAAATATTTTGTACCATTTTTACTTTTGTTCATTAATTCAACGAGATATTTTTTAATCTAATCTGAAAAGTCCTTGTTCTACTGAACGATTTTAACACTCTTTTGAATTTTAAATACTGTTAATCTTCGAGCGCAGTATTCGAAGTATTGCTACATTTACTCTAAGTTCATGTATGATTTTTGTAATAAAAAAATGAAAGTAATGGTTACTTGGGTTATTAGTTAGATAGTTAGTTAGATATAGTAGTGATTAGTTTCAAGAATATTTTTCAACTTTTTTCATCACATGTTTTTTTTATGATTCATGAGCACAGTAAAGGAATACTTCTTCGATTTTGCAACACTTAAATTCACGGTGCTGTGCTATTAGCTGACTTAAGAGACTTTGTTTTCTGTATCTTTCGTCTGTGTCATTTCACTCTTTCTACTTTAGTTCCCTCTTCTTTGGTATTCCACGTACATAAATTGCCTTTGAAAACTGTGAATCAAACAATATACTTTAATTTCTTTATCTCCCCTAAACAATTATACTTTTGGTATAGTATACAATTTCACGGAAAATAAGCCTGCATGAGTCAAATATAGGTTACACGAAGTAAGAACAGGGTCACTGAACCATAATTTATTCTAGATGTTGAGATATCTATATTCTATCGCTACCACAACTTAGTCCAGGGTACGTAGAATCCAAAAAGCAGATGGGCGTAATAACGACCTATACGCCTATAGGCTGTTCTTGGTGCGGTGTCCTCAATTGTAATCTTCCGTCGCATTCCTAAGGCGCAATGATACAACTATTTGAACTCTCCGGAATGCGTGAAGTATCACGCCGCATTTGAAGGCGTTTTCAAAACAGCCAAGTTCTGGATCCAAGTATCTGGATTATCGTTTTGAATAGTTCATATTCTTTTGTTTTATTTCTAACCACTTGTTTATTTTTAATTCTCCTATAGAAAATTACCCATTTGCTAAAAACAATTCTAGCTGGAGCGCACTTCAGCTATGCATTCACCACTGCAAAAATTTCAAAGGAAATCGGCAAGCCCAGCGTGCGTGAAGGCTATTTCAATTGAGGACACCGCACCAAGAACAGCCTATAACTTGAAACTGCGTTTTGAGAAAAACGCATTTAAAGTTTTGTTTTTGATGTACTGCGCACACTTTTCTAGGCAGGTACCCTGTTTTGGTGTTTTGGTCGACCTAAACCCTTTTATTGAAGGATGCCGGGCAGATTTTGCGATACATTTTGGGTTTACTTTCGAATAAATTTAATTTAAAAAAGCGGTTTAAAGGCCATTATTACTCCCAACAGTCATTTTGGTGGCAATATGAAGTATAAATCATTTTAATCACGCATGATTAACGCAAAATGAAAGAATATCGATAGTGAGTAAAGGAAGGGGTAACTAGCACCTTATAGGCCCGTTTTTTGGTTGTTCTTGCACCCATCGATCCAGTGGCCTGACTTAACTCGGAAAAAAAAGGTTTTTTGACCTCGAGCGGTTACTTATCTATATTCTATCGCTACCACAACATAGTCCAAGGTACGTAGAATCCTTGAGAAATATTGAGAAATCATTAAATAGAAGAAGTAAAAAGTTGTAATAGAATCGAGCGGTTTCCAAAGCCAGCCATTCACCTTCACCCAAGAAAGTTAAAAAACAAGTGACACTGGTTTTTCCCTGTGATTGCTCCAACGCACAGTTTCTGTTACGGATATTTAGTCAAGTACCTAAAAAAGCGTTGGCACAATGACAATGGTGCAGTTTTTCTTTTTAAAAAAAACTACTGTGTAGGTAGTGACAAAACAACTTCAATCCGCCTTTAATTTACAAGAAAGGAAGAAAACAAAAAATTCCTATAGAGCATGGGTGTATTCAAATTTTTTATGAAAAAAAAATAAAATCCAAAGAATCCCTTAAAAAACAGGAGGAGGAGTGTTGTCAACAGTTTCGAACACATTCAAACGATGGCTAAAGTAAACAAATGTGTATCTACATTGCAAATTTTAAAAATCTCCAATCATGTTTACCTTTCCTAAAACATAATAAGCCGAACATGTCTTGGAATTTTCCGTGAATAATTTCGAAGGAAAGGAAAAGAAACATAGAAATATTAAAAAAGGATAATTTTAAAAAAAATGTAGCCGAAAGGTGATTCGCAATGTCGCAGTCTAAAAGACGAATTTTTCGACTTTAGGTATCGATATTGTCTCGGCAACCATGCATCGAAGGACAAATCCCCTACCGATAAGGGTAAGTATAGGATTTGCCGTCTGAGAGTATCCGGATACTAAATAGATATTCGATTAACACTGGGGTAAATCTTAGAGCCATTAACGAAATGTCCTGTTGCTCACTTGCTCCAGTTTCCCAGAGAGAAGAGGGGAAAGCAAAGAGTCTTAGGAGTGATATAAAAGCCTTTGCACTGTGGGAAACCTCCGGTTTTAGTCTTTTGTTGAAGCGAGCTGAATGTGTTACAAAAGTACAGTCTAGGTAAGTGTCTTAGCATTTGATTTTGCACATAGTTGGTTATTTTAATTTAGGGGCTTGGAGGACAAGGCTCTAAGTGCAGTTTTTGCTATTTTGAGAAATAAATGTTGAAGTTTCGAAATTACATGGACCCTTATGGCGGAAAGAGAGTTCACACTGACTTTTAGATGTTTAAAAATTTGAATTCGAGAGCGAATTCCTGTCAGAACACGCATTAAGACTGTAGATTTACTCGAAATAATTGGCACTTGAATTTTTTTCAAAAACTGCACTTATGCGTCTTTTCCTCCAAGTCCCTCAATTTATATCTATCAGCAGTATACGCTGAAAAAAATGAGGATGTTGTATTAATATTCTGACCGTAAAAAAAGTGAGACGACTTAAAAACGAATGTCGCAACTGCCTCCTCCTGTTTGCAAAATGTATCTAACTTCGTATAAAAATAGAATACGATGATTGCAATTAAACTACCGCTTTAAAGATCAGAATGAAGCCATCATAAGGATTCACTCCTCCACTTCCCTTTTCCGTATTACGTGAACAATTCGGAAAGACTTTTTAGCCTCCGCGGTTTTCAGTCGCTGAGCATTTTAAAAGTTCTCTGAAGACATTCGTAACCGCGAAGCCTGTAGAACGCCCTAAAAAAAAGGAAAAAGTTGAAAGCTAAGGCGTTCAAATTCATACCGGTCAACTTTTGTCAGGAAGTTGGTGGGAATATTCCAGAATCCGCGCGCAAGTTGTTATAAAAACCGGGTGCAGTCGCAAAGGTCGCAGTCTGTTACCCGCAAAGGGCGGGCAGAGTATAACGTTCTTTATTGACTTCGCACCCTTACATCTTGATCATCGGTCGTTTCGCCGTCAAATTCAGTGCTTCAGTGTCCATCTGGTTTTCATTATCAGATCCGCTAGCAAGTGTCCGATGGATAAGGCAAGTTTACCGAATGTTATGTCATATCCACGGTGAAAAATATCTTATAGTGCTCTATAAGTACTAAATAGTGTGGACTCAGCGCCATGTTACCACCTTCTTCTATTCGGTTCGGGTCATATTTTTTGTGTTTATTCCTAGCACTCGTTCACAGGGAGGGATATTTTCCACAGGAGCAATTTTGCAAAATTAGCTCGTGAAATTAAAATTAGAGTTTTAAACGGAAAACTCTCACTAGAATCACAAAAAATTAGTTGCAAGTGATCTAGATTATTACCCTTTTGCCGATAAGATGTAAATATATTTCAATCTGGCATTTATAAATACCTTTCCCGGCGGAGTAACATTTTCTCCGTTTTTAGTAATTCAAACTTTTACAAAACACTCCTCCATATAACCTAAAAGTATATCGATTTGCGAAAAATTATCTTTGGTCTTTTTTAATGTGAATGGTCATATATTACGTATTTGCAACTGCATTTTTGCAGACTCTCAATTGTTTCAAGAGAACTAATATGAGGCACTAAGACTGTAGGGTAAAAATGGAGACACGGGTTTCATAACTAAATTCATCGAATTTCATGATTCAATGTGCAATTATAGACAATATGACCTGAACTTTCGAAAATAATGGATGAATAATCAACACTTAATTAAGACACTTTCATCATGTCTAAATTCAGTCCCAATAAATTCAAATTACCCACCAGTCCTCTTGGAAAATTTTAGCACTCGTTGACGAAATATGATTCTTCAATTTTTGTCTTTCTTTTTATTTTCTTAGAAGTTTGATGAAAATTACAGCAAGTGAAATGAAACGACAATATTCTCAACTTTATATGGAGTGCTCATAAATTGCGATTACTTGCCTTCCTCTTTTGAGAAACTGCTCTCGTAAAATATACTTCTTGACCTAGGATCAAAACATCAGGGGCAGCTTGAGTTTTTTTTTTTTTTTTTTTTTTTTTTTTTTTTTTTTTTTTTTTTTGGGTTAAAAATATCGTTGTTCAAAGATTGTCTTAATCTTCATCTTCATTGCAAGCGCGAAAGACCCAGGTTCAATCCCTGGGAGTGACTGATATTTGAGAACACTCATAATATCAGTCACCGGGACTGTGGATGACTATGACATTCTACCCTTCGAGGTAACAGGGCGCAAGAGGGACATAATCACTAATTAAGTAATCAGTCTGCACTGTTTGACTGCGTTGTGAAAATACTGTCGATCATTTGTATCGTGCGTAGCTGTCAGTTTTACTTATTAGTTGGAAATTGAAGTAACAAAGTCCAAATAGATAACTATTCGTGCTCCCGAGTAGATTTGTTGCCTATGCGGCAGAAATGAAGGCGATTTTCGAGTGGGTAATGTCTGCCAACAGAATACCATTTTTTGTACATTTGTATGTTCAATGTACATTTTTTCCTGGCAATGCTAGCGTCGTCTACCATGCAACAGGTTGATTAAATGTTTTTTCAATAGTTTACGATTCAGTTCCCCGATGATTTGTTATGCATGCAAAAACCTAAAAGCGAACTCATGATGATCGATATCTGTTAAAAATAGCGGTGGATTTGGAACTTCTCTCTCTTAAGACGGATTGAGAAGGTACTTTTTTGCGAGAGAGATCTCACAAAAGAAATTTAATGCTTTCATTTTCTATCCACTTAAACGTTTGAATGTGTACTTCGGGATTTTTTCTAGAGTTTTCATACTCACCAGTGGCGTGGCGTGACTATATCCGGTAGGCGTTCGGTAGGAGTGTTAACTTTAGGACGGGGGGGGGGCGCTCAGAAAGGTTCACTCCCCTTCCTTAAAGGGGGGTTCGGGGGGCCTCCCCCGGAAACTTTTTAAAAAATGAAGCCGCAAGAACACGATTTTAACCCTTTCTGGTGAAAATTGTGCCGGTAAATTGTCATTGAAATTTTTTTCTTTATACTGATCGTTTTCCTGCAATTTATTTTGTTAAATGATAACGTATTTTCGCAACACGCACCTGCAGAGAGAGGTGGGAGAGGGAGACTGGGAAACTGGGAGATGTGGCCCGCAGGCGCAGGGGGGGGGAAG